GGTCCCGGTAGCCGTAGTTTGCAACGGCTTGCCACCTTGGCACGGGGCCCGCTGTCGATATCACTTGCGTCAGCCTCGTCACTCGCTCCGGCGCGCCGGCGCCGACTCTCGACCCGGCCTCGCTTTTCGGCTCGCAACAAGGCGCAAGCGTCGCGACACCGACCCGAGCTGTCGCGTTCGCAGTGCTGCCACCTTGTGGTCTTCGCTGTCGAGATTGGTGGCATCTGGTGGCCGCAACGGCAGGCTCTGGATGGCAGGAGCATTGTGGTGGACGAGGTGTCCAGTCAGTGCCGCGGCTGCGAGTAGTGCGGTGCTGCGGGTGGCGGAGCACCGCGTACTCACTCGGTTCCGAGGTGGGCGGCCGTTGGATCGCGTAGGCCTGTTCCTTTTCTTTTGCGGGTCCTCTTCCGGTCGCCAGAAGTCTCGAATGGCTGACAGAGGCGCTGTTTACTTTGCTTCAACACGGCTCGTGGGCTGCCAGGCACACGGAACTGCCAGCACACGTCCGCAAGGACCTCGTGCGGCTCGGGGAGTTCCAATGGAGATGCAGCGATTGCGCCCTCTGCAGCATCACCCCGGGCTTGTTCAATGTAGGATTAAAACCGATTTGTTGCATTTACGGCCTCGGGTGGATACTTGCTTTGCTCTGTGGGGGGGCGTCTTCATATGAAGGAGCTGTCATGTGCCGGAGGCAAGTGGCCCAAGCGTGAACTGCCTAAGGAGATTCCTGTGGTAGACCACGTGGCTTGTCGGATGGCAGGCCCATCGTGAAAGCAAAGGCCCATTCCAGCCACATTCAAGAAACCATTCACAGAATCTCATACAAAGTCTTCGGAGCCGTGTGGCGGCTGCGGAAAACCGAACGCACAAAGAGTGGCCCCCAAGAGGGCCAACCGGGTTGAGCTTTGGCTGCAGCTGGTGTAATTGCTGTGGGAATCTGTGGGATATTGTGAAATGCCGCGGGCGGGGGCGGAGGGCATTCCGCAGCGACGGCTGGCGGCCCCAACCGGCGGGCTACCTAGGCTGCACGAGCAGCCACTTCCATGGCAGGCAGCGCGTGTGAGGCGTGCTTGCTGCCACGCTGCTCGAATCACCCAAGATAGCTGGCACACTGCCTGGTGCCCAGGTCCCGCCGCAGGAGGACGTATTTCACGACGCAGTCCTGCTTGGCACGTAGCGCGCAGGTTGCCCGTTATGCCCGTTTTGCTGACGTCAGAAAAGCGCGTGGACAAAAAAAACAGTTGGCGACTCAAAATCAGACGACCGCTCAGGACTTCTCGCATCCAGTGCCGCAGGTCCGTGTTCAAGGTGCACAGCTGGAACGTTGCAGGTGAACCTGTCAAGGGGTGTCGGGACAATGGCTCCGAGAGCCACATTGACCACGGAAAGCCGTGTGTCGAAAACAAACACCGTCGCGACTGCTGACAAGTCCAATTTGTCGGTCCTTGGGACGATTGTTCGGGACTAGGCACCTTCTACGAACGACCTTCGAGAACAACGGTACCGTCGAGCTCGGTGCCAAGGCTCGCAAAAGACACACCGCGTGAGTGCGGTGCATGCGGTGATTGAGAGGACTGACTCAGCGAAACTCTGTAGCCTCATGCTGTTGTGAACAAAGAACTACTACGTCCCATGGCCATGTGTTCAGGAGCAACAAGCCCTCTGACTGCCGCTTTCCCGGTGCAAAGCTGTAAAATGTTAGGCCGGCGAGCATTGACTTTTTGGCGTCTGGCATTGCGTGGCGCGTCCTCAAGAACTGATTTACACAGCCACTTTCATGCTGAGTCTTCAACACATCGAATGACTGTTCTTGAGTTGAGTGAGATGTCCCGGCACTTGCTACGCATGGGACTGAGGGTGAAACGAATCTATCACGCGAATCACTGGGTTTGAGCAGGTTGGCAACCTTCCGTAACGTCGAGCCTTTCACGGAAGAGGCAACAAAGATCATCGGTTCAACATGAGGGAAAAGTCATGCTAGCGGTACTCGTGCAAGGAGTAGTGGTGCAAAAAGAAAAGTAACTGTAAAAAAGATACAAATATTCGATAAAACTAGTAGCGATGGTCGTGGTGGTCGTGGGGGTCTGTGCTGCTGCTGCTGCTGCTGCTGCTGCTGCTGCTGCTGCAGCTGCTGGTGCTGGTGCTGCTGCCGCTAGGTGCTGGGTGCTGGGTGCTGCTGGGTGCTGCTAGGTGCTGCTGGGTGCTGCTGGGTGCTGCTGGGTACTGCTAGATGCTGCTGGGTGCTGCTGCGTGCTGCTGGGTGCTGCTGGGTGCTCCTGGTGGTGCTGGTGCTGCTCGTGCTGCTGGTGCTTCTGGTGCTGCTGCTTTACTGCTGGTGCAGGTGCTGGCGCTGCTGCTGGCGCTTGAGCTGGCGCTGACGCTGGTGGTAATAGTGGCGGCTGGTACAGTTAAGTGGTAGCAGCATAAATGCTAGTGTAGAATAGAACCTGTTGAAATCACTGCTTGTAGCAGCAGCAGCAGCAGCAGCAGCAGCAGCAGCAGCAGCAGGACTGCAGCAGTGCACTGTAGCAGTGGTCCAAGCAGCGGCAGCAGCAGCACCAGCAGCAGTAGCAGCAGCAGCAGCATGATCAGCAGCAACATGAGCAGCAGTAGAAACAGCATAGCAGCGGCACTAGCAGTCGCGGTAAGCGTGCTAGAAGTGCATGAATAGCAATAGTAGGGGACGAGGAGCGGTAGAATCAAATTTGGAGTCGAAAGACAAGCTACTGCGAATTACCTGTACCAATTGCGCTACGAAAATTGGCAACACCAGCAAACAAGTGAGACTTGTTAGAGACAAACACGACCGGTCGCAGTAACACAGCTTGTTACCAGCGGCATAGCACAAAGGAAAGGCAATAGCAGATACTGCTGATATAGTCCCACTTGTCGTCCTCGCCATCCCCACCATGCACATCGGCATGCCAATCTCGTACTACTCCCGATGATAGCAATCGTCTGAATCGTCGGGGTAAAGGTATACCAGGAGGTAGTCTTGAGAATTCCGGATAAAGCTTCCGCCTGCAGCTCTCACGGCAGGGGAACGCCCAACGCCGAGCGCTTGTCGATAACTTTGGGCCTTGGTCATGAACCACTACTACTACTACTACTACTACTACTACTACTACTACTACTACTACTACTACTACTACTACTACTACTACTACTACTACTACTACTCCTGCTCCTACTCCTGCAACTGATACGGCTACTGCTACTACTGTTGCTGCTACTACTCCTCCTCCTCCTCCTGTTGCTGCTACTGTTACCGCTACCGCTACTCCCACACCTACCACTGCTCCTACACCTGTCGCCACCGCACCGCTACCGCTGCTGCTACTCCTCCCGCTGCTGGTATGGCTGGGCTATGGCAACTGCTACTGCCATCCTACTGCTCGCTGGGCCCGGCACCAGTCGTCATGCTGTTGCAACTCCTGCCAGAACTTGCCCTTGAATTCGCCAACTCCCTGTCAGCAGGATGAACGGAATTGTGCAAGAGCAAGTTTGCAGGTTCGTGTCGGCGGCACTCTGAGACCCACATGTACCGCAAAAGCACGCGCCTTATTTCTATTTTCTTGATCGAACTGTATCACCTGTCAGGAACCAGACTTGCTTGACTGGGCAAACATCGGAAACAAGCCGATCAGTGTTCTACGCTGGAAGTACTGGTCAGCACGATCTCTGCAAATCTGAAGACATGACCGTTCCGACATGGAGGGGCAATGCCTCTGCCGTCGCAGAGGGGTCTCGATCTGCGACACGCTTCAGCAGCTCCTCGCACAGGCGGCAGCCGCCATCGACCGTAGAAATATAAACACGAAACACGCTTGCCCACTCCTCGTAGTGGTTCAGCGCTGCCCGCTGCGCCTAGCGCTCTGCACTCCCACCGCGAGCATGTACTGACATGACAAAAGAAGGGCGCCTTCTTCTTCCGGATGATGTTGGCTGTGCCCTCGGGGTCATAGCAGGATTGCAAGGACCTCGGCGATAAGGATACAAAGGCGCTGGCTCTCGCAGAATCCAATCAGATCAAGCCCGCGACCGGGAGAATGATTCGCCCATCCCAGCAGTGGACCCTGGCTTTCTCAAGAAGCATGGCGTTCGACGTACAACAGCTTAGGCTCTGGCCCTGCCTGGTCAAGAGGGTCTGGGAACTTGGGAACCCAGCTTTGTGCCAGGGGCTGAGGCGTGTCAAAGTGCCTTGAAGCCTGCAGCCCTTACAGTGCGTCAACCAGACGCTGCGGTTAAGCTGTTAATCAAGCTTCAAGCAGAATGTAGATGGATGCTCATATGCATGCGCAGACGCACACAGACACACAGACACACACACACACACACACTCACTCACTCACTCACTCACTCATTCACCCACTCACTCGCTCACTCACTGACTCACACACAGACATACATGCATACACGCATGCATAAAAACCCACAAACACACATGAATGCATACACACATACATACATGCATGCATGCATACATACATACCTACATACATATGCACACAAACATACAAGCATACATTCATGTATACATACATAAATATAGTATGCATACATGTATATAGAGATCTTTTTTAGACAGAGCGAGAGAGATAGAGAGAGAGAGAGAGATACATATATGTGTATATATACATAGATGCACACATACCATGTCAACATATACGTGCGACTGCCACGGAGCCATGGCAAAAGAACACCTAAATTCAGCTTGTGCAGTACAAGGCACTTGGCGTCCTGTGCTCGGCAGGAAGCTGTCTTGAGAGAAACAATGCGATGTTACGCACGTTACACCAGAATTACATCGTGACGAGCACGCAGGAGGTTTTTCAGTTGGTCGTAGCCTGGAAAGTGCAGACGTTGCAGCAGGGAGCCTCACAGACACCTCTTCATGAGTGATGCATGCAGCAATGTTTTGCCCGCGGCATGCGCAGGCAAACTGCTGTCCTAGCAGCCCACACATTGAAAAAACGATGCCTCACTAAAGGCACCGCGTCTCAGTTCAGCCACCTGTTCTCCACGAGCTTTCGTGCCTGGACGCAGTGAGAGACGTGAAAAGAGCAACTGCTTCCAATCTCTGCCTACAAGACCAAACCAGCAGCCGCATGCAAACCGCGATCTGGCCTGGGAGACCACGAGGCCGACAAGGAAGACGGCAAAGGTCAAGCAGATTGCCGTGGCGTTCAGGATCTGACACATTCTCATGTGGCGCACTTGCCAAAGGTGTTTCGCTGGGGGACACGAAACTTCTGCTGCATGATGCTGCATGCGTTCACGCATGTGTTCGCCATAGTTGATGAGATGATGACACGGCGATGCTCATGTAGACTCTAGACACGGCGGCGGAGCACTCACTAGGTTGACTACTGCTGATCGGCTACCACGAAGACAATACAACTAACTAGCACCACCACTGCCACTATCAGCATCACTATCTCTGCCACTCCTCGGCCTGCTCCGCCTCCTCCTACTCCTGGTGCTGCTGCTACCACCACTGCTACCACTACCACTGCCAGGAATACCGGTTCCCCTACCACTAATGCCACTACCACTGATGCCACCACGACCACTGCTACGACTACTACTACGACTACTACTACGACGACTACTACGACGACTACTACTACTACTACTACTCCTACTACTACTACTACTACTACTACTACTACTACTACTACTACTACTACTACTGCTACTGCTACTGCTACTACTACTACGACGACGACTACGACTACGACTACGACGACTACGACGACTAGTGCTACGACTATTACGATTACGATTACGACTACGACTACTACTACTACTACTACTACTACTGCTGCTGCTGCTGCTGCTGCTGCTGCTGCTGCTGCTGCTGCTGCTGCTGCTGCTGCTGCTGCTGCTACTGCTACTGCTACTGCTCCTGCCTGCTCCTGCTCCTGCTCCTCCTGCTCCTGCTCCTGCTCCTGCTCCTGCTCCTGCTCCTGCCACTGCCACTGCCACTGCCACTGCCACTGCCACTGCCACTGCCACTGCCACTGCCACTGCCACTGCCACTGCCACTGCCACTGCCACTGCCACTGCCACTGCCACTGCCACTGCCACTGCCACTGCCACTGCCACTGCCACGGCTACGGCTACGGCTACGGCTACGGCCACGGCTACGGCTACGGCTACGGCTACGGCTGATGATGCTGCTGCTGCAACTACTACTACTACTACTACTACTACTACTACTACTACTACTACTACTACTACTACTACTACTACTACTACTACTACTACTACTACTACTACTTCTACTACTACTACTACTACTACTACTACTACTACTACTACTGCTACTGCTACTGCTACTACTACTACTACTACTACTACTATTACTACTACTACTCTTTCTCCTCCAACTGCTGCTGGGCCGTTGCCGTGGCCGCGATTACTGCTTCTGTTGCACTATCTAATGACCAGGTTCTTCGCCATCATCTGCTATTTTCAGAAATCCGCTTTGAATCCTGTGCGCTTGCTTGCTCGCAGTGCTACTAATCCTTCCCAAACAGTGCCTGCAAGAGTCTACTTAGGTGCTGCAGTGCATTTGCATAGCCCAGGCTCGGGCGGCTGACCGGTACGGTATGGCTTGGAACAAAACCGCGCTCACAGCACAGTCCCATTGCACGCGGTGCTCCTGATAAAGCCGTGTTGCTCACCGGACCTTGCACTGTCTTAAGCGGCAAGCTCTGACGGCATTACATGGAAAACAGCAAGCTATGGCGCAACTGCATCTCCTGCAGTTTTGGGATTTCCTGCGTGACATGTTTCGAGGCGTGGTGCTCCAGCCCCATGCATTTACCGGCGATCGAATCGTACTTGTGCTTCGACATCCTCTGTGCTGCTCGCGACGTTCTTTGCTGCCATACTTTTGTCAAAAGTCATCATCATCAATCATCATACAAGTCCTAAGCCTTTAAACCTTAAACCCTAAAGCCTTCAGGCCCTAAGCCTCTTCACCTCCCAAACCCTAAACTCATCCTTGATCCTGCTCTCTTTGTGGCACCCTGGCTGGCCTTGCGGTTGTAGGCCTCCGTGGAATCCTTGGGGATGTGGAGATCTGGGGTTCCGGGCTTTGGGATTGGGAGTCCGATCTCGCAAGAAAATGACATATCGCTGACAAAACAATATGCGCATGTAAACATACATATCTGTAGAGTATTTCTTTGTAAGATTAAATTATGTCATATTATATACTGTACGATTATATGATATTATATTGGGTTGTATCATATATATATATATATGCAACCTACCACTATAGTTGTTTTTGCAGAAGAAAGAACTCTCTCTGGGCCAAGGCGCTGGGTCGATGTTCTGCCCGGCCTCGGAGCCCTCGCCCCAGGTGGCCAGAGCCGGCAGGGAGCCTCGCAACTAGGGCAGTACCATATAGCATATACTATATGCCACATACTATATAGCAGCACTTTGGCCTAGCCTTCAAGCTCCTTACTACGAGCAGGTGATGTCAATCTCTCTGTACAGACAGCACACAGCAGCCTTTCTCAGCTTGGAAACGTCATGTGACGTCCAGAGCATGCAGTGTGCCCGTTCACGGCCGTATGTATATATATATATATATATATCTTATATGCTTTGTACTATTTTGTATATTAGCGCCCAAAACGTGTCTGGCCAGGATTGCACAAGAGGCTACTGGCCGGGACAGCAGGCACGGAAGACCCCAAGAAGCGTCTCTAGCAATGTCCCAAGCACCCTTCCTCTCTGACCCGCCTGAGAGCGTCAGTCCTGTTGACACAGCCGCAGTCTCCAGCACGCGCAGCTGGTGCTGGGGGCCCTGCTGAGGCAAAGCAAAACAAAGCAAGACTTTTCAAAACCCCTCTCAAGCCCCGCCTCCACAGTTCGTGCTGGGGCCTATGCACCATGTGCGCTGAGAAGGCAGTGACTGCCGACCATCGACGTTTCACCGGAGCCTGCACGAAAGTGGTCGCCGACTTCAGGAGCACCAGGACGGCAGCGCACAGCGCCTAGGAGGAGGGGCTGAGGACGCGCACGCTTCTTCAGACGATACACCACCAATGTTCCCTGGGAGCAGTGCCAACGGCAGCAGAGTCGGGCGGGCCATGTTGGGACCTTGGCAGCTTTCATCACGGCAAAGCCTCAACACCTTGAAAGCCAAACTCCACAAGTCCCGACCTGTTTGTGTTCTGACCTTTGTCCCTATCTTGTCGCCTCTGAGCCGAACTCTGGCCGCAGGAGAGAAAGGATCTTGCGTTCTCAAGAATAGTCGATGCCAAGGTGATCCTGTTCAGCAGTATTGTGCACATGGTTTGCACTGTATTTCGGTCAAGGATAAGACATGTTCTTTCGGCGCTCGAAGGACCTGTCAGGCAGCCGATTCGCTTTGGAAGTGCAGCTGATGCGATATTGCCGGACAGAGACATGAATGTTCCCGGTCGTCTCAGAAGCGGCCGCATCTGCTGCCAAAAGGCGCGAGTTCCGCGCGCTTCCCGGCCAACGGGCCTGAAGGGTCTGCAGGATGCTCCGGCTCTCGAGCTCAAAGCGAGAGCGGGAGAGCAGGTTTGAAGATGCTTGAAGCTCAGGTGCAGTACTGCGCGGCCCAACCCCGCGGCTGCGGCAGCCAGGACGAGCACTGCCTGGCCAGGCTCTGAGATGGTGCAAGACAATGCCAAAATCGGAAATCAATAACATGATCGCCATCTTTTCTTCTTCATCGTCATCTTCATCATCAACGTCGTCATCATCGTAGCTACCATCGTCGTAGTTACCATCAACATCATGATCATCATTATCCACGTGATGAAGATTATCACTACCATCGTGATTGGCATCCGCAACATCTGATCCCCCTCATCTGCATCAACACCATCATCAACAGCACCATCTCCGCCGCCGCCACCATCATCATTATCATCATCACCGTCGCCAACATCATCATCATCGTCGTCGTAAACATCACCATCATCATCAGGATCATTTGCCTCCTCCTGATTATCATCATCAGCAGCATTGCCATCATCCGCATCATGCGCATCCACCACGTGCGGCTTTGCTTGTTGCGCACATCAGCAGAGTGATGAAGGACTTTGCACGTCACAAGCCAGGTATCAAGCCACTAACCTCTTCGTGCGCCCATCACCCCCCAACCCCGCGGGCCTTGTTACACTGATCTCCCAATGGCTGCAGTATTGGTCAGGGTCCTGGATCTGCTCTCCTGTGCTCAAGGTTCGACCGGGCAACACCTGCAATCACGGCCAAAGAGGCTGAGGCACCAACCGACCAGAAGCTTGCAGTCGCGGTAACGCACAAGCGTGTAGTCGATATAGCTGATGCCTCGCTCAAGATTCTAGTTGGCGGACTGGACTGAACCCTCTGACCATGTCTGCATTCGCTCATTCGGCTGCGGTCCTGTGAACGCCAACGGGAGCCCCAAAGACTTTGCATGCAAGAAGGTATAGAAATGCCCCACATCCACCTGAGATGGTCAGCACTACATCACAATTATGCGGGACGATGAATAAGTCTTCACTTGCAAACTCCATCCTGAAGACATACGATTACTAAAATACTAAGAGGATAATACTAGAGTAGAGTAAAAGTGTATTACACTTCAGATCTTGAGAAACCTATCGCAGCAGCAATGATAGGTTTATGTGGACTACATTGGGACATACATGGAGAATGGCAGCAAGACTCCTAGTCAGGACAGGCATGCAAGATATGCCGGCCCAATCAAGCCCGAATCGTGCAGGATATGCAAAAATCTAGGAAATGAGAAGCGAGGTGACGTGGATTTGCATGGGTTGTAATCGTTTGATGAACACTGTAACGGCCAGCTTTAGTTTTGACTTGCATGGATCATCAAAGAGACATACTAGGAAAGATGATAAGTGGGATGACCAGACCGCCCCAAGTCTAATACTGACCTGTAACGATTGAAAAACTGTGGTTCAACAAACTCCACAATATCCAAAGCGGACACTCTCAAAACGCTGCTATGCTCGAAAACTTAAAGAACCGAGAACCCTGGTGTCTGTGGCTGGGTATGTTGCAAAATCGTGGAAGTTCAAGAATTTTGAGCGCAACAGCATTTCGTGCCTGAGCCTCACTAACCACGGCAATGCTCACAAAAACACCTTCACCTCTCCATGTCTCCACACCGTACCTAAATTTTCTGTGTTATTTTCCATCCGAAAGTGACGAGGTGTGTTTTCTCCTTCTTGTCTGTTGGAGAAGCTTGGGGTGTCCAAAATATCTTTCTTTTCACCGCTTGTGCGGTTTCTCGTTGTTGTTTGTCGGAGAAGCTTGAGGGCGGGGGGCTTAAACGGGTGCTCAAGGCGAGCTTAAGCGGGGGCTGGAGGGGGGAGGGGTTTACGGTCAACTCTTAGCTGGTTGGGGTTACGGTTAATGCTGCTTGAACGGGAATTCACCCGCCATGTCCTCCATTGTCATTTCCACAAACCTGCCAATGTTGCTCCGCGTGGATACAATCCCCAAAAGATTTTGTTTTGTGGTACCCCATCTGCCCCTGTATGGTACAAACATCCTGACGGCCAATAGCTTCCATTTTCCAGACCAGCACGTTAGGCTGCAATTCTGCTAGGCAGTCCTCAACGCGCCCATGTCCAGCACTTTGAAGTAGCGAAGTGAGGCACAAAGTCAAGGGCAGACTTAGGTATCACAACGCAGCAACAAGCTGCGGGTGACAGTGGGGCTATGGCACTCTGCCGAAGCATAAAGTTGAAACAGTTTGGACTGGCTAAGGTAAGCCCCCGAGCGATGTGTGGTACATGGTTGCTGCGGGGGGTCCGACTGGCAGCGGGTGATACATCTTGACCCGATCTTTACTGTGCAGCTGCTACTCACTTCTGTATATTAGCAATGTTCTTGTTAGCATTCATATAGTATTACTATGACTACTAACTACTACTATTTATGTGCTGGGTTGGCACATGCTGCAGCCCGGCTGCAGGTAGGTCAGCAGACACCAGGCCGAAGCGCGCGCGCAGTGCGGGCACTGCGGAGCCCCAGGAAGCGAAGCTATCCATGGTCCGCGAGGAGGCCGCGAACCAAAAGTCATGAAGTCCTGGTCTGGTTCTCATTCAAGAATATCAATTTACATAATTGGGTTATAGTAGTTTTTGCGCATAGGAATTACGAGCATAGCCGAATACAGAGCCTGCAGCACAGCAATCAGTCAGCAAGTCAGCACCCTGTCCTACCGTTGCAAACTGTGATGGCGCATAAACGCCAGATGTTTTGTAGCGGACATCGCTGATGTTGCGGTCATGGGTCAAGACCTTGGCCAGCCACGAGACAGATTGCGAATTTGCTTGAGACTCGACCCCGTGAAAGAACCTCGAACGTTGGGCCGAGCTGCAACCTCGCGCGCGGCGAGGTCTTCCGCATGGATGGAGCACCAGTACCCAGTCCAGAGGGCCGATGAGCCAACTGCAGGGCTCACACGCAAAGGAGACCTGACACAACCAGCGAGCTCAACTGGGCCCCCTAAACGACTCCGATGGCCTGAATAGGACATCATACCGCATGAGAACGACAAGGTCGTAGCGAAATCCCTCTTCCTCCTCCTGCAAGGCGGTCACGGCGACTGTATCAGTGAAGCTCGTCTACTGATCATCTACTGTTCTCAGTTCCCTCTTTGGTTTCCCGTCTACTCCATTGCATTGCACGGCCTTGATGCGCTTCAGCTGCACACTGCGCCGAAAGGTTTCGCCGAAGCTTCCTACCTGATATTTCTAGGAATCGCGCTCTTCGACACATGGGATTCCTTGAGAGACCGACCACCAAAGGTCAGAATCTCATCTTTGCTTGCTTCGGCCGGAACTGCACCGAGCTACACGTCGAAACACAAAGTGTACTTAGTGTCGCCGAGGCACTGTGGGTAGATGCTCTGGCTGCGGATCGGCTTTCAAGGCCACCGGCCTTGGTGCTGCCAAGGACTTAAAGCCCAGAGTGTGAAGATGCCGCTGCCGAAGCGACAGGGAGCATTCACTAACTGATTTGGTGCGAGCCCCTCTCCTGTCATGCATGGCGAGCAACGGAACAAGAGCCTCCGTGCCAGCAACTCTGACTGAGGGTTCCACATGTAGGCTTCATGGATCCTCAAACAACATGCTGCCAACGAGACATACATGCTACAGCTTCTTGGTTAAACCACGGTGCCCTCAAACCAAGAGTCGCTCTTGCCAGATCCTCGTCCCACGTATGCGCGAACACGTCCCAGCGGAGATCGGCATTTGCCCGCACCTGAGCAGCTTCAAGGAAGGCGTGCAGACGAAGCGCGTTTTACTCCAAGGCTTCTTCTGAACAGGAAGACTGCTGCCTTCATCCATGGCTGCGAAACATGCAATGCAACATCCCCAACCCCTCGTTGCAAAAAAATTATGGCTGCAAGATGCCACGTGTTCCCAAACGGAGGCAGCAGCGATCTCCAGCGCCTCCTCCGTCGAACCCTCCTGGCGAGCAAGGTTTGGGGTTGAGCCTCCAGGGGTCTCGGTTCCGCAGAAAGCCATCGTCAAGGCGCGCACGCACCAAGAAGGCCAATGCAAGCATTTGCATCCGCTGGTTTCGGCTGTGTCTGCTCTGCTTTGCTCCTCGTCGAACTTTCCTCGGAGGTTCCCGACTCGGCCAAAGAGGCAGAGAGCCGCGCGCGCACAAAGGCCGCCGAAGCGCGCCCTGTGCAGATCCAAAGCACATCTTCTTCATCTACTTGAGCCCTTTGGTCCTTCGACCCCCTGGCGGGAATGACTTCTTTGCGAGCTCTGTGAGCGTTTAGAAAAAACTCCTAGCTGCTGACACAAAGTGTGTAGCCAGATTGAACTAACTTACGATTATTGCATAGCACCATCATTGAAACACCGGCACACAGCTTTTCTCGGATTTCGTGCGGGTTTGAGCATCGAAAACCGCTGTCAGCCTTTTATCACTGGTTCAAGCAGGCTCTGGCTGGGTTGTGCACCTGTTCATTGCTAGTTCCCCTGAGGTCGTCCTTTGTCTTTTGCACAAAGCTTCGCACGGCATACAACCAACATATGTTCAACAATGCAGTCAAATCTTTCAGACGGCTGCCTATTTTTCTGCTAGATGTACCGGTGCTCCAGGGAGCGGGCGCCTGACATGTACAAAGCTTCATAGAACATTCCAAAAGTCTCGAACCGGTGCAGTGCAGATGCCTGCTACCTCAACAGATGCGTAGTATTCATTGCGATTGCCACACGTCTATGTTGACTGCTTGCTCTTTGCTACCTAATGGCCTCAGGACTGACCAGCTGTAGCCGTCCCCAAACTCTTCCCGTCCATGCCCAGAGTTGCCTTCATATCTTGGAATCACATGTAATCACTTTCAGGGTAAGAGCCTTTCAATACTGTCAAAGCGATTGGAGCCAATTCAACTTCATTCCATGTCCAACGTGACCTGCATGAAACACACTCAATTTGAGAGTTTCAAACTGACTGACGGGTGTCCGCTTGCAACTTCGCCTGCTGCCGATAACCCGGCTGGGCCGTGTCTGCAACGGTATAGACTATACACAAGTCGAGTGACAAAAAAGCTTCAACGTTCAGATTTGTTGAGGACTGGTCACGGTCGCTCAAGTCACAAGCTCAAGCAAAGTTATCAAAAAAGTACTTGTTCATTCAATTGGGTACGATGCTTATCCCAACCTGACAAGCAACTTTGTGATTGTAAGTCTTGACCAGGAAGGGTACTGGAAACTGGCTAATGCGACCTCTCGATAACACTAGAGTAGAAATATTTGTCGCAGTTGCAACGGCAGAAAGAGTCTCAACAGAACATCTTCGTGGCCTGAGCTCCGTGGGTGGCAATGTCGTGTTGCTCCCAGCAAACGGTGCCTCGTGAGATGCCCAGCGGAAGAGCAAACGGGGGAGCTACAAAGGGGCTGTTGCTTTACCCTCTCGTTAAAACCTCCGGCGCAGCATCTCAACACAAGGGTTGGGAGGATATGCCTGGTGAATCCCGGCCGAAGAATTCCAAACAGCAGGAATGTTGTCACTATCAACCGGGTTCTCACATCCTGGTGCCCCTGTTTTCTGACCTGCCTCGTGCTAAGTATGCTCGAAGCACGGCCATGAACTTGCACATGGGAACTGGTGCTGTGAGGTGAGTAAGGAAGCTACAGTGTAAGGGGCAACCAAGGGGAGGACATCAGTGACTTCAGGGAGCTGACGCAAGACCTCGCTCCCATGGAAAGGGGGTGATGGTTTTGGCGGAGCTGACAACAGGAAAGCCAAGTTGATTTATGCCTCCTCCACTCCAAGACGCCTCCATCCACTGTACTTGTACCTCACCAGGGGCCCGCCGTAGAACGCGACCCCGCTTCCATCCATCGGTGGGTGCCCACACCTTGATTCCACAAGAACAGCACTTTCCAGCAGCATCCAGCACAAGCTTTCTTGCGAACTACCCAGTCTAAATGCGGCATGGCTGTCATCATGAAACTCTCTAGAGCCAGCATGAGCGTGCTGCATCAAGGCCACAAGCTCTCCCCGAGCACAGTCAGTGAGAGCACCTGCGGGGGATTTCAAGATACTCTACGCAGGGTCGGTTCTTGCCGCGTTCTGTGCATGCGAGACTCTGGAATGTATGGAAGCACCCCAAACCCATGCCCTAATTCTCGAGACAGCAGCCATTTCCACATTGCTCAGCAGAAATTGCAGCCGTCCTATATCTCCTGTTGCCACGCCTGATGTTCGAAGTTCAGCCAAGGCCACGAGCAAAAGGGCCCGCAATGGCATGCAGAAGTCTTGACAGCCAGTATCAAATCGATGGGTGATCAGGCGGAGGCGTAGGTTGTTTGTTTGGCTTCATGCTTGTTCCCTGCGATGCTGGCGTGCTGCAGAACCTGGAAGCCAGACTGGCAGTGCGAGGCGAACACACCTGTGCGGACTCTGTTGACCATTCAATGCGCGGCCCGAATGTCTAAGTGCGCTTGATGCGGCTGCAATGCATTGCGCAGTCCCGGCATCAACATGAAGCATCGCCACGGTTTTCAACTGCCGCAGCCGCTCGCATTGCCCACGTCATCTCCAAAAGCTTGCTTGAAGGGGAAATAATTGCCTCAGGTCTCAAGAAGCCGCAGCATTCGCTGCACGTCTAACAAACTTGCACGACAGCCTTCAGACATTCCATCTTCCTGCGGCTGAGTATCCTTTAGGGTTATGCGCTCGGCCAGCATTGTGATCGTTGAAGATGCAAAAACACACCTCCGCCAACTCATGGCTGGACAAGGTGAACAAGCAGTCCAGGAGTACTACAAGTTGCAAGAACCTTGTTGATCAAACAGGTCGGTCGTATCGTATAGAAGAATACTTTCACGAGTTCTTACTCTCAGATGTTTCCACTGTTGCGGGTACCTGAAACCTCCGCACAGAAAACAAAGGATTGTAGCAGCACCACAGGTGGATTTCGTCAGGATAGGAAAGAGATCTCCTGCGTCTCTAGGTCAGAAACACGGCAGCTCCAACTGCGCAGGAACAAGATGCGGAATGAAAGTATGGACAATTATGAAACAGTAGCTATGCTGGCAATGTGACAATGTGACGACTCTTTTGCATTAGAAGCAACCATTTGCCGTACAAGATCAACAGAGGTGTCAAGTGAGAAAACAACTGAAACCAGACTGGCCGCAACACCGGTAGTTCAAGTCAGAGTTCACGTTACACTATGCCAAATTCGAAACCTGTCAACGTACAATTTGTGCAAAATCCTACCAACGCCGGCAAGACACCGTAATCAAGAACAACATTGGCACGAAACCAACATATCAATAGTACCACTACCAACACCAGTAGTACTGACAGAGAAGAATGTTGATCAGATGCAAAAGGTGTAGCGATAGTTTCGGTAGTCACAAATAGCTGCGTCAACAGTTGCAGTGGCCGTGGTAGTAGAAGAATATGAACAACTTGCCACAGGCGACCAGAGGAACGGCAAACCGAGGTAGCAAGAGGATGGGCAAAGAGACTTCCCCCTGAATAATCATAATACAAACAGCGCTGACCTGCTGATGTGGCCCTGCCCCATGTCAAGTATGGTAACCACGGTAATAGAGCGGACGTCTGCCTTTTGCAGCTTCACCGTTGCGATCTCCTCGTGGAACAAACGAGCGACCTCCTGCGGCGGTCGGAGCACGGAGCGCTCCCTCTGAGCTCGAACTCCTTTAATGTGGCTTGCTTTGGTTGTGTTGTTTTGATAATTGACACGGCTCTTTTGACAACTGCAAAGCTCGCAATGCCAAGTTGGGGCTTGGTTTCGCATTTAGGTTTTAGGCTCCCGCCTCTGGTGGGTTTCCAAAGGCACCACAGCCGAAGGCTGAGAGGACACAGGCGTCGCAGCCGGCTTTCTCGGCACCCTTCAGGATGACGCGCACCTGCGAGGATTGCCCGGAGACATGGTGTTCAACTTGAAGAGGTGGCCACGAAAGCTGGAGCGGGAACTTTCCGGAAATGAGATCTGGAAGTCGCGAACTCAAGCTAAGATGGTGTTGCAAGCAAAGGCGGGTTCTGTGCCTGTCTGTCTTGCTGCGCATTCTCCGTCTGTACGTTTGTTGGTCGTTTCGTTCCTCATCAGCATTTGCAAAACACGGAGACATAGCAGGAGCAGAGGCGTGCCGAAAGCCTTCTACAAACCAAAGAAAGCATCGACGTGAATGACTCATCATCATGCATTCATGTGTGTATCATTTAATCATGTCTACGAATGAGGAGCCTGTAGGAGGGAGGGTTGGGGGAAACCAAAGGTGGCCAGCTGCCGTTTCATTAACTTTCCGTGTATGGCCTTCTGCCGCATGGACTCCTCATCCGCCGCGTACTTATACCTTGGAAAGCGGCATGTCGGGCAAAAAAAGGTGCACCCCAAAACTGGTGGGCGCTACCATTCCAGCACTGCCACACCCTCTTCGGCCCACATGCCGCCGAAAAGGGGGCAGCCCGACTTGTTCTGCCGGTCTCCAGCTGCTTCCGACATGCTGCTAGTCACTGCCAGGGCATTCGTTCTGCCGGATTGCTTGCGATCCGTGGTCAGCGCAGGGTAGCGCAGTGCAGCGCACGTGATGATCGCGGCTTCAAAGGATGGAACCTCAAACCAGCGTTCGCGAACACAGCTGACCCCATGCTACTTGATCGCCACGCCTCAACGATGCCTTCAGAAGCTGCCAGAGCCACAAAGAAAACCGTGCACCCGGAAAGGCCTGATCCCTTGTGCCCTGGCATTGTCCAAGCTTCTTGAAAATGAAGTGGATGGCTTCTAGCTGCAAGAACCCAAACAAAACCTCGATTTTCTCGCCGCAACATGTCTATGCCACGAAGTGAAGACAAGACTCCAGAAATGGATACCCTTCCTTTTCAGAGCCACGGAGGATGGTGACGTTGGTGGACAACAAGCCTCGGGTGGCTTCCACATGGAGGTTCAAGGGTTTGGGCACCAAGTCGGCCTGTGAACAGGTTCGCTTCTACTTGCAACTCCAAGTCTGCAGTGTCTGCTCTTGATATGTGACTCGAGTATGCAAACGACTGAGCAGTTGAACTGTGGACTGTGAAAGCTACCCTGAGCAAGCCTGGCATACTCCACTCCTGCAGCAAATGCTGACAAGACACATGCATCTGGTTTTATCGGGTACAAGCCTTGGCAACAAGGCTATCAGCACAAAGACAAAACACCGATGACATGGCAGGCCTACCCTAGCCGTGCTCGCGCCACATTTTCGATTCAAGACCAAGCCTTGTGCTTATTTGTCTCTGTAATGGCGAACCCTACCCTAGGAGAAAGCCTGAGCCATCCCAAGCCTCAAAACTGTGGTCACACGCTAGAAAAAGCTGTATGTTGGAATCTCGGTACAATCCGGCCCTGGTCAGCAAGATTACCAAGAAGTCTTTCCACAAATTGGCTTACTCGCTTGCCTTTGGGCATGACGGCGCAAGCCATCAATTCTTAAAACCGGCAAGTAATTTGCCAGAATGGCTCAGTCAAGCAGGCTCAACAGAACTCCAACTGCTGTATGTTTGCTGACAAACCTGCTGCGGAAGGCAAGAGCAAGAGTACTGAGCACATCTGTTTCTGGACTAAGCCATGCTCTGTCACAGGCAGGATTAGAAGCCTTTAGTTGCCAGGGCACTTCCCTTGCATGGCTCCAGGAAGCGGTACAGGTCACTTCGGCGATACATGTTCTCCTCCTACCACGTCAGCTGTGGCCGTTCTGAACATTTACCGACTTCCAGATGCCCACTGCCTACAAGCTTGAAAACACGCAGAAGTATGCAAAGCCAGCACGGCCTTTGGCAAGATCGTAACTACATCGACGGCAACTGCCTTACGCTTGTGAGCATTCAGATCCAACCTCAACGACATCAATGACCTCCAAGAACACAGCTCCACGCAGAAGTCCTGTGCACCAGCACCAAAGCGGAAGCCTCCTCCGGGAGAGGACGCCGAGGCCATGTTTAGCACTGCCACAGCGCAGCCCCTGGGCGGGTGATGCTACGGCCGAGGGAAAGCCTCCATACAACACAGCCAACACAAACATCGCCGGCAAGTATTCAGCGGGAAAGAGTGCCAAGCCACTGCTTGGCAAAGTCTCCAGCTTTTTCAAGCATGTCGCACTCCATGATTTCTACCTCTTCAGCTTCAATCGGCTGCGACTTCCGGGCAGTGTTTTGCATAGTGGACTTTGGAGGCAGCTCTTCGGATCCTGTGTTTTGTGGCGCTGTGGACCAAGTGCCTTGGTGATTCGTGGGTCCTCCTGGCCCTGGCCGTCGGCCTGCAAGCAGTCTCCCACCTGTCACAAGATGCAGCTCAGATGTGACGCGACAATTCCTGACAATCCGCCCTCGCAACCCAAAAGGGTGACTCCTCATGGACTTGAGAGCAGAGCGGATGAAAGGTAGGGCTGCGAAGTTCTACACAACACTCGTATGCAAGTCAATGTTGCATGGGCTGTCCTGAAATCGAAGCTCGCGGATGGCGGGGGTTGGGGGGGTGGGGTTGGTCGTATCGAAAGAGCAGCCTTTTTGATGGATCAGCGAAGAAAGTGGGGACGAGTACGGGGTGGCCCGCCTGCTGACGCTTAGCTCCCCGGTAAAGTGTCGTTCGACCCAAACCAAATCTGTCAACAGCAACTCCCACAAGCTCCAAAGGACTGACTTTCGTGACTGTGCCAGCAGGCGGTTGGAACAAGCCCGAAACCCTTCAGAAAGGAGTCCTCAAAGCTTCCGCTCGCAAGCATGACCCCCCTCAAACGCATAACGACATCTTTGTCGCACTGGGGCACCCGTGCACCTCAAAGGGAATCGTGTCCACTTGTCCCAGCTTTTGCGGCTCCTCTTTCTCCAGCCTGTTCAATTCCTTCTCAGTCTGCAGCCTTCGTTTTCCACGCTTACACTCAGCATGTCTGTTCTTTCGGCATGCTTCAACAATCTTAAGCCTTGGCAGGCAAGATTCCAAATCAGTTGCCGCAGCGCACGGATGCGGAACATGTTGGGATTCTTCTTGCCGTCGCCGGCGCTTTCAAAATCCTGTCTCCACCTGCCATGCCGTAGAGTGACTCTGGGCACAACATGACTAGTAAAGGCGTAGTTCAATCCTACAGTGTGATGTTCATCGCGGAGACTGCTGCCAAGGTCTGCGGCCCTGACTTTGCCGGGCCTCGCTGGATCATGTGGACTTTCTGCCAAGTCCTGCAGGGGCCCCCCTTTTAAGAAGGCTGGGTGCCGACTCTCGGACTCTTCTAGGCCCTGGGCCTCGAGGCGGCAGTTCTCCACATCGTAGCAGACGTCCGAGCCGACTGCGCAGTCTCCTCCGACCTTTGCTCCTGTGCCGCTCTCCGACCCCGCCAGGTCTGCACCGTCTCCGCAGTTCTCAACTTCCTTCTGGCGAAAAAAGCAACAGCTGCAAACTTCGAGCAGAGCTGCCATGGCCATGGCTCCGCCGTGGCTCTGAGGCCACCCGAGACCGCAGAGCTACGGCGCTGCGGCCGCGCCTCCTTGAGAAAACACACCGTTCGATGGGCAGCCCGACTCCGCGAAGGAGGGCAGGAACCCAAACCACTATCCCCTTCGTGCATCTGTGTTTCCGCAGAAGCCTTGACAAGAAACATGTCTTTATGGGATTTCTATCGATTGCACTGCGTTCGAAAGTGGCGGAACACTTTGTGGAAGTCTTGCTCAGGTCCGAATTGCATCCGACAACCTTTTCGGCCCTCTACTGGCGACGGCTAAGGTCACACAAAGCAACGCGCCTTGCGGCTTCACGCAACACTGGCGGCCTCTATGGGAAAACACTTGGATTTTTGCATTTTTTGTGACAGAGAGAACTCGGAAGAGGAACCAGTCTCTGCGTAGAAGCTGCCGGCGCAGAAAGCTTGACCCAGATCGCAAGAGCAAATACCGAATACCAAAGTTCACCGTGCCAGCTCGAGACCTTGAGCGTGCGCGACCTGCTTTGCAGGAGCCTGCGCAAGGTCCTGGACCTTTGGAGAACGCCTCTGCACGCCTTCTCTGGAGTTTGCATTTCTCCACTCTGGCAGGTTGCTGCAGAGCCCTTGATCTCGTTCGACTGCACGTGGCTCCGTGAATCAGGCATCACAGTTTAGTCAGAGTAGGCCTGGACGGGCAATGCAGAGAACCTCCGCCATATCATCAGTGCATGTCAGCACGGACAGCACGGTCGCCTGGTGGCACGTCGAGCATTCCTTGGGATCACCGAAGCACAGACTTCCTTGTCCTTTTGATGTGCATGGCTGTGGGCCGAGGCTCTTCCGACCAATCCATCCGTCGATGCCTTGCCAGCAGATGCTCACGAAGTTGCCACTCACCGCCTTGGAAGCTCTGCTCTGCACCGAGACGCGGAACACCGGAACACCGAAGGCGCACAGCACAGTTCACACCAAGATGCGAGGGCATGTAGCAATGAGCCGTTTGCTATCTCGGCAATCACGGTCGCCCCCTGGGAGTGACAACTCGCAAACGCACAGCCGCTTTCGCAAGCTTTGGCTGCATCCTTGCGACGTCGACGTTGCACTTCTTAGGCATTCTGCCGACCAAGTCTTACGCTCTCAAGTCTAACGTCGCCCCTGTTTTGTTGTCCAGGGCGGACCTCCACAGGCTTCTCAAACACACGGACGGCAGGATGATTCTCGGCCTGCGACAGGTACATCCACTGATGTCGCATTCGCAAGGATCGCAATGGAAACTCATCTAGCGCGCCGGGTTGGCACAAAACTGCCAGTTGAGTTCTTGCCAAGGCCGAACCCCGCCCAAAAAAAATTCGACATTTGCACCTGATGAAGCAGCATCAGCGGCCCTTGCCAGGCCGCGCGGCCGCCAACCACGGAGAAGCCTGTCCCGGGTTGGCAGTAGAAGGCTTGGCAGGTGTAGAAGCATATACACATGGCGACATTTTGCGCAGAGGCTTTGCTTCAGACGGGGCGCTTTCTTTCGAATCAGCAGGCGTGGCTCCGGCTAAGGGACGAATCGGTCCATGCATGCTCGATTGGCCATGTGCCCATCTTGGAACTGCCACTGTCTACAAATTCCGAGCTGGGACGGTGACCGCTTTTTCAAACCGCGGGTGTTTGAAAATGACACGCCAATCAGTGGAAGCCCTGTGAGAGTGATCGGCCATGCCCCATGCGGCCCATGCGGCACGTGACTGTTGATCCTCTGGTTTCTCTGCCGCCCAGCTCAAGACCAGTCGGATTTCTCCGACCGCTGCCACCTCCAGTGGCCCTCCTGGCTTGTGTTTTTCGATCGGTCTTCGGCATTCCTCGATGCCCAAGAGTCATCGAGATGTACGCAGAAAGTCCCGGACCGAGACTGCGAGAACACCCAGCCCCGCGAGTTCGCAAGGCGAAGGAAGACGCCCTCGCTGCCATCTCAAAAAGGTCTCTCTTCCACAACCTCGAAGACTTCATTGCTGTTGAGGTAGCCCACTGTGTTCTGGCGCGATGTCTGCGGCCATCGCCTCATCACGTCCGTGCCGCCTCGCCGCACACATTTCCAAGTGCGACGAACGGCTGGAGGCTCAGAAGTCCATCCCTGATGAGACTCTTCTTGTCCATGCGTGCATTGCGGATGGCTGGTCCATGAAGTCGGGTTGACTTCGACAGGCTCGTTTGGGAGCTCTTGGGTCTCAGACACACTTTCGCCCGGAGGCTCCGGCTTCCATTGCTGGGACGCCTACGCCTCTGGCTCTCGTGCACGGCTGGTCAACAAGGTAGAGTCCACCGCGACAGCCTCTTTCGGAAGCTCTGCTGTTCTTTCTTGGCGGCCTTGTTGTACCACGAGGTACGCACAAATCTTGCCACGCTGCTTCTCGCAGTTTTACATTCAAGAGCAGCATCTGCTGCATTGTGTTGCTGCTCATGCTCAACGAGCTGCTGCCGGACCAGCTGGAATTGGCTCGCCGAAGCCCCGACGATGCTTCTTCTAAAAGGCGAACTTGCTGTTGTAGTTCTTCGATGGGGACATCCTGGTGCTCATCGAAGAACTACAACAGCGAGTTCGCCTTTCAGAAGAAGCATCGTCGGGGCTTCGTTGAGCCTGCTCGGCAACCAGGGCCGACACAACCATGTCCCGTAATCCATCGAACATGTTCGCGATCTCTGCCGCACTCATTTTGACCGTGCCTTTGGGCAAATCCCGAAACTTGAAACACAACGCTCTACAACAGCAAAAAAAATAAGCATGCCGTAGTGGTCAAGACCGACATTCACGTTTAACATGAACCTTTGCAGAATCTAGGAATCACATTTCCACGTGCGGCGAACGGCTGGAGGCTCAGGCCATTGCAGGGAAATTTCTGGTTCCAGCGCATGGCTGGTTAACAGAGTCGCACGTTCAACTCCACAGCTTCTTGTGGCAGTTCCTTCTGCTCTTTGTCCGCAGCCTTTCCGTACCATGCCACCCGCAAGAATTTGGAACCGTGGGACATGGCGAGCGAGTTCCAGCTGGTCCGGCAGCAGCTCGCAGAGCAGGAAAAGCAAGACAAAGCAGCAGATGCTGATGAGGAATGGAAAACCTTGCGAGCGACAATGCTTGTTCCAGGTATCGGACACGCTGTTGCAGTTCCAGAATTTAAACGTCTCGTTTTTGTTGCCGCTGCAAAAGCAGGCTTCGTTGATCCTGCTCGGCAGTCAGGGCCGACACAACCATGTCCCGCAGTCCATGCAACATGTTGGAAACTGTCAAAATGACTGCCGTAGACATCGCAATGCAATCGCTGCTGCACTCATTTTGACCGTGCCTTTGGGCAAAGCCCGAAACTTGAAACAGACAGATCAACAGAAAAGTGTTACTGTTCGTGCATTTCTCTGGATGCAAAGGGCCGCGATCTTGAAGACTCTTAGTCTTAGATAATCTTCCAAGCTCATGCACGGCCTTCGCGTTCGATCGCAGCAGTAAGTGGAGGGATGCCTGAAACTAGACCATAGAATGGATAGATTCGGAGTGGCTCTCTCGCATGCTTCAAAACCCGCCTAGGAAAAGCAGGTCACCGACGAAGTCGAGCAAGGAGGTGAGAGCCGCCGGCTGGGCCTGGACTTTGCAAGAGCTGCAGGGGGCACGAAGAACATGGCATATCAATGCGAAGCAGGAGGGCTCAGAAGTCAGAACGGTGCCTTCGCATCGTCCAACTTGAGCCCGTCGCTGAAGCTGACTCCGTCGCGCAGCCTCGAGGCCACATCAGCCAGCTCGGGAGCCAAGATGCCTGGCATGCCAAGACCGGAACGTGCGAATGATGCTAGTGCTCTGCTGTCTTATCAGACTGGGTGGCCTGCTGCTGTGCCCTCCATGGCGGCACGCACAGCTGGCGCGTCGATGCTCAGCATCCGGAGAGTGGCATTCCGAGCCGAGGTCCTCGGCACCATCCGCAGAGACGTCTCACGAAAGAGCCCCGGCCAGATCGAAATCTCGCTGCACGCACCGAAGGACAAGAAAGATAAACACTATCTAGCCACTGTCAGCGCATGCATGAAAAACGAGCTCTGCAAACGCAGCTCGCAGATACAACAAAATAGCCAGCTCTTTTGGTCCGACTTCGCAAGTCACTGTGTCCACCACAACTTTTAGCCCCTGCAGGAGACGACACTGCCGCAAAGAGGCTGCACCATCTGATCCGCATGGTCGATCAGCTGCACCGCCCCTGGACGTCAGAATGGCATTCCAGACTCTGTAGCATTGTTCGCGACACCCGTACTTGAGCAGTCGAGTGGCGGTCGAAGATCGGCATGCGCAAAGCAGCTTCTCTTCTGCTGGAGGCCACGTAACCTGATCTACAGAAATGAAGCTTCTTCACAGACTCGGTCCTATAGCCTGCAGTCTGGCCTGCACTGCCTTTGCTCTCCGTGCTCCGGCACGTCGCGAGGCACAGCAGCCCTAGCTCTCCGTCCAGGCGCAGGGCGATGCCCTCGGCACACACAGGACGTTTTGAAGAATCTAGGCTCCTTTCTTGGTCCTGCGCGCCTTCCTACTTGATCAAGTCAAAGCTGTTGCCATCAGATGGCTCTGAGCAATGACAGTGCCGTGCGGCCTTCAGAAGAGTGACGAAGTAGGCCATTGATTCTTCGTCCATGCTGTCCTCAATCGTGCGGTCTGCAAGCAGCAGCACCGACGTCACGCTACAACCAAGCGGCATAGATGTCGAGAATGACGTTTCGACTGGATGCGCACACTAACACGGAGACCACCAAAAGATAAAAGTAGACAGAGGAGACGACCATGCAGAGAAACATACATTCATATAGCTGTTCTTGAATGCATACGGTACCCCACCCGCGGAAAAACGAGCCATCCCACATCGTCTGCGTGTTTCGTTCCAGATGGGGCTGTAACACTCTAACGTTTTGTTGCGCATACTTCATGAAACCAGTCACAAGAGGTCTGACTCGTTTGATCCAGCCTGAGAGCAAGGTAAAATAATCACTGAACCAGACTACATTGGCTCAAACCGCGTTTTACAGGCTCATCGCCACTTTTTGGAAGTGGCGGATCTTGAAACTTGTATCCAGGGCATGAGCACACGGATTCGATTCGGGAGGTTCCCTGGGTTTAAGAAAGATTCCGTCCGATACCAGTACAATCCCAAAATGTCTAGTACTAGTACTAGCACTAGTCCTAGTAACTAGTACTAGCAGTAGTAGTGGTAGTCGTAGTCGTACTGCTACTACTACTACTACTACTATCACTACTGCTACTACTACAGTGTGTAGGGAAAAGAGGTCCGATATCCGACCAAGAACTTGCAGTCAATCTTGCTACTCTTGGTCTGCAAGATTTTTGGAAAATTTTGGGAAAAGGGGCAAGATTGCAGGCAACCGCGTTCTTGAAATCTTGCAACCTTGCACCGCTTGGACAGCTTGGACAACTTGTACCGCTTGCGCCACTTGAGCCACTTGGGCCACTTGAACCATTTCTCGTCGTGAAATGATTCAAAAGGCGCAAGTGGTTTAAGTGCCGCAAGCGGTTCAAACGGTGCAAGTGGTCCATGTCGTGCAAGTGGTGCAAGGATTCAAGACTCCAAGATTCGCCCCCCATCGTGCACACTAGCAAGAATACAAGATTGCAAGATGAGCACACTTACCTGCAATCTTGCCCCAAAGCCGTCAAGCAAGATTTGGCCCGTTGGCGACCCCCCCAAGATTGGCAAGATTTGCAATATTTGCAAGATTCCCAAGACGGGCAAAATTTAGGTCTCAAATAGCGCGCTTCGTTTCCCTGGGCAAAGTAGTAGTAGTGGTAGTAGTAGTAGTAGTAGTAGTAGCAGCAGTAGTGGTAGCAGTAGTAGTAGTAGTAGTAGTAGTAGTAGTAGTGGTAGTAGTAGTAGTAGTAGTAGTAGCCGTGGTAGTAGTAGTAGTAGTAGTAGTAGTAGTGGTAGTGGTAGTGGTAGTGGTAGTGGTAGTGGGAGTGGTAGTGGTAGTGGTAGTGGTAGGAGTTAGTAGTAGTCGTAGTAGTCGTAGTAGTAGTGGTAGTAGCAGTGGAAGTAGCAGTAGTAGTAGTAGTAGTAGTAGTAGTAGTGGTAGCAGTAGTAGTAGTAGTAGCAGCAGCAGTAGTAGTAGTAGTAGTAGTAGAAGCAGTAGTAGTAGTAGTAGTAGTAGCAGCAGCAGCAGTAGTAGTAGTAGTCGCAGTCCTAGTAGCACGAGTAGTAGTACTAATCGTACTTGCGGTACTGGTAATCTAGTCGTACTCGTAAGAAGTCAAAACAATAGCAATAGTAGTAGAAGTGGCAGTAGTGGTAGTCGTGGTAGTAGTAGTAGTAGTAGTAGTAGTAGTAGTAGTTGTTGTTGTAGTAGCAGGAGTAGTAGTAGTAGTAGTAGTAGTAGTAGTAGTAGCAGTAGTAGTAGTAGTAGTAGTAGCAATGATAATAGGAGTAGTACTATAGTAGTACAGTAGCAGCAGCAGTACCAGCACTAGCAGCAGGAGCAGGAGGAGTAGGAGTAGGAGCACGAGCACACTGCATAGGTGTTTGCAATACATGATGCCTTTTCCCATCATCTGTAACAGATATTAACCGAATTTTCAGCATGCAGCTTAAAGCTCATAGTTCAATCAGAACCTGTCTAACTTCACATAACTTGCTAAGACTACTTCGATGACAGGTGCTGAGAATCCAACCTATAGTTTTTGGAACACTCTTTTGCGGCTTGGCTATTCTAGGCTTGTGTAAACTTGGACGAATATGTGCCTAGTATACAGCATTTGGATAGACAGGAATTGGAGCAGTTCTCTAAGGAATGTGCCGGCGGGTCATCGAAGAAGTCATTCAGCATGCCCTGGCAGACAAGCGCTCCGCCACCCCCAAGAGGAGGAATTGCAATACACACTGGTAAATCAGCAGAGGACTCCGTAACATGGAAAAGAGCAATCTTACCACGAACCTGGGACAGCAAGTAGATCAGAGAGGTGTCCTGACTAAACCGATTGTCACTGCGAGACATCAAGTCAACCAATACACGCGTAACACGCTCCAGCCCTCAATTCAGGCAGGAGTCGCGCTCGGCGTTCTGCACCAAGATAGACAGGGACTGTAAGATCTGCAGCTTAACCTCAGCTCTGCCCAAGCAGCGCACAATACGTACTTGGCATACGACACAACTAACCGAGGCACAACTACGGGGACGGCCTCTGCCCGAAGTGCGGCAACAAATCCTGCGGGTCTGATGTCTGCCATGTCTCGGCATTGGTTTCCTGTTCATTTTGTTCTCTGGTTCCCAGCATTCGGACAAGCTCTGACAGGTCCCAGCCGTGCAGCTTCAAGATGACAAAAATGCGCATTTCTGTTAGCGTAGTAGAGTCTCCTGGAAGCATGGAATGCTCGCAGAAGAGGCTGAACAAGGAGTCATCGTTGGTTTCGCACCAAACCAGAGATGCAGTAGCTCTCCGAATCTGGCAGGGTGCACAACACGAGTGGCTTCTCTAGATTCACCGGACACTTCCAAATGCGGGAGGGGCGAGCCGGTGGTGCCCTCGACTTCCAACGGCAACAGAGGCAAGAGGGCGGTTGGAGGTAGGACAGGAGCCACGACATGAACAGCAGCAAGGCACCTCTTCGACCAGCGCCGGCACGTCAATACGCTTGTGCCGGTGCCCGAAGGCTACTGCCTGTGCCGGGGAAATCATCTGGAGCGTGAGTGCACGCAACGGCTCCCTTGTCCGAGGCACTTCCAATCGCAGCCGGATCGACTGGAGGGAATCGCTGAGTGCGGTCTCCTGGGCTGTCACCGGAACACAGGCAACAAACAGCCCAGCAAGGTCGATGTCCGAGCAGTGCGTCAGAGTGACCGAACAGCCCGCCGGGCCGTGCAAGGGCTCCCTGCTCAGAAACCGAGCAAAACGATCTGAATCTCTACGAGTGGTCGGGCGTGGGTCATGCCGTCATGTCAGTCCGTCTTGCATCTGACACTGTCTGCAAAGACACGGCAAGTGCATCCTGGCCACGCAAATATTTTGCGTCTGAAAACAACTGTCTTCGAGAGACTTACACATCAGTGGCGAGATGCTAAACCCCAGTGCAGACTGTGGACACTGTCTCGGCTCCAAGTCTGCAAATACTTTCCATTGCAATGTAAGATACTCCGAATCTCCAAGTATGCACTGCTCTTCTCGGCGACTGGGTATCGAATGGTATCGACAAACGTCCGCATTCCGAGTTCTGATCTTGGGGCTTCAACTCTGAAAATTGGAGCAACACCCACCACTCGCAAAGCACTGGTGGCATCGCAATATCAAAACCAGCCACGCCACATGTATATGCTCGATGCCAAAAGCACCCGCTCGAGACACACATCAAAGGCATCACAACACCTCAAAATCAGTAATGTAGGCGCTCCATGAACTTAATGCGGCTGACCGTAGAGTTCCCGCTTACAATGCAGCTGGTCAGTACGAAGGGACAGGAATCCCCATGTAGGCCCGTTGCGCCAAGATCGGATTCCCAGTGCACAAGATGAACTTACTTGGAAGTGCACAAGATGAGTGCAAAAAACCCATGCCCTAATGTGGACGCTGCTGGAGGCATGGTGCAAAAGGATCATTCACAAATAGAAGTGGCTGTTCGAAGTGCGATTTCCCCGTGTGGACCTTGATCGATGCGTCTTCAACCAAGCGATGCGAGTATGGTGTTCGAACATCCTGGCCTTTCAACCTTCCACGCACACCGACCCACTGGATGCTCGGCTTCCATTGCCGAAATCTTCTGGCTGCTTCTCTTATAGTTGGGTGGCCAGTTAGTCAACAACATCAGATTCACGTGGACTGCCTTTGGCGGGAGACTCTTTCTTCGCGGCTTTCTTGTACCAGCCCGTGCGCAAACATCTCGCCACGCTGGCGCGAAAGATTTCAACAGCAGGCTCCTGTACTCCCGCTCAACAACGAGGCTGGATCAACCCGTTGAGCATTTTGTCGATGTGTGCGGCCGTTGCCATCTTGCATGTGTCTCCCGGGAAAGGAAACATCTTGAGACAAATAAGGCTATCAGCTGTCGTATCGATCCAAGGGGTTACAACAGCAAAACACTTCGGCATGCCACGAAGCTGCCTTCAACAAAAGTCTTTCTAGAATCTAGAATCGAGGGAGGCCTTGGCAAATCCTGTTTACTTCGGGACAATCAGAATCTTAGCAAAGGCGGGGAGCGGTTGCCTCAGCGACGATCGTTTCGGCGGCGCACAGCCAGCAGAGCAAAACATGACGCTTGAAGCTGCATGAGTGGACAGGGGTGTGCTCCGCGCTTCGCTAGAACTCAACGAGAGGATGAGTGAGCAACAGCCTTTCCAACACATTGAGTTTGCCAGAGGTGCTCAACATGTGCCGGAAATTGCGATGCTACATGGAGGCTATCCCTTCGATCCAGTCACTACTAGTACGGTATATCAAACGGACTACATGAGGGTCAGGCTGTCGGCCACCGACCTGCTGCGAGGCACAAGCAATGCTTCACAGAACACTCTTTTGCTCTTTGCCGCAACAGCATTGGCCGCAAGCTGTGCATTAACTGAGCAGACCTGGTGCCCCAATCTTTGGGGCTTCAGGCTTCCTCGTGTCTGTGTACATGGGAGCAGCCCACTGAGCGCTCGTCGGGCAAGGCTCCCCAAACAGAAAAAATAACACTCCTCTGCTGTGCCTGCCAACTTTTCTGCAGGCCCTGGGCCCGAACTAGGCCCTCGGTGTTGGGGCGAGGGCCGCCTGCCTCCTCCGATCCTGTTCGATTTCGGCTTGCTGCGACTCGTCTTTCTCGTGGACGACCCCTCGCTGCGCCGCCCGCGGCGCATGCGGCTGCGGGAGAGGCCTCGGGACGAAACGGCGCCCACCTGGCGGCCCCGGGCCCCGGGCCCCAGCGCTCGCGTAGCTCTCTGAGGCCGTCGCCCGGTAACCAGCGAGATGTCCACCTTAAAGTTTGTCGCTTGGCTGAACGCAGTTCCGCGTAGCCTGCCAAGTCGAGCGCCGCTGGTCGTTGCGAAGTGCCGAGGTCAATGTCGAGAAAGTGGAGGCCCCATTTGTTGGGACTGGGCTGGCGGTAGCTGTACCTGCGTCTTGATCCAAGTCATGGCAAGTTCATTCGGCGAACGGTTTGCAAGGGTGCTTGAAGCGACCACCAGGCACTTCTCCGGTGAGTTGCCAGCCATGGCAGGAAGTCAGGCCTTCCACCTGAAGCTTCGCTGCTCTCCAGCTCCACGCCGAGACTCAGACCCACTGAGCACCACTGAGACGGGTGCGACACCGGCGAAGATGACAGGAATGGAGAGGCCAAGCCTCGGGCACGGAAAGTTTTGTGCAGTCCACAATCGGTCTCGGTCAGCTGGCCTGCTGTCCCGCAGGTCTCCCGTCGTGCCTCCAGCCGGGCCAGGACATGTTCTAAATCGAACAGCAAGAGATCTCATGAGTCGCCGGTGGCTTGACATTCTTGCAAGCCTGCAATGAGCTGTGTCTGAAACCCTCATCCTTCACGACTTCTGCGAAAGCTCGGTAAGTTATGGCGGGAAGGAGAGCCCACGAGACGAGTGGACCTGACACCGTTCAGACTCGGCTTCTCCAAGAAAGCCGGGGTCCGCACTGAAGCCTGCTCCACCGTTGATCACGATCACCTCCCGGCAAGGGTACCTGAAAATCCCAGGATGAAGAGGAACTGTGCAGCCTCCGCTGGGTTGCCGAAGAGACTCTGAACCCTGGGACCTGGCTTTGCACTTGAGTTGTCTTGTGCAGCAGTACTAGATCGAGTGTTGTTGCACATGTTCATAATGGGCCGACATGTTATGAGTATTTATGAGTCATGAGCATTTTCTGGAACCACGCCGGAGCACTGCGACAACTTCCACTGGAAGAGCTTCTGAAGCAGACTGGCATCAAGGCGCAGGGTCCGGATCAGCTCTGACAAGGCGACGGGGCAGCTACCACTCGGAAAGCCTGGACTGCTCCTGCCGGCTGTCGCGCCAGCTGAGGAACATCGGGTTCGACGTAGACCTTACAAAGGCTGTCTCTCCCACACTTCGGATTTGCGAGTTCTGCAGTGGTCGTTCGGAGGCAACCAACACCGCGGGTTCCTTTTCTTCGAAATCGAATCGCGGCGCTCGTCATCTGACCAGTCTTTGGTGTGGTACACCGCAATGGTCTGTTTCAGCCACTCCCTTAGAATCGGACAGGGAAGCTTGGGTGCAAGGCTTGGAACTGAAAACGGAAGACGCCCGGGGAAAGCCCGGCCACGGACAGCTTTGCAGACCAGCGATGCTCTCAGCGCCGCGCAGCTCGGCCGCGGAGCGCAGCTGCGATGTCAAGTCCTTTACAGAGCAAACGGCGGGAGCCAAGCCTTTGAGCCGAATCCGATCTCCGAGGGTAAAAGAGGGGGGGGGCCCGGGGGCCCCCGGCGCCTTCTGCTGCTGGAAGCCGTGACGCTCGATCAAGCGTGTCGACTCCTCCTGTACGAACACAGCTGCTTGTAGGGCTACAAGTAGGGCTCTCAGCGATCTTACAGTTACACCAGCCTCCGTGAGCAGGTTCGGGTGATGCACCGATGGAAAGTCAGGGGTTCCCCAGCTAATGACTGCACCTGTCGCAAGCGCTTGCACACCATCGCCTAGACACGAGGGTCGTCCGTGGCAAGAGCTCACCCCGTGCCTTTGACAGCATGTCGTCGGATGTTGCTCAAGAAGGTGGAGGCCGCCGTGGAGGGAAGGTGTTCTCCAACCTGTCTCAGGGCAGGAAATAAAGGGAACCAACATGTTTACTCCAAGATGGAATTTAAGGTTGGCGCACCAAAGGCCTCCAGGGACATGATCCAGTCAAAGCGTCTTCCAAGATCGAAGGGCTGTCCTCACAATGCCAGTGAGCGGCAGCACTTCTTTCGAACGGCTTACATGCATGTTCACATGAACTCTCCGACACGAAGATGTAATCGCTGTCCAGCCTAGATTTTGATGTTGCACTATGCCACCCGTCACAGATGTCACCTCGATTCAGATCCACAACTCAGTTCGAAGCACGTTTCTGTGTCTCAGCAGAGTTGTGGATCTGAACAGAGGTGACATCCATAACTTGTGGCAGGTGCGACACCAGGCTCCTGATGTTGCACCCTGCCACACATCATGGATGTCACCTCCTGCTTGAAACTATTCTCCGACGCTTGCCAGGGCCATGGCATTGGCGATGCCATCATAAGCCATCACCTCCCATGATCTTCCGTGTTCGCTCAGACCAAGATGAGAGAGAGCCCGCGCAGCCCACCTGGACGAGACCGGTGTCGTTCAGCCAGGCAGCATATGAGCCCTGCTGCGAGGTCAGAATTCACACACACACACACACACACAAACGCACTGTGCACGAGTTTGACACGCCATGACCAGCCTTGAAAGCGCCGAAGTCTCCAACGGTGTCGTCCTCAAGACAGGGGTTCCGCATCATGCGACAATTAGCATCGCCTGCGGGCCTCAGCCCCTCGCCGCAACGAAAACCTTGCGAATAAGGAAGCGCAGCACCATCTTGTCAGTGAATTTTCTGTCCTCCTGACGAGTCGACCATGTCGGACCCACGCCTAAACTGTCCAGGAGCTCTCCTGGAAGAGGCTGCGTCTCAGCTCCCAGGTGTCGTACTCACCCCCCTCCTACGAGTCCGAAAACCAGCTTGCACGAACTCGTGAGGAACAAAACAGCGAAGAGGCCACAGCCGGCCCCCCGCCTTGGGGAGCAAATGGTCTGAGTCCGAGTCCGCGTGTTGAGGCCTGCTCTGTTCACTGCGTCTCGAGAGCAGACATGTGCAGTCCGTGCGCCTCAGCAGACCCAAGCGATGTCGCGTCTGGCGGAGGAAGCTAAGGCTCCTGACATCCAAACATGATGGCAGAGCCAAGTCGTCTGTGACTGTGGGGTCAAGGGGTCCTCCTCATGGCGATGAAACCGTTAAAGATCAGCTGCCAGCCTGCGCCAAGAGCTATCTTCGATCGAAAACAGCTGACTTCGTGCACGATGCTGCTGTTGCGTGGGAGCACGTTGTGTGCAGCCTTCTCTCACGGGCATCATCTGCTCGCTCGTTGTGATCCAGCCTTGCAGCCAGAACACCCCGGCTCGTCACACAGCATCCGAACTTCAAGCCGACCTCTTTCGTGCCGGGCCCCCGACGAAAATTCGTGAAACGGGACGTGGCGCCAATTTCCCAGAAGATCTTTCGCTCGCAAGGCATGCATGCGCGTGGTGAAACAGCGCTTCTCAGACGAAAGCCTTGGCCACCTGCTTGCTGAGCTCCTGTCAATCTCTGCTGAATGAGGTCCAAGATTCTTCTGGGCGTTTTGGAGCGGGCCTCCTGGTTCTCCACCATGCTAACGTAGCCACTTCGAAGCACAGCTCCCCACCTCTGACACGGAAGGCGAAAGAGAGAAGAGACTTGAAGAAAACCACACACACCCAGACCCAGACGCTCCAAAGGCAAGGCCCAAGGCACTTGGTATCCAGGCAGCGATGCAACGTGGGACTCGAGGCGTGGCGGCTGAAGAGGAAGGCCAGGAAGCGGCTCACGTCCTCGATTCGATCGATTCGATGAAAACGGAAGCCGAGAAGCCGAGGCCAATTTTTTCGGCCTCGTGGATCCGCAGGGCAGCCAGGAAGGGAGGCAGCAGCATCGGCGAGCCCCAGAAGAAGGCGGCATCCTGCCGGGGTCCGGAGCAGAGTCTAGCAAGACTCCGAGACATCCGAGGCAGCCTGTAGCTTCTCATACTTGCGATTTTGAAGGTCGTAGTAGAGATTCACCTGCCTCGGTACATCGTGGCGACTCAGATGTCGAGGGATGGAAGTTAATGTTTAACGAAGATCAACCGCGAGCAAGGCGGGAATCTCTGATCCCAATCAAGTGCACACTCATGCTGTAGCGCTCCGAACATGGTACCTAATCCCAGGCACGACTGTTACTGCAGTTTACGATCCATGATTTCTTTCTACTGTCAGGATGATGCTTTCGAAGTCTAGCATGTAGGGCGTCAAGGCTTTGCAATGTTCGGCCCAATCCGAAGTAGCTTGGATGCAGCCCGGGTAGCTTACCCGTCTCGTCAATCAGCTTGGTCAGCCGCCTGCAATCTGTCAAGATACACACCGTCAACACCAGCCCGCACTTGGGCAGCTGCTCATGCAGCCACCAGCACCTCAGGATCAAAGGGCCCACATTGAACATCTTTAAACACACCCCAGCCCCAAGGCCTACCCAGGCCAGACCTACTGAACCCCAATCTTCAAGAGGCCCAGGCCACCGCTGCGGCTCGCAGCAGCCGGGCGAGGCGCACTTTTCGCAGGCCCGACGCTGGACGGCCTGAAAGAGAAGCGAAGAGCAACAAAGGTACGGACTTCCGACTGCGACTTTTCTGGCCTCCATGTGGTCCCGAACCTCTGCAGGAACCCTCTGCCCCCAAGCCAAGGAGGGAGTTTGCCATGACAGCATCTGGGCTGTCATCTCCTGCTGTCGCTACAGTCGGTGCGACAGCTTCGAAACCATGCCCGGGTTGCAAAGCTCCGAAAACCGACACTGCGGGATCTGCCGGTTCGGCAACATCTTTCCATTTCCAAGAAGAGCTTGCTGCCCTCCCGCGCTGAGTCGTGATCAAAAGTCAACCACGGGAATCATGGGTTCTGACTATTTCGCCCTGCGAGGCACTGCTCTGATGCTCCCAACAGCACATTCCCTTCTGTCCTTGGAGTTTAGGTCCAGGCCTGGCATCAGATGCCGGTAGTCCTCCTCGATACCATCGCATGGCACAAACACTCCATTGCAGAGTACCCGAAACCCTGAAGCACCTGCATCACACTGTCGAAGAGGATCTCTTTCACTAGCTCCTGCTTCACTCCAGGTGCAAGAAGATATCGCGCACAAAAGCTGCCAGGCCTCCGGCACAATGCTGTGGGCCAGAGCCTCCACCGACAACCAGGTGTCCGAATTATGGTCCACCGCCTCCTCCAGCCGCCGGTCCTCCATGCAGAACGTGTGACAACTTGGCGGGGTCCTTCTCGATGACATCTAGCATGCCAGCACCGACGGTCCAACATTTTGGGATGCACGGACCCCACTGCGGTACCTGCCGTTGCTGAAGTGCGCAGGGCAGTCAGTGGCTTTCATGGATCTAAACACGGTCCGTTGGAATCCACACGTTCTTGCTTGCCCACATTGCAGCACTGGGCACAGGCTGGAAGGAGTACTGGAACCAGTCGCACCATGGCGCTCCAACATCAAGCCGTTGTGTCATAGTATGTCTTGCGCTGAATTTGCAGCACGAATGCTTGCCATGGCAGAGGCAGTGCTTTTTAACCATTGTGTAACACTAACTACCACGAGTATGGGCCTGCTGCCTTGGATAGATTCTCAACGCTGCTTTTATGTGGCAGACGACAGAGGCTGCTGTGGACAAGGGAGAAGCCGTTATGTCGAAACCAAAGTGAGAAAACTGAAGTCTTACTGTCTTTGTCTTTGCTCAGGCGTAGAATCTACCTCTGATCCTACGTGGTCCTACGTCAGAGGAAGGTCTTCACCAGCTGTGTGAAAGTGCCGTGATCATGCGAATCGCCCTGGGCTGCTCCCCGATCCACATCTCATCCGCTTCATGGCACACCAACTAGATGCAACTACCAGTAGCAGCAGCACGACATCAGGCAGCGCCAAAACACAGCCCCCGGCGAGCGTCGAGAAGAATCCTCCTCAATGCAGGCGCTTTTTCGGGCAGCTGGCCCAACCCTCGGATGAAAACTTGGAGAAAGCTTCGTTCTGGTGCTGGGAGTGGCTGCATCAAGTGGCGAGTGCGAGTCGCTCCGATCCCTCCAAGATCTCTGCAGCGTCCCGAAGCTTGAACCCACCGAGCCTGGCAGCTCTATCCCAGATCACTCCTCCAGCGCCAGCGGTGAGTCTGCGACCAGTAGAAGGACCTGTACGGCCTCGTCGGCCAGCACCTGTGAGGAAACTTCTGAGCCACCTCGCAAATGCCTGAGGGGCACAAGCACCCACCCGTTGGAATTAGCCTCGTCTACTGCAGCCCACTGGCGTTGAGACAGAACGCTGCTTGGCCTAACACCAGTGAGCGCACAAGGCAGGAAGTTCGAAACAAAAGAAGCGGCCAACGACGCAGACAGATTCTTGCATGCCCATTCATGGGAAGCTGAGTGCCAGAGCTGAGTGCTTGTCAGTGCCTCATCTCAGGCTTTCGCTGAGGTGCTTTGCTTGTGCAGGCTTGAGCAACTATCATCAGCTGCAGGGCAGCACCGCTCAATTCCCAGAACCTTCCGAGCCCCTTGCTGCAGTCATGGCGTTGCCTCCGTTTGTCAAAACACTCCGAGCACTACATCAAAGCCATCATGAGCCAACAAACGTGCCTTTCGTGTCCAACACCAAGATGCTGATGAGCCCATATCGATGGATGTGCCACTCCTAGGGCCAAAAACTGATTCTGGCCTAGACCGGCCTATATCTTCCACACATTGGCATCACACATCAAGCATCATCAAGCTGCTCTACTTTCATGTAGGCATGCAGGCACAGGGTGGAGCTCCTGCTCAGAGTGCTATGCATAAGTGGAGCACACACAATTTCCCATAATTTTTAGGGGGGGCTACAAAAGTGAAAATTTCACCTTGGGACCTGCCCCCTAGAGCCTTCTCACGGACCGTAAACCCCCTACCTACTACCTGCTCCCTGACCCTACTCAGTACCAACTACTCAGTACTACACTACTGAGTACTACGTACTTTCTCCTTAACTACTAACTGCTAATTACTGAGTACTAACTACTAACTGCTACCTACTGGCTACTTACTTCTGACTACGATCTACTATTCCTACCTACTATCTACTATCTACTCTACTCCCTTCTCCCTACCCCCTGCCACCAAATACCTACTACCTTACCCCGCACTCCTACTAACTACTACATAACTAAGTACTTCATACCAACAACTAACTACTGATTCATAATTACTATTACTAACCACTACTTCTACTACTACTACTACTACTACTACTACTACCACCACCACCACCACCACCACCACCACCACCACCACGGCTGCCGCTACCGCTGCCGCCGCTGCCTCTACAGCTACTGTTACAGCTTCCGCCGCGGCTACTGCTACTGCTACTGCTCTGACTACTACTCCTGCTCCTACTCCTCCTGCTCCGCCTGGTCCTCCTGCTCCTCCTGCTCCTGCATACTCCTGCTCCTCCTGCTCCTCCTTCTCCTCCTGCTCCTCATGCTGCTTCTGCTTCTCCTGCTCCTGCTGCTTCTGCCTGCTGCTCCTGCTCCTGCTCCTGCTCCTGCCTCCTCCTGCTCCGGAGCAGCCTGCTGCTGCTGGCTGCCGCTCCTGCCTCCTGGTCCTGCCTCCTGGTCCTGCCTCCTGCTCATGCTGCTGCTCCTGCTACTACTACAACTGCCACTGTGACTACTACTGCTATTCTGCTGCGCCAGCTCTAGACCTCAAACACGGAAAGCAATGAGGAGCAGGATGCTAAACCACCCAGCTCGCTCGAAACCCTTTACATGGATCCGAAAACGCGCTTCTATTGTGACGGACCGAAAATGCCGCAGTCCGACATCAAGAGACCCAAGCAAGGTAGAGTGAGATCGATAAACGAAAGCAAGCACGTTCTCGCCCACATCAAGGTCCCAACAAAAAACAAAGCTTGCCCATCACAACCTCCATTTATTCAACTCCCCTCCAGGTTGAAACTGAAGACATGACGGTGGTGGGGTACGCCCTCCTCAACCTTGATCTAGCATGGGGACACACACAAGACAAAAGAAGGCTGTGAGTGAGTGCACGCGCACAAACATGCGTATCATGCAGGCGGATCGGATACGATCATCTAATCGGAATATGCACATGCACACACCGATCACCCCGTGCCTCGACGGAGTCCGAGGAGGCCTTGCCCGCCTCCACCAGGAACCTGCAAGCGAACTGCCCTGAGCATGCAATCTCTGTGCCTCTCACAAATCTCCGGGCTACGGGCTCCAGTGTGGAGGCATCCACTTCCTGGCCCGCTGCAGGGCTTCACTTCAGGCTGTGGAGCTTCTGGCTTCGCGGCGATAACGCACCACAAAGCCAATTCCCTCAAAGTCTTTAGGCTTTCCCGCCGGTTCGGCTTACTCCACCTAAGGGATAACGGATAGCCCTGGTACAAGGCTTGAGTTCGAAATCATCAGCTGCTGGGGTGTCCTAGCCATTTAATTGTTCCTGCTCTGGGCTCCGCTGAGATCAATATCTGTAACAGGGCGTGCCAGCCGGGCCATAACTAATGACCACAACTTCTCTATGGGAGGGTCGAGGTTGCCTAGTGACCTTGCTTTCCTGCAGCACTTTCGAGCAGCTCTCCACACGGCAAAGGGCCTCATTCTCGACGTCTGTCTCTGGCACCTCAAGATCAATGACGCTCAGTACGGCAGGTCCACAAAGCCCAAATCTAATCCTGCAATCCTGTGCAATCCCAACCCTGTCCCGACGTGTTCAACGACATTCTGACGACTCTTGCTAGCCAGGACACCGGATCCTGGTGCCAACCCCTGCCCAGCTGGCGCACATCCAAGCCGTAGTGCCAGCTGCCGTCCTGTCTGGACTTTCATAGGCCTCGACCCTCGGAAGCTCGACCGGCCCACGAGGCTGCTGCCCACATGGCTCGCTGGTACTCACGGTACACCTGGCGCGAGCGCCGCTGGCAAAGATGAACCACCCCTTTTTCGCCCGGACTTCAGCAGACCACTATCAACCTCCCGCAAGCAGACTGCTAGCAGCTAACCACGCTCTTACTGCACAGAAAAGCTGATACCAGTAGCTCTCTCTGTCGGTCTGTAGGCATCGGCTTACCTCGAGTGACAGGCACAGCAGCTCTTGTACATCGCCCAGTTGCAGACCTGCTTCTCAAGCATGCAGCCGGGGTTCTTCGAATGAAAGCGCCCAGTGAATCCTACCGGCTATGTCTATGCAAACCAAAAAGTCTTCAACACAATCCAGTGGAGGCATGCGCAAGTGCTTTTACTGGCAAACTCGCTCTCCAAACTTTGGGGACTCGACTGTTCTCCTTGTGCCTTTGCCTCTTAATGTGTTTTTTCAGGGGCGTGCACACAAGCCCAAATGCTACGCACTGGTCCCACAATCCCTAATGATGATGAGATGATTCGCGAAACCCTTCAGAGTCAAGTTGTACGGCTTCTTTCCTTCATTTCGGCAACTAGCCTGTTGGTCTGGGCTCCGTGCTGGCACTGAACTCCGCGTTCGCCTCGACCAGTTGCATCTACTTGACAAACTTGCTGCAATGACAGCGTCAGAGACAAAACCATGAACAACCTTCGACGAGCGACGACCTTCCCAATTTGTCGAAAGCAAGCAGCTCTCAGGAAGCGTCATGAGCGGACACAAACTTCGATGAAGACGAACTTCGATGGAGACGATCGAGACCGAGCAACACGAATCCTGGCTAGAGATCCTGACATCGCAGATCGTGCGTCGAGACGCTTTCACGATTTTCTCCAGCTTGCCGCACAGGAGATCTTCGCGAGCACGAGCTGCCCGGCAAACTATCCTTTCTCGTCATTTCCCAAAGGCCCTGAAGGCAGAGGGGATCGCCGGGGTGGCCGGCAGGCTGTGGCGAGCTTTGCCAAGATTCTCCCTTACAGAACCTCGATGAGACGACCGAGCTTGTCACGAAAGACCTCAATCCCGAAATGTGCCCGGATCGCAAATCGAAACACGCTAAGGTTTTAGGGTTTAGGGTTTACCGTTGTGGGACGGCTTACCATGGCTTACCTCCACGTCGGTCGTCTTGCGAAGGAGCGTCCTTGGGCACAGGTCGGCGCAGTGCAAAAGATGACTGGCCACGGCCACGGAACTTCAGCCTCCAATCTGAGCATCCCTGCTGTAGGTCAAGCGGTGGAATGAACACACTGATGTTGCTGCAGATCTGAGCTCCCAAATCACAGCAGATCGTGCACAACTACATTATGCAAAGAGCTGCACCTCACACAACAACTTGCGGAAGCGCTCGTTTCCCCCCAACCTCGAAGTGCGCTTCAGCCGCTTCTTCAAGCGCGCGCACGCTGAATACAGGAGAGCCGAGCCGGGAACGTGGTGCGGTACGCCTCCCGAAGCCTGGAACGGGCCTCTCGAAGCATCGCCTGCTTCGGCCCCTGGCGACTGCGATTCCGTGCGCGCTACAGTCTTCAGTGTTCGGGAAATCAGCACAACAATGCACCGCACCTCGCAGAAGCTCTGATGCTCGACCAAGCTGCTGCGAATCTGAGCACCGGCACAGACCAGACCACAAGCCCGTCAGCGCAAGAAGCATCGGTGCGCTCCTGCTCATACATCTGCGCAGCGAAGGTGCGGCCGACATGAAGGCCCACCTGCACCTGCATGTCAGGGCGCCTCTTAAAGCACGCCTCATTCGGACCCGCATCACCAAGAAGCCTAAAGCAGCCACCTGCCTCTGCACCCCGTGAGACCATGTGGTGCAGGTGCTGCCACGGATCTGAGTTGTTCTCATCCTTGGTTGATGTAGCTCAGGGCTGGAAATGCACTACCTCTCGGAGGTGCTTAACCACGACCTGACCCACTGAGGTACACTCATCCATTGGCGCAGTCGACTTGTTCGATGCTGCATAGTCTCCAATGACCACCTCAAAGCCATCTTGATGCCACGAGAGATTCTGAATTGCTTGTAAGTGCCCAACGAGCCGAAGTGATTCCACTCCTGAGTATATGATGTGTTTCGAGCGTCCCGGAGCCAGCTCGTAAACTGCAACTCCAACACAAATCCCAGGGCACCACTTCACTGCGGACCAGTGTCGTGCCGGCATGGTGCGAAACCGGAGGGGTGTCAGAAGCTCGGCCTAGCCGGGGGGCAGATCGGGACGGGTTCGGTAACGACTTCCGGTTCTCTGACGCCTCCGGGACGTTGCTGATGAAGACCATGTACCTGCTCCACTGCTCCACTCTCGGAGACAGCACCTCTCCGTGCGGAGCAGTCTGCTGCGAGGCACGGGGTCTCTGGCTCCAGCTTTTGGAGCTGGAAGGTCACGGGCGATCCAGGGCGTATCCTCGTCAGAAACCATGGCTGCAGCTGTAAAAAACGTCAGCCAGCTCTGGCTCTGGCCTTTGGGCCGTGCAGACCGCCATGCCCTGAGAAAACCAGGTCCGTTTCAGCCTTGGGCCGCTCAGGACCAATCGAAGCTCCCGACTGAATCGACTGGGTGGCCAGCTCCAGGGAGACCAGCGGAGGCTGATGAAGCCATTCCTGCAGGCTGCAGGCTGCAGGCTGCAGGCTGAGCATGGCCTCCAGGCCGCAGGGACGCGCATTGCCTTCTGGGTTCCCATCAGTGTCAGCTCGTGGGTGTGCTGATCCATGTAGCCATAGACCTTAGTTTCCACTAAGACCCGGGATCTTGCAACTAGTCGCGACGGATGGACGGACAGACGGACGGAAGGACAAACGGACGACAGGCAAACATGCAGAATGACAAAGAAGCTTAAGTACAATAAACCATGCAATGGTCTGTGATACTGTAAATACGGATGATAGTGCGCTGCAATGGTGCAACACAGTGTTAAAAAGTAATATGCTCACGGGTCACGCCACATGCCCGTCAACAGTGCCGAATGCTAGCGCCCCCACCTGGACGACGTTGATGTTGATGTCAATTTCTTCGGCCACCTGGCATCATGCTGCAGAACTCCCATGTTCCAGGTCCGTGTCTAGTGAAGCAAGCGGCGGCTTCAGTCGAAGATCCCAAGCCTCAACCAGAAATGATGCTGTGGTGTCTGTGACTCGCCCAATGATGGGACCTTAGGTGTTTTGGCAGTAGAGCTGCTGGTCAGCACGCACGCTGTACTCCCCAACCACAGACTTCAACCTATCTACGGAACCTTTCATGCCTAGACCCAATCTCATTCAACTCTGGAGTCAGATGCGTTGCTTGCAAAAGACGTCAAGTTGCACATGGCATTAACACTGCATGGTCGAATTCCACTGTGTGTCAGTGTGTCATGCAAGCTACCACTGGCGTGTCCTGCTTCAAGAGACGACAGCATTCTGCAGATTGGGACATCCACTGCAGTTCAAGCCAGCACATCCCTACGCGATCAGAGGCAGAATTCGCCTCGCAGAAAAAACGCCGACAATTTGTCGCATCCTGAGCTGTGCAAATCCTGGCCAGAATGCCTCTCAGCGGAGCTCAGAGTTTGTGTCGGAGGGCACCTCCGAGGGGATCTGCTTGTCCTCCCAACAAGGCATTTCAGCTTTCCAAACCCTTCCCAAGCAAAACCACGCGCCTGCGAGGATCCGACAGACCCTGGGGTCGAATTCGCCGGAGTGGGAGCCCTGGAGTCAGCTGCATCTTGCAGCTCAGAGTGTCTGGGGAGGCTTCTCGCATGCTTCTTGCTTGAATTTCATGCATTAAACCCACGCATTATAATAAAACACAGGCATTCCGCTTGCATAAGGTAATCTCATGTGATGGAAAGTAGGCCACTTCAAGTTCCCTTGTTTGGCTCGGCATTTGAGGGCGAGTCTCTGACTGCGCTCTGGCAAAACAAAACACCAACTTTGAGCACACAAGCTAAGTCTAGTAACTTAGAGGTCTCACGGTTGGTCAGGTGGTAGATCGAAAGCTTGCTGTTGCAACCTTTCGAATAGACAGGAACTGACCAATTGCACCTAGTCGATGCCGTACTGGTGCCCTCCGCGGAGAGCCACGCGTGAAGGAGCTTCGACGTCACCTGCGTGGCTCCGCTTTCCCAGTTTATTCGGTCAAGTCCCGGCAGCCCTCCCCCTACTCAAAAAAATTCGCGGATCACAAGCGAGCAAATCTCTTGTTCCTGCCATGAGGCTATGTACACTCTTATCAGTCAATGTCCGGATGCTTGCCGCAAACCTCGCGGCGGAGCCAGTGATTCTCAGCTGCAGCGCTCTCGAAGTGCGGACGAGCGGCCTTGTCTTTGAGCATCTGTCTCAACACTACATCAACTGCTCACAGATGTTTCCCACGAGAAAAGGCTGGCATCATTCGTTATGTGGACTGTTTTCGATGGCGAAACTGCTGCTGCTGACGATGGCGATGATGATGGCGACGAAAAGATGTGGGAATCATCTTCACAAAGATTATAAGGCTGCTGATGGCCTTGATGAGGTCGGTGGTTGCCGCCAAGGTGCTGCTGATGCTGATGATGGTGGTGATGGCAGTGGCATCATGATTGCTCTGCAACAGCAGTACAGTAAAGCCTTGCCTCAACAGATGTAAGCTTGCGCAGCTGTCGGCGCAGCTCACCTAGGCCACGAAAAATGCAAGTAAAACTCTTCGCAGCTCGTGATGCTGCACAGCTTATCGCTGCTGGCTGGAAGCGATTCTCCTCCTCCTGGTTCCAAGTCCTCACTTGCAGGGATGGCTCCGACCAGAATCAAAAGATTTCAAGTCAACACATCCATGGGGGCAGGTGCCCCGCCCGGCCGCCCGCGTTCTAGTCTGCTAAGGCGCTTTGTCCCACTTCGGCGCCCATGGCACTCTCTTGTCGTCCTCCGCTGCTCCTGCCCATGTAACCGAACGCAGGTGCCTGAATCCCTGTCCCCTGAGTAGCTGTCCTCTTGTGACAGAATAAGTGTCGTTCGCATAGGTGGTGGTGCCTTCGAGAGCCTTGGCTAAACTTGCAATCTCGCATCACAGTTCAGGGATATTGGATGTAGTTCCAAGCAACTGGAATCTTTCTGATCTTCCTTTCCTGCCAGGATGCCGCACTAGCGGCACTAGCGACGGTGAGACAACCGCCGCACGTCAAAGCTGCAGCGCAGGTTGAGAATCTAAAACCTGCGTTACTCCTGCTCAGTTGTAGGAGCATGTACACATGGCGACTTTTCCGCAGAGGCGTTGCGTCAAACGGCGCGCTTTTTCGAATCAGCAGGCGTGGCTCCGGCTAAAGGGACGAATCAGTGCATGCATGCTCGACTGGCCATGTGTCCATCTTGGAACTGCCACTGTCTACAAATTCCGAGCGGTGTGACCCCGCTTTTTGAACCCTGACCATTGAAAGGCCGCTGCGGATGCTTAAAAACAATACTCTCGTCTCATCTCGTCTCAGTATCGCCAACCACTGGAAGCCCTGTTCGAGTGATCGGCCATGCCCCATGTGGCACGTGACTGTTGATCATCTCGTTTGTCTGCGGCCCAGCTCGACCAAGACCAGTCGGATTCCTCCGACCGCTGCCACCAGCTCCAGTGGCCCTCCTGGCTTGTGTTGTTCGACCGGTCTTCGGCATTCCTCGATGCACAAGAGTCATCGAGATGTACGCAAAAAGTCCCGGACCGAGACTGCGAGAACACCCAGCCCCGCGAGTTCGCAAGGCGAAGGAAGATGCCCTCGCTGCCGTCCCTGAATGGGCGTTCTTCCACAACCTCGAAGACTTCATTGTTGTTGAGGTAGCCCACTGTGTTCTGGCGCGATGTCTGCGGCCATCGCCTCACGTCCATGCCGCCTCGCCGCACACATTTCCAAGTGCGAAGAACGGCTGGAGGCTGGGAAGTCCATCCCTGATGAGACTCTTCTTGTCCTTGCGTGCTTTGCGGATGGCTAGTCCATGAAGTCGGGTTGACTACGACCGGCTCGTTTGGGAGCTCTTGGGTCTCAAGCACAGTTTCGCCGGGAGGCTCCGGCTTCCATTGCTGGGCCGCCTCTGGCTCTCGTGCTCGGCTGGTTAGCAAGGTAGAGTTCACCTTGCCAGCCTCTTTCGGAAGCTCCTGCTGCTCTCTCTCTGCGGCCTTGTTGTACCACGAGGACCGCACAAGTCTTGCCACGCTGCTTCTCACAGCTTTCCATTCCAAGGCAGCGTCTGCTGCATGGTCCTGCTTCTCTTGCTGAACGAGCTGCTCCCGGACCAGCTCAAACTCGCTCGCCATCTCGGCCAGCGCTTGCTCCAAAAAGCGAACTTTGTGTTGTAATTCTTCAATGCGGACATCTTGGTCCTCTTGCTGCTTCAAAAGCAGGCTTCGTTGGTCCTGCTCGGCAACCAGGGCGGACAACACCATGTCCCTCAATGCATCGAACATGTTCGCGATCTCTGCCGCACTCATTTTGAGCGTGCCTGTGGGCAAAGCCCGAAACTTGAAACGCAACCCTCTACCAGCTGTCGAATGCAATCTCGATCCGAGGGCTCATAACAGCAAAACACTTCAGCATGCCTTAGTGGTGAAGACCGACATTCACGTTTAACATGAACCTTTGTAGAATCTAGGAATCAATGCCAAGGCTAAGGACGAGTTCAAACCGTGTCCGCTTGGAGGCTTTGGGAACGTCCAAATCTGAGCACGGGCCACGGCAGCAGTCGGCCTGCTCGCTTCCGCCATGTCCGTGAGAGGCGGTGGCCGTGGGGGGCGGCTGGGCTTTGAGGCCTGAACAGTCGGCAGATGGCTCAAGCTCATAGGGTAGAAAAGTCAGATGGCCTTGGAAGTCTCCGAAAGGGGTGCCGAGACGAAGAGACGCTTCAGCTCCTCCTGGACAACCTCGCCTCAGCTCAGCATAAGCCGCGATGATTGCAAGGCCTGCGTCCTGTCCTCAACGGACACCCATCGCGACTGAGTCACAGCGATCCTTGCCTTCCAGGCGTGAGGACGCAGTTGCCTTTGCCATACCCACGAAGTTGTCGGGCCTTTGTTGCAACAGGCAGGTTGCATGCTTCGAAAAAGTCAGAAACTCTAGGCTTAGCCAAGCTGCAGCACCACCGACAGGTCCGAGAATTCCATGGCACAGGGCTGGTCAAGTCAGATTCCAGGTCTTCAGCATGCTGGCGCCTGCTGCCTTGCTGCTTGCTGGGTTCTGCGACTGCTCGCGGTCCGTTGTGACACGCTTTTATTTGGAAGCGCCTTTGGCTTCGCACGCTGCAGTGCAATCTCACAACTGGCACATGGTCGAAGGAAGGATTCTCGAAAAATCTGTCTTCATTGCCATGTCGTTCCATTCCGTGATTCTGAAGCTCAGCCCAGAACCGACCAGCAGAGCTCTCTCGTGATCCCGACCGTGGCCTTCTGCACAGCTCGCATCTGCAGAATAAGACATGTTGGACATCCTCCACCTGGTGCGACACGAGCTGGAGGCAATGAAACGAGACCTTCACGCAAGACCGTAAGTGGTCTGACCTTACAGCAAGTGCTGTACGCCGATTCAAGCGAGCTATACCGCGGGATCTACGCGTCCACGAGCACCCTAACACCACCCTCCTTACTATGTCCTGATGCTGAGGTGTCTTGCTGAACTTGCGAGTCTGGCTGACGCTGTACATGTCGCACTTCACAGGCAGGCAATAAGAAGGGCTCGTGATGTCGAGCGAAAACACAGCAGCGGGAGAAGGTCAAAGGATGCAGTCCTTTCCTGGCTCCCGAAGACTTAAAGAAAACCTTGGGAATAAAGTCTATCTTAAGCGGTGTTGTGGTGGCAACCGGTTGTTGCTCGATGCTGACTCGGCTCAGTAGGTGCTGATGGCCAGGATCTGCAACTCGAACGGACCCTCCTGCGCAGGCACTGAACATGCTGATGAACACTTGTAGTACAAACAGCGACACAGGCAAAAGAAGGATCCATCAACCTGGAAGGCTGCATTGTTTGAACCATCCGCGGAAAGGAAGGACAGCATGAAGCCAAAGCCCTGGCATGGGATCACATCCGCCGCGCCGCCACTTTGCATGAATCAATGACGTGGTTTCGGATACTTCAGCAGCTGAGGGATTAAGGCACCATGTGGTCACACCATGCATCATCGAGAAACTTGGGAACGGCAAGACTCTGGGCATTGCAAAACTGTATCCGGAAGGTCGAAAGGGACTTTATGCAGACACAACAAACTTTGAGAACCGACGATCCGCTTGTGCGCCTGGATGTCCTCCAGGTCGCGTCCGCCCAGTCCGCAGCCTGAACTCCAGGCAGCGGCAGAAGCGGCGATCTTCAGAGGTGGGAAAACGAAGATTCAGTTTTCTCCTAGCCAAATGCCTGTACAGCAGCGATCACGTAACCGCCTAATCGAGAGGCTTCTGGTTCTGCCCTTGGCTGCGAAATCTATGGACACCGTGGGAGAAAACAGCACCACTGACGTGTAGCTGCTGGAAGGTTGAACTGGAAGCCTCGCGTGTGCACTGGGCCCAGTGAAACGCAACTCTGGCTTGACATGAGATAAGAGGTTCAGCAACGATCCTCAAACGTCGAGACTTAGTATGACTAGTATTCTCGTGTCCTTTCCCATCTAGTCAGGCCAGCGTCCACACTATGAACATACAAGGTCGAACCCTCTCCGTGCTGAAATTCGCCATAAGCTTGCACTTCGCAGTTCCGCGTGCCCGGAAAGGGTGCTACCTTGAGAGGCCAGAGTCTGATCGGGTCCTCTGTGCCTGTCCATGATTGTCTCCGTCGCACTTCGTTCCACGAAAAGGGGCTCAGAGGCGCCTGGCTCGGACCACAGCAGTGCCGGCACTGGCACTGTAGACATCTGGGGACTCGGAGGCTCGCCGAATTCGGCCCGCCTTGAGGCCCCAGCTTAAAGCATTTAACGTTTATCTAGGCTTACCTGGCGCCTGAAGCATCGCCCATCAGTGTCCGGAACTTCTTCGGCTTTCCTTTCAATGCGGTGTTCATCTGCATGCCTGAGAGGAGACAGAGAACCCGCGAGGAGCTGGTCAGTCCAACACTCCAACACTGCCGGGGTGCCAAGTCTCATCTCCTGCTTCTGCTTCTCGCGCAAGACGGCAATGACTCGCTTGCCTTCTCGCTGCTGTTGCCTGCACACCGGTCTTGCCCACATCGGCAAATGTGCTTGTGTTTGCGCATCCCTCAAGGCCTTCGAGTCAGCTCAACCTGGCGCCAAACGCGGAGCATGGCATGTCAAAACAACCTTGTCCTGAAAACAACTTCGTTTTGGAGTCCACGCCTTGCCCGAGGCATCGTTGGCTAGCATGAGATGGGCCCTCACACTCTTGCCACCAAGCCGGCCTGCTCGAAAAGCACACGTCTCGCTGCCCACAGCGGAGTGAGCCCGCCTCCGCTAGCGACGAGTTGGCCGTTTCGAGTTCCTGCAAACTGAAGCTCTCACAGAAGCCACCGGCGCAGGCATGACGCATGATGCCGCATGTCCGTGTCACTGATCAACTCGAGCCTCTTTGCCGCCAAATATGAGCAACGTCCCTGTTGGCTGCAAGCATCCCGTTCGGCAACCTGACAATTGGGGGGAAGCGGCCTGGCCGCTAACGTTGCACGTATTGCTCGGCCTCAAGTCACCATTGTCGAGAACAGTCGCTTGCTGCAGCCCCAGAATTCGCATGACCTCCCAGCACAACCGGACCGCACAGGGTAAGCGTATCCTTCACTCGCAGGGCGAGCCTCCTCAAATTCCGCCTCGTCATCACACTCGACCTGAAGACGGTGCGCCGGACAGTCGGTGATGTTGCTTGGAACTTGGCTAGGCGAGCAGCGATCTCAGTTCCAGAACTATCGTCATCCTCGCTATCATCATCCTCCTCCTCCTCAGAGTCCTGAAAGTGACAGCGGCAGTCTCGCAAGCACTGCATGCTGCAGCAGTCCAACAGCCATAAGCGAGAGAAAACCAAGATTGGCCTCAGCCTCGTCATCCTCCTCCTCCAACTCCTCACACAGGCCCACCCCCGAAAATCAACTGGTGTCCCGAAGAGGCCTCACTGAGGACCCCGATGAGTCCTTGGAGGCCTCCTGCTTGATTCTCTTCGCTTGGAGGACTGCCTTCCTGGAGGAGAGCTTTTTGGCGAGCAGCTCCTGACAAGAGATGCGTTCAGTGCCGCAGTACTTTCAGCTCAGTGCCCCCGCCCATATAGGCACCTCGAGTATGGCAAAGTGACGCTCGAGGTCAGCAAAGCCTTCGACATAGAGCTGACCCAATGCCTCCGGGCGAAGCAGAAGAGGTGAGTAGGTTTTTGGACACCCCAGGCCTCCACGCTGAGACCTTGCCTGGGGTCTGCATTTGCCTGCCCAGGAAGCTCTGGAATCGTTCATTTCAACTGCGCTTTTCTGTCAGAGTGCCTGCTGGCAGGCAGCTTTGAACATCGATGCTGAGAGCTCGCCGCCCTCCGTGGAAGTAGCCTTCCACAGCTCGGACAGCTCCTTTGAGGTACAAGCATTGCTGCATGCGCAACCACGTTCTGCCTGCCTGATGCCGTGAGCACAGGGCAAGTCTCCTCGTGATTGAGGTAGCCGTCTCGATCTTCGTCGAAGTAGCGGAAAACAGACCTAGGGGGCTGCAACAACAAGTTCCTCATAACATGAAGATCCCCCGTCCACGATGCAAACCAGAGACTACAAACATCATTGCTTGACTCCCACTACAAAGCAGAAACTCCAACTCAGTGCCAAGTGTTGGGGGTTTCAAGGCTCACGAAAAGGACTCAAGCGCCGCACGCCGCTCGTTGCTCGGGGTCCGTGATTCGCTCCGTGATCTCACCTGGTTCACACGTTCAATGTGACGAGAGACTTGCAGTACAACACGAATGCCTCTCAATCTCATGCTGAGTGCAGCCGAACATCGGGTAGAGCCGGTGAAATCATAGAACGTCTCCAGCTCTGCTTCTAACTCCTGCTCCCAGTCTTGCACAGGCTTTTGGAGAACCACCCTTGCTGAAGCAACCTGTTTTCACAAGAAGGCGGTCTCAAGTGCACAATGCAAAACTAAACTGCAGGTTTGCGACGTGCGACTCCTGCTCCAGTCCCCGAGAAAGACAGAAGCCGCTCGTCCTGTGAGCCGAGCTCGTCACGATTGCCTCGCCGAGTTCTTGCTTCGGTGCCGATCCTGGTGTGCGCCTTGTCCTTGGATGTTGCCATGCTCAAAAAAACAGGATGCCAGGGGATAGAGCCATACAGGAAATGCGTCAGCGAAGTCTATGGGATAAGAAATGCAGATCCGATACAGATAGCAGGACCACGCTTGTGTTTGGATGTGGTCTGCAGAGAGTGCGCACATGATTCATGTTGGCGTCTGTCTGCTGACATTATCTTCTCTCTGTCGCTTGATGTTGCAAACTGCTACCGCTATCTAGACTGTCTTGTGAGCTGCTGCTTGACTACATCATGCCAAATAAGTGCCAGCGGGGAGTCCCGCATGTGTCGACGGGTGCTGGCAGCATCTGGAAATCTGCGGTTGCAGAAGATGCAGGTGAACTCTTCGTTGATCCTGCGATTATGCGGACGAGGGCAGTAGCTCAATAGCTTCATCTGATGACGCTTTCGACTAAGGCCCGAGCTTCTTCCACAGATGCTCCAGCAGGCCCTCCACGTTCACGCAGTACTCCCGGTCAGGGATGAAGAAGCTGTAGGTCTTCCACCTCCAGACAGGCCGCAAGCTGCTCTAAACCCGCGCGGCCCCTCGTCGTACCAGAGCTCTGCAGCCGCGCGGCATGTAAGCCAAGTTCTCCTCTACCGACTTGAAGTGTCGCCGGTCAAAGAGGCATTGGAGAGGAGAGAAGGTCGCTGGCACCTGGATGCTCGAAGGATTCACAGTCACTTGGGGCTGTGCAACGAAACAGCTCCGCCATGTGCCTCCTCCTCTTCTTTGGCCACAGCTGGACTCACAGAGTCGGCCGGGTAGCCTGTGACTCATGCCGAGATCTGCAGCCTCGGGGTCGCGACTGCGAGGGAGAGTGGGCCTGCAGCTGTCGGCCCTTCGGCTGGCTTGCGGTGTGCCTCAAACAGCAACATCAACTTGCGCGGATTTACAGGAACTCGTCTCAATGATGTCGCGCAGCGGCAAGCTCTCGGATTAGAGCTTGGGGCCTAGGCGTAGGGCTCCCGGCCTTTCCCGCTTTTAGGTGCGCGGTTCCTTTGGTGTTCTCACCACCCTCTCGTTCTCGAAGCTTGCGCTCCCAAGCTTCCTCAAATGCGCCGCAAAGCATGCCAAGCACTCGGGCTCCGAACACAACGACCAGCGCCGTCGTCTGCTCATCTTAACGAGCTACGAACCGCCGAAAGCAAAGGACAGATGTAATGAGCACGGAGGCAGAGAACATGGGCAAGCAGAAATGCAGCAAATTGTGGCGAAGCAGGGTGGTCAGGGGTGCCGAGACTGCAACGACGGTGCCATCTGCATCCCAGAGTCTTGCGAAATGGGCTTCAAACCGTTCAGCTTTCGCTTCATGTTGTACCTCAGGCTCCCGCGAGAGAACTTGAGGTCCAAAGGTGCACGAATGACCCGAACGCACTTTCCCAAGGGCCGCGGCGGCCGAATGCGGCCGAGGTGCACATATCGCTCGGACTTGTAGTGCGCGCGAAGCTCCGCGGCGGTGCTGAAGGTCTCCAGAAGCTCACGAATTCGATCCGAGTAGCTGAGTAGCTTGTCCTACCCTACGAAAGGATGCTTTCCAGAGCATAGCAACTGCCACAAAGCCCCACCTCACCAGATGCAGCACAGTGAAACTCGCCAGGCACTGCACTGGGAACCTCGCCACTTGCTGATGCGACTCTTTTGCATCATGGCTGAGCTTCTGCATTTGTAGCCGGAATATTAAGGCCATCCAGCGGATCCAATCGGACGTTGCCAGTTGGGGGGCATGTTTGAACATTTCAAGAGGCACTGCGACACCAATCCCGACATGCAGTATCAGCCTCCAAAGCCTTCTCGGCAAAATCTAGACCCTGCTGCTATCCAACAATCATGAGCTCCAGCCAGCTGCTGTCTCCCACCAAGTAGCTCTAAGTATCCAGAACCTTGAACACAAAGGATCAAGGAAGGCAAGGTCCATGTGGGGGTAAGCATCAGTTCGCACGTCGCTTTTCTATTCAACTGACATTGGTTCTAAGAGCTGCGAGTAGGAGCCCACCTTACCTCACCCTCACTATACTAGTGATCAGGCAATGACATCAACAAGATGGGGCATGGGTTACACCACACTCCCAAGCCCAATGACAGGCCTCCATGGCCTTTGGCGGACAAAAGTCCACCATGGCCATGCTGCAAGACCAGACACCAAACCGTTCCCCTTCGAGCCAATGCTATGGGAGCACGACACGGCAATCAGAGTTGCAACAGCATGGCGCCAGCAACTCCACTAGCCTTAGCCTTAGCATGCGGCCTCCGACGACACGCCCACGCCAGGTCGGCCACATAGCTGACAAGGGAACCCGAATGTCCTGGACCCCGATGCTGCAACGAATCCTCTTACCACTCAGCTCTCTCGGAGGGTGAGAAGTGCTGAAGTGCTGCAGGTCTGTGGCATGATGTATAGCATACCCTTTTTCGCACTCCACTTCTCGCAGCAACCTGAAAGTCCATTCAGTGTAGCAGCACCACTATATACATGCCGGCCGTTCTAGGCTTCTTTGCGCTGGCTTCTCCGCACTGGCAAGAACGACTTCGCTGATTCCGGCAGTGGTCATTGCAATCTTCCCAAAAGCTCAAGCTCAGTACCATTGCTGCGCAGGAGTTGAAGCTGCATTATATGTCTGCCTGGGCGAAACACACTAGAGTTGCAACATGCCAAGGCTGTCTCCATCGTCCTCCTGCGTACGCTGTACACCAAAGACGCCTGACCTCGCCTCTATCACTCAAGGCGGATGCGAGCGTACCCGATTTCAATCACTAGAAAAGCCGAGCAGCTCTGTTCCCCCTCCCATTCCTTCGTTCGTAGCAACTCAGGATTGAGTTTGTAGGCGCAAGCCCGAACAGACTAGAGCCCCCATTGCCCACACCCCGTGTCCTCCAAGTGCCGCGGCCTCGTCGGGTACGACTATACACACGCAAGAACATGCGAATGCCAAAACAGCAACAGAACTCCTTGTGACTATGGTCTGCACCTGTGCATACAAGGCGGCCCAAATCGCGTTCATGTCAATGTTGGGGGCACCTTGTACCGACTCGCTCACGCACGAGCACAGATTGCGCAGGAGACCTGACGTAAGCATCCGGCCGCCCTTTCCCCCATCGTAGGGTCCGGCCCCATGACCCTTTCCTTCGGCGAAGTGACGCATCGATGAGCAGGGCTGGCTACCGAATGGTAGAGCAAGCTCAGAATCGCGCCTCCAGTTGGAGCCTTGCCATAACCTCCATAGGATTTCCCGTAGGCACCTGGCCAGGATTCACACTGCGCGGCACGTAATCGAGCAGGGCGGTTGCACTGCCAGGCACGCGGCCTTTGCCACCGCCTCCTTTGCTGGGGTCACCGGGTGCGTCGATCGTCACTCGAACTGCCTCGAGACAGCGAGCGAGCTTTCCTCCGGCAAAGGGCCGCTCTCGGCCGCTCTTCACTTCGCTCTCGCCTTCGTCTTGCCATTCCGGTCATTAATCTCCAGGTCGTAGCTCATCCTTGCTCCAGGGATCATGTCGCCCTCACCTAGCAGACAGTGAACACGTCGACAACGCGTGGATACAGAGCATTCGGGGTGGCTTGCTGGGCTTATCTCTTGTTGAGACAAGTCGCCGCCATTCGTGACTGCCTGGAAATGAATGAAGACATCTTCACTTCCATCATCAGGAGATATGTAACCTTGGGCAAGTTATCGTCTGTTATCGTGCTGGATGCATTGCCTTGACATCTGTCAAGAGACTACTAACACAGCAAGCCGAAGCAGCCAACTCAGCCAAGCAGTCCGAGCTTAAGATCTGTTGCACGTCCTTTCGGTCCAAGTCACCTATGCCCTTCTCGGGAAAGAACTTCTTCAGAGTGCCTGTCCTAAGTTGCAAAAAAATTATGGAAATGCAGGCCAGAAAAGAAATCTGCACTGCAGCTCCATTCCCAACAGCAGAACTCAAATTGCCTCCAAGACTCTGAGACATGGCAACAGTCGACGCGCAAAACTGGGCCACGAACAACCTGAATCCCTCAGCCTGTCGGAGAGATCCCGGCCTGGACCTACTCCGAAAAGGACCTGAAATTAAGCAGCTCCAGGTCAAAGTGAGTTTGGACAGTTGTGCTTGTGCCCGAATCTTGATCGAATGTAACGGTAAGGAACTCTCACAGGCTAGGGAACGGCTTTGAGCAGAAATCGGCGGCAGTCAGTGACAAGCAGAATCACCGACGCAATTTAGATTTGCCTGCAACAGCAGCGATGGATGCGCAGACTGTCCGTCAAGGGACTGCTTAGTGGCCTTATTGGTCAGCAACGAAAAATGCACTTTGCCCCTGCGAGTCCTGGGGTGTCTTGGCCTCGCTGACCATGAAGTCCTGCAGCTGGAGCTAGAATCTAGAACATAGAAGGACAAAGGACTCGGGCTTAAGGGCAAAAGTTCGGTATCACCTTGGCATGATCGTCCCTCGGTCTGGACTGGGATCTAACTCTCTTGCGCACAACAACCACTACGACTGCCGAAATTGCCAGGCCCAGATTCAACATGCAAGCTTCTGGCAGCTGGCCAGTTCAGACGCCACAACGGGCTCGACATACAGTAAAGTGAAGTGCAGCTGCTGCCCACCTCACCAACAGCGACAGAAGGTATCTCTAGCGCTGTCTCTGAAGATTGTCATGCCAACAGACTCGACATGCCAGTTTAAAGCAGCCTGCCAGCTCATGTTACAATGTTCCCACGTATGAGCACTTATGCCGCATGCTCGCATCACGGAAGACAAATAACAGCGACAAAAGTGATCTCCTCCGTTTCTCTCTTCGCGAATTTAACAAACGGGCTCCTGGCGCCCTCCATGCTCAGATTCTCAGGTGTGTGCGCTCAAGGCCTCAATGGGCTCACAACGCAATGAAGGTAAGTGCAGCGTTTTTCTTCCTTGCCAACAGCGACAGAACTCATCCCTTTCAATTCCTTCGACGCAACCTGAACAAACAAGCTTCTGGCGGCCTCCATGCTCAGATTCTCAGGTGTGCGCTCAATGCCACAATGGGACTCACAACGCAATGAAGGTAAGTGCAGCGTTTTCTTCCTTGCCAACGGTGACAGAACTTATCTCCTCCAATTCCTTCGACGCAACCTTAACAGACAAGCTTCTGGCGGCCAGCATGCTCAGATTCTCAGGTGTGTGCGCTCAAGGCCTCAATGGGCTCACAACGCAATGAAGGTAAGTGCAGCGTTTTTCTTCCTTGCCAACAGCGACAGAACTCATCCCTTTCAATTCCTTCGACGCAACCTGAACAAACAAGCTTCTGGCGGCCTCCATGCTCAGATTCTCAGGTGTGTGTGCTCAATGCCACAATGGGACTCACAACGCAATGAAGGTAAGTGCAGCGTTTTCTTCCTTGCCAACGGTGACAGAACTTATCTCCTCCAATTCCTTCGACGCAACCTTAACAGACAAGCTTCTGGCGGCCAGCATGCTCAGATTCTCAGGTGTGTGCGCTCAAGGCCTCAATGGGCTCACAACGCAATGAAGGTAAGTGCAGCGTTTTTCTTCCTTGCCAACAGCGACAGAACTCATCCCTTTCAATTCCTTCGACGCAACCTGAACAAACAAGCTTCTGGCGGCCTCCATGCTCAGATTCTCAGGTGTGTGTGCTCAATGCCACAATGGGACTCACAACGCAATGAAGGTAAGTGCAGCGTTTTCTTCCTTGCCAACGGTGACAGAACTTATCTCCTCCAATTCCTTCGACGCAACCTGAACGAACAAGCTTCTGGTGGTCAGCATGCTCAGATTCTCAGGTGTGTGCGCTCAATGCCACAACGGGCTCACAACGCAATGAAGGTAAGTGCAGCATTTTTCTTCCTTGCCAACGTGACAGAACTCACGTTTCCTTCGTCGCGATCTTATCAAACAAGCTTCTGGCGGCCTCCATCCACAATGGGCTCACAATGCAATCACGGTAAACTTCTCCGTTTTTCTTCCTTGACAACAGCGACAGAAGTCATCTCCTCATATCTCCTCTGTCTCCTTTTCGGACGTCTTGCGACGTACTGTATGGACTCCGATTCGACGAGCAAGTTTCTGCCAAACGCAACTGGATCAAAACACTACGAAGGTGAGGGCAATGGGCTGACAACTCAATCAACGTATATGCAGCTCAGAGCAGCTTGTCTTATCCGTGCTATCGGCAACAGAAAGGAGACGCCAACTCAAGTTGTGCATACAAGATTGGCAGTGAGGCGACGGCCCGTCCTGCTGCCACTGTTTCTCTTGCTGACCTGGGTGCACTCACTCGAACATATACACGCACACACACACACACACACACACACACACACACACTCACGCGCACGCACGCACGCACGCACGCACGCACGCACGCACGCACGCACGCACGCACACACGCACTGACTGACTGTGCGTTGTTCTGTTCGTGGGCTTAGATGCCACGCTGTCCGAGTTCTGAAGCCAGCTAGCCTGCGAAGTTGTTTTTCCAGTCACCCTCAGGCTGCACAAGTGCAGCAACAACGTCCGAAACGCTTCGGTAAGATCTTGCAGCTTTTCTGTGAAGAGCGGTGGGACTTCAGAAAACATGTCGACTGGTGTCCATGCTCAGGCCCGGGAATTATCCTATTTCAACCGTCTAGGGCACTGTCCTGGAGGAGCCTGCCCTAAATTCCGAACCCTCGGCCTGATCCCTGCACCCTTAGCCCCCAACCCCCTGAACGGGTAAGACCCTAAACTCCTAAACCCTAAAATCCATGAGCCCGAAAACCCTCGGCACAAAAACCTGAGCTGTAAAAGAAGCACACTCAACGCTGAGGTGCTGGCTGTTCAGCTGCAGTTTCCAGCTCGCACAGCCCTGTATCCTGAAAGGAAACACTTGCAAAGGTACCACAGAAATGCACAGAAACCAGCTTTGCTCCTCTGGATCTTCAGCGCTACACCCGTGGCCGAGCGCAACATGGCCAGGAAGGCCCCGCGGTCCTGCGGCTCAGCACGGAACATGAGTGGGTCCGGGACGTGGCCCGGGAAGACTCGGCGGTCCCGCGGCTGAAATCGAACCGAGGCAAAGCCGCCACCGCCACGCTTGGTGACCGTGCCGCGAAAGACAGCTCCCTCCGGAACAATGCGCTTCCGTTCCGAACTCAGACTGAAGTCGTTGTGGATGGCTATTTCTGTGAGGTCATGTCGAGGCCGAGGGGAGGGACGACTGCATGAGAGGGTGCAGGCCTGATTGTTCGAGAGTACGAGTTCGATGCAAGAGAGAGAGCTTGGGCCTGGTCGGACATCACCAGCTCGCTGTCAGAGCGGCCGCCCATGACGGTGTCGTTCACGATGAAACCGGCCACCTCCGGGGGGCTGTCGACAATTCCTTTGCGAGGGACATCCCCGCTGAGATCCTCCAGCCCACGCTTTGCCGAGAAGTCTCGGACCATCGCCGGTGGCGGGACACCTCCGCGCCACCACGGTCCCACGTGAAGTTGCGGCAGTCGGACGCCACTGAGCCATGCGCTTTCCGACGGCGAAGGCTGGGAGTCGGCCTTTGCCACGGCGTCCAGTGCCCGGCGGAGCTCCCAAGCCCTCGCGTCGGCGTTGGGTAGCTGCTGAAGCGAGTCGAGCGCCCGCCTGCGACCCACAGACATCAACCCGAAGCCTCAGTATACCTTCGGCATCGAGGACCGAGCTGGAGTGTGGCACGGGCACCCGACCCCAGCGATCCTGACACGTGAACTGACTCCTACGCTGCACGTGCTGTGCATGCTGCCTGCCTCCGTCGAGGAGGTTTCTCGCCGCTTCCGCATAGACCTTCCAACATGCACATCAACAAACAATCATCCAAACGGATTTTCAAAGCCTGTGCGCAGCCGTCGGGATTTCCACCGTTGTACAGCGGCACACCTGGCTGCAGCACGATGACATCACCAAGCCTGCGGATCTGCTCGTTGCAACAACAGGACGCAGCCCACCCTTCTGGATAGCCGCAGCGATGACGCTTCTAGCGTCAGTGGCGCCTGGTGGCAAACAGAGCAGACTTGTTTTGAAGGGTTCAGTTCAATCGCTTCAATCCATGGCCTCGCGGAGGTGATCCAGCTTTGGGAATCGCCCCTGCCGCCTTGAAAGACCGGTACATCTCCCGGTACAGCAGCGACCACTTGCGCGACTGTAAACCCTCAGCTGGTATTATCATACCATTTAACCCTCATTGCATGCTTCGTGGTTTGTTTGCAAGTGATCGTTGTAACCAAAATTCCTTTATGTCGCGCCTGCAAATGGTAAATGCGAGCGTTTGATCTTTTTTGGCTTGAGATTCCTCCGCTGACCTCTCGGCGATGTTCGTTTGCATCTTGCTCTATGTATGCCACTTCTTGGCAGGATCCCGTCTCTCCGTACAGCTCTCGACGACACTACGATGTTTATGCGTCGTGAAAACTTGCAACCCGTTGCCACCTTTTCCCTTCCTTCCATGGGCGCCGCTCGCTCATTCAATTCACGCCGTTGTATGCCTAGCCCATCTCGTGATAGATACTTGCAAGTTTGTGCGCATAATAGATAATCTTAGAATAAGTTCTGCTACCATTTGTCACAACAAGGAAAAGAGTGACGCGTGCTACAGTCGGCTTAGATTTGGGAAACAAAGGCCTCGTCTAGCCTAGCGAAATCTCGGAGATGCTTCGAGAATGCCAGAATCACGGGAGCGTAAGTCGGAAAAACTTGGAAAAACAATTGCATAACTCAGCACAAGATTGATAGAAAACAACGTCGCAGGATACAGTACCTGAAGCTGTAGTCAACTACGGATAAACGTTTTTGAAAATCTGGGAACATAGTGCAAGTGGAACTCCCTCCGGCCCGTTGCTGGATGCCCCGGCTCAAGCATAGTTCCTCCTTGCGATCTGTTGCGGCAGCGTCTCTTTATGCCTTCACTTGCACCTTTCTCATTCGTCCTTCTGCCTTCAGCTTCCATGGGCTTACATGCGCTCTGCAGAGACCGGGAGCAGGACAAGTTGCTCATCAAAGGCGCGGCGGAAGGCCCACGCAAGCTGGTCGGCCTCGCCATGTGACATGTGGGAAAGTCATGAGGTGTGGTAAGATGTGCGGTGGAGACCTTTTACCATGCCACAAGCGAAAAAGGTCCTTAAACTTCCTTGAGCATGGCTTTCTGCGAGTGTGCATGTCGGAAATCGCAATGAATCTAATGATGGCCTCAGAAGGCCCTGGCAAAGAGCCCAGGGCACCAGCTACTGTCAGCGCATCTGTGAGGGATTTCCTGAGGCAACAGCGTCCTTCTGCAGCTTCCTATCCAAGCAAAAACAGAACAGCGAAGCACTTGCTTGGCCCACCGACGCCACAGGCTCCCGCAGCTCCGCCCGCTGGTCCAGCAAGAGTTTTCTTGCAGTGTCCTGCTACAGGAACATGGACCACAACCAGAAGTATTGGATAACTTTAGATTGGCGGACATCCACGACAAGTCCCGTCCTCGTAGATGCGAGCGCACATTGCCACCTGACCGGCCTCTTCAACACAGACTGAAAGTGCACTGGAACACAAAAAAGGCAGCTCAAGAGTCTAAGTGGCCGGCATTATACAGTGGAGCTCCGGTCTCGATGGCATTTCGAATCAGAGCTCCCGCCATCACTCTTTGCAATGCTGGGTCTTGAACACTTTACTTCAATAAACAGTGCGCAGAGAGGAAAGCTTGTGCAATGCTTACTGGCACACGCTTGGCGGAGGCGGATCTCATGAAGAAACTCACACGCGCGTTGCCAGTCCAGATCTGATCCAAGTGTCGACATCATGCAAGAGAGCATTCCGGGGTGCTGCATGAACGTCTCTCTCAGACACAGCGACCCCTGAAGTTTAGAAGTACCTGTAGTGCTAGGGATGCCTTCGCACGCCACCGAAAAGAGCCCAGGACCGCTGCCAGCTGTTCAAATGAGCAGTACTCCGCAGAGACGTTGCCCTGCCATGCCTCCCACAGCTGGAACTGCAGACTCTGCCGAGTTCGCTGAGTCCCGGGCCTGCGCATCATCCTGCCCTGCCGCTGCATGTGCGGCATGATTTATCGCCAGCCTGCAAGCAAACGTCGACCACTGCCAGGATCGCAGCTATGCGATGGTTCTAGGACATCTTCTCTGCTGCACAGGGGTCATTCGAGCCGAAAAATCAACACACGCGGATGTCCCGAGTAACTGGCTGAGATTCCTCAGCGTACGGCACCAGTGCCTGAGCTGCCCGGGACTGTTTGGTGATCTACACGTGCGTACAGCTGAAACGTCCCCAGTGGAAATCGTTGAACTGTTGTTGCTGGCCTGGCTTTTCTCACTTGGCTCGGTGGAGCATGCCGCACCTCTGCAAGCTTCACATGCCCTGAACATGAAGACATGTCGGGACGACAGATGAGCGAAGGGCACCAATGAAAGCCTTTTACATCATCTCTGCGGCCGTCACCAGTCTGCTCAGCTTTCACGGTTTCAAAAAGCAGAATCGTCGCTGCTCCTAGAAATAACAACTCTTCCAAATCAATTGTGAGACACCACTCACACAGTGTTGTCAAACGAACAAGGTATTTCCAATATTTCGTGCTCACACCAATGCAACGAGAAAGCATCTTCTCACAGTTTCAACCATGTCGCAGCACGGGCATCACGTCCGTTGTTGAACGGCGTGCTCACTTCAATGCTCACTTGATCTTGATGAACTTCAGGCCTTGGTCCGATCCGATCCCTACGGCATACAGACACACAATTGTGCCCTTACCCCGACGGAAAACAGCAGCTCTTGCCAGACTTTAGCGGATGCAGTGCGAAACCGTCTATCAGTATGCCAGTCCCAGGTACCAACATACAACGCAGGCACCGCGGCCAGCTTCCATCCAGCCTTGCAAGGGCTTGAAAAACACAAGCCACATCCTAGGCCATGTGACAGGCTAGACGGCTACAAGGCACTTGGCTGCGTGATCCGCTTGAAATTGTGTCGCACCTTCGAGCAGAACTCAGAAGACTTCTGGACAAAGCTCTTCTTCTCCTCCTCCAATCAAGCTGCAGTCCAACACAACTCCCACACCAAGAGTATTGCAAAGAGCCATTTGTCGTCGTTCACCTGCCAGCAACGGTAGAAAGAGTACCGGCCAAAACGGAAATGTCGAACCCGAGCTCAGGAATCGGGCAGTAGGACGTAAAGACAGAAGTGATGCTAGAAGTGTGATGTGGCAGGTAGATACCAACCTCTCCATGTCTACAGCAGACCAACAGATCAGAGCGCACACTCCTCGTCACCCGCGAGCTTGCTTAGAGCGGCGAAGTGCGCGGTGCACTTGTCAAGATCGCCCCCTCTCCATGGCCAGATCATGCTTGTGAGGCAACGTGACACTGAATGGTGCAGACAAGACACCGCTTATGCAGGCCGAGATTGCATCTCAGCAAAGAACATAATCAAGTCGTCCCAACGGCATCAGCGATGTGCGTGCTAGTACGAGGCAAGGCACTTCCAAAAGGGTCGCCGGCACTGGCTGCAGGTTCGGACGGGGCCATCTTCCTGCAAGAAAGAACATTGCGGTGATTCCACTGCCGAGCGACTCGCACCTGAACGCAATATGACACAACACATCACCAATAGAAACATCATCCGAACCTGGATCCCGCAAAGGCTGCCGCGAGAACAGAGAGCACTTCTGCGAAGTGCTGCTGAGAGCAACACGGCAACGGAATGACGGTGTGTTGTCGCCACCATCCAAACTTTATATTTCACATCAACATGAATGCTTCCCGCTTGTCACACATCCTTGACGACTGCAGCATAAACGAGGCCCCGGCCCATCGAAACGTCATCTCTTCGCTAATGCATCACGCAGCTGTTGCCAAAAAACGCCACCGAAGTCCCAACTGCTCGAAATGTGTGATGTGAGCCTTAGTTGTAGTGCTTCATGTCGCTACTGGAAAGCAATAGTTGAAGACAGAGCAAACCAATGCGCGTCAGCATCCCCTAACTCTTTGAGCAAATGCTGTGGCGGCAAAAGCTTTTAAGCAAGAGTTCGACAGCTTTTCAAATCGAGTCTGTGCTGCGTTTCGGTGGAAATTCGTAACGTTGGTCGTGTCATTGCTGCCCACAACCTCAAACCCTACCAAGCCCCGGGTCTGGTGGAAACCTGAAGTCCCGAAGCTGCGACGCTTAGCCTTCATCTTGGTTCTGGATTTTGGGAATGCATGCGGACTCCTCCCAGATAAAACTTATATCGTTAGCCCTAATCCAACCAGACGGCCTTGAGCATAATCTTTTCCCAAGTAAACATTACATTACATACACAGCTCTAAGCCAATCGAAAACACGTAGTCACGCACATATTCAAACTGAACCCGCAATCCTGATTAAACCCCAAACCCTAAACCCTAGATTGGCCCTCGACGTAACCCATGAAACCGCAACAAAAGCCTAGTGGGTTACGTGACCCTGGCCTCCGGCTTTTCGAGGCTTATTGAAACATTGAAACACTTGTGATTTGGAAGCACTTTTAGCTTGTGACAATTTCGGTCAACAAAAAATGCACAGAAACCTACCAACAACGGAATGTTCGGACAACTGCAGCACGTGAGCACCAAACTCGCAATTTACAAGAAGTTCAGGACAGTTCTACACCACGCAACACAAAAGGCTACGAGCGTTAGCTAACTGCAAAGCGGAACTCAAAGGACAAAGTGGCTTCGCTCACACGTCTCTCCTTTTTTTTCGGCTTGCCGGAAGTACGACTGCTCTGCAAGTTGAAAGCTGCTCTGTAAGTCAAGAGCATCCGGGGTCTTTGACCCGCCCGATCGAAAGCTGAAGCAGCGGAGCAGTCGAAAAGCCCATATCGTGAAGCATAACAAGCAAAGAGGATAGTGCGAAACAACAGCGAGCAAAGCGGAAGCAGTACGAAGTGTATTAGCGGGCTGTGACTGAGAAGCTCCCTGTGCTGAAAAGCTGCCACAAAAGGTGTGGGCGGGCGGGAAAGTTTTTGCAAGCTAGCTGCTGTTGCGTGGTGTATGCTTGAACCCAAGCGGGGCCGCGGGTATGAACTGCCGAAACAACCCTGAGTAAACACAGGAACCGTTCAGTACAGTTCTACACCACGCAACACAAAAGGCTACGAGCGTTAGCTAACTGCAAAGCGGAACTCAAAGGACAAAGTGGCTTCGCTCACACGTCTCTCCTTTTTTTTCGGCTTGCCGGAAGTACGACTGCTCTGCAAGTTGAAAGCTGCTCTGTAAGTCAAGAGCATCCGGGGTCTTTGACCCGCCGGATCGAAAGCTGAAGCAGAGGAGCAGTCGAAAAGCCCGAGCAAGAAACAGGCAAGCCGAAACCTCGCAAAAGTAGTGGAAAGCCAAGCAGAAAAGTGAGGTGAGGAAGCATCAAGCTGAGCTACTTGCGCTTCTTGGAACTTGGAACCACGGTTTGTTGGGCCCAAACTGTCAGCTGACGGAAGCTGCCATTTTAAAAATGTGTCAGCGGGAAAAAGTGTCACTTGAAAGCGTATCAGCCAGAACTCAGAAAGCGAGAGCTCGATGCGATTTGATTTGACGCGAGGAACTTGTCAGGAAGTTCCGCTGAGCCATCCCAACGAGAAAGCAGATCTGCATCGTCGTTCTTTTCGCCGGCGATGTGGCTGCAATCCAAAGTGACGCCGGTAATAGAGCTCCACATTGAAAGCTTGCGAACGAAAAGATTAAGTGGTACTTTAGATGTGTAAAGCTTGTTACACACTGACTCTGCACCACTATTATCGCTCAAAGCTGGTAATGTCAAAGCCAAGCGACCGGATCCGTGGGCTTTCCAAAAAGCCAGAAGTACAAAGCATTGTGCCAAGGTCTCGTAGCTGGAGATGTCCAAATTGGCATCCGGTTGCATGGGCAGACCTAAGTCCAGAAAGTCGTTGACAGTATAGCGGTGAGCAAACCAATGCAGGCGTCCACTTGGGAGGAGCAGCCATCCTCCCACGCCGCAGTCATTGCCTTTGCCGAAAGCATCTGCAGCCGACTCCACCGAGCTAGTAGGTGGTGGTCGTAGCGGCCTTGGCCGCCAGTCCCTGGAGCTCAGGTGGGCAAAGAAAGCAAGTGTTTCTCTGCTGGACTCGGACAAGCGCCTCTTGGAGGAAGTGGGATCCGTGACCCGAAGCCACATGCGCTTCGTGCTGACTGGGACTTAAGCCAGGTCATCTTTACTCTTCAAAGCTTTGTGCCGAGCGGAAAGCAAGGTTGAGCCTGGAGAGATACTGGTGCCCGGAGGGCTCCCTGTGAAGCGAAGCTTGTCGTCCAGATAGGCGTGGATGCCTGGCCAAGCGCATGGGCTGATGCTGACATTAGTTACTTCATTAGTTCCAAGCGGTCTATGCATGTCGTCGTAGAGAGTACATAGCCAGGGGCGTAAAGCAGGAAGCCCATGAAGAATCCACTGAAGCAGACCGAGGAGTTTGTCAAGCTGTTTGCGGCTGACAAGTCGATGCCGTAGACACTCCTCCACCTGGCCAAGCAGCTTCAAGCGTTTAAGCTCTGGTAAAGTGTAACAGCCAGCATGGAAATCAATCTGCCAACCTATCCAGGTTATAGAGGGTCCCATCTGCAGTTTCCGCCAACTAAGCGGTATGTTGAAGCAGGAGCAGAATGCCAAAACCAGGGAAGCGCTGAGCGGAAGTGCACGAGAGTTTTGCCAAAGAAGCAAATCATCTACGTACAGCATGAGGACGTGTGACAGCCAGATAAGTAGATGTAGGCATCGCACAAAGAAGCCCCCTAAGCGGGCAAACCAGTGGCTTGAAAAAGTGGCCCCGAAGGGACAGACGCGGTAAAAGAAGAGGCGCTCTTGCTGTCTCAGTCCAAGCAGGCCTCTATCTTGCTCGCGCACAAGCGATGTTTTGTGCGCTCCCTTCACATCTAAGCTGAACCCAGACACCGGCTCCTCGTCTTCCCGTGGAGGGTAAGCGGCTTGTATGTCCTGAAGACTTGGCAGGGAGAACTGTTCAGGAACGTGGCAGTTTTGGTTCGTGTTGCAAATGCTGTTGTCTATCACCAAGCTGGGAGCGCGACCTGGAGCCTTGACAATATTCACGCGACCAACTGCAACACGTTCTTCGCCCCATCGCTCATAAGCGGCTTCCAAGCTGGGAACCTCCTCTATGTAGCCGGCGGAAGCTTCTTCCTCAATCAACTCCTGAAGCAATGCGGGATCTGCCTCAGCTCCCTGCCAGTTGCCCTCACAGACCAGCAGGTCAGTGGGTTCGTCTGAATTGTCAGGGTCGCGAGGCCGAAGGGTGTGGCTGCGCGGGATGTCGCCATCAAAGCCAGTGGGAACTCCCTTCTTCAAAGCGGGGAAGAGAGAGGTGTCCTTGTCGCCTAGCATGGTGCTTAAGCGTTCCAGCGCAGACAGACAGTATGGCTGGCCCTCCTTCACCGAGAAATCCCAGTCCTGGCACGGAGAGTGTGAATCTGAAAAGCGTTTGAAGGACGAACGAAGCCACTCTGTTTCTTCCTCTGAGAAAAGAGGTTTATTGCTGGCTTCTGCGACATGTTGCTGAAGCCGAAGGGGAATTCTGTTCCCAAGCAGCCAGGATTGCCATTCTTTCCGCAGGTCGTGTAAGCTGTCAGATTGGTACCTTGGGCCAAGAGACCAGTCTGGCAAAGAGTAGATGCCTCCGCCATCCTGCGCGGCCGTGGGAACTGCTGATCGTGGCTTTTTGGGAATGGAGGCCAGTGCAAACTTCAAAGAGCAGGGAGCAACCGGGTAGGAAGGTCTGCATGAAGAAAACAAGTGTACCGCCTTTTCGGAGAAGTTCCCGGCAAGCTGGGACGGGTATTCCGCCGTCCTTTGGGACAAGAAATTGCCGTGCTCGTCCCTGGTGCCTGCGACGGATTGATGGCCCCCTTCGTGTGCGCATGCGCCTGCCAGAAAGCGGAATTCACTGTAGCTGCAAGCGAAAAGCCAAGATTTAGCTATGTCCTGGCCCACTGAGCATGCCGGGATGTTGACCAGTGAAGCTTGTATCTCGGAGAGCATGTCCTGAACAAAAGGTTCCAGCCAAGATATAGCGTTGGTGGGCTGCTCCAGGGATACATGTGCACCTGAACCAAAAGCTGCTCGAAGAAGGCAGACACAGCGGTGTAAAAGCTTCTGGATTCTGGCTGCTATGTACCCTGGCTTGCTGCGAAGCGGTGTTCCCTGGTAGGCCATTGAGATGATCTGGAGATCGAATAGCCACCTGGACGAAGCTTCAAGCGGGAGTACTCCTTGCAGGGCGGGGATCCGTGAGCCAAGCGGACAATCCCCGAGAAACACAGCCGAAGGAGATGGTCGTAAGTGTCATCGTTGAGCAGGTCCAGTTGCTCCTCGCCAAGCAAATCGATGGGCAAACAAGTGATGCCACAGGACGACATCGCCGTAGTAAGTGGGTGTGCGGCCCCACAGCATATGTCCAGGAAAAGCTCAACGCATGTCGTGTCCTTGAGCGGGGGCGAGATTGGCTGAGGATTACCTGGGGTTGCCGATGGGAGTGGGAAGCCCAATGACCTCAAGTGTGCAAGTGACTTTGCATCGAAGTGGTCCAAGTTCTTGCAAGTATAGGCAGTCAATACCCACCTGTCTCCTTGTATCGGCGTCGTACAGTGAAGCGATTCACAGCTGAAGGAGAGCGGCTCATGCCAAGTGTCCCGCAACTCACCTTTACCAGCTCCTGTTGCGCTGTGCGCCTCGGATGAAGCATCCAAGGGTGCCGGGACTTGGGGAGCCGCCGGGTTCAAAGCGGGGCAAAGCCAGACCTCGCCGCCGCTGAAGTTACCGAGTGAAACTGCGTGATTGAGTGTCCCTGCAGCGTTGCCAGCATCTGTATGTAAGCGGGTGCGAACGTTGTGGCTGACGCAGAGGGAACTCCAAGAAGCTTCGGGAAACTGAAGCTGCATAAAAGCGTTCAAGAATCGGAGAACATCTGAAAATTGTTCTGTGCGCTGAAAGATGCCCGACCTTGTACCATTGTCAAAAGCGAAAGCTCCCAAGTTGAAATACGCCTCAGAAGCTGCAATGGCATTGTCGGGGCAGTGAGAAGAAGAAGTGAAGGGAGTGGAAAAGTACTGCGCTAGAAGCTCCAAGCATGTAGCGAAGTCGAGAGAGCCTTCACTGAGTGCAGAAGATGCACAGGACACCGGGGCACGTGCCTTGGGCAGTGCCGAGGTGGCCCCTGCAGAGCCTGACGGTTGTGCCGGCACACTAAGCGGGACAGCCGTGACCTCCTCAGCGATGTCCCGCTGCTCGCTGAAGTGGGTTTCCTAATGCGGGGTAGCCACATGCTGCGAAGCGGGGTGGTTGCCCCCACAAGCTGTGCCATCACTCTTGGGCACTGCGCATCTGTGCAAGTAACCGGGTCCTTGCACTGCCCACTCTGGTACCTCATGCAAAGTGTCTGACGCTTGCCATCCATGAAGAGAGTGGAAAGCCATTTGCCGGGGGCCGGGAGGGGTGGCTTGCTTGTTGTCCTTGCCCTTGCCGCCTTTGCCACCTCTCTCAAAGCGTTCACCTTTCTCGCCTTTGCCATCACGGCCTTTGCCGCCACGGCCGCCACCCTTGCCACCGCGACCGTTGCCTGTGAAGCGGGCCTTCCAGCTGTTGTCCGGGTCGAACTTTGGCTTGAGAATGAAGGGCCTCGGAGCGAGTAAGCTGTGCAAATCAGAGCGCACCTCAGCGACTTCGTGAAGCGCATCATCCAGCTTCCAATGGTGCACGTTGACTAAGTCGGCGATGATTTCCCAACAGCGGCGGTCGGCGGCCTGGGCTTCCATGGTAGTGGGTCCGCGTAAGCTGGCGGCGGCCTCGTACTTGGTGAAGCAGATCCTCATGAAGCGTTTGTTATAAAGCTTCAGAGAGCCCAGGTGTGCACCTTGGCAAAGCGCGATGGCATTGGCCGCTAGTGACAGAAGCTGGGTGACGAGGCCAAAGGAAGCGGGGCCTTCATGTATGTCGCGGGTAGGAGCCTCGTCGAGAAAAAGCTCTGTGAGGTCAAAGCGGGCCTGTTTCCTAGGCCGGACGAGGAGACTATCTTCTTGAGCGCGGGCGCTTAAGCGGTACTTCCAAGGAATCCATCGCACCTCCTTGTCAGAAAGCATCTTGTTGGTGAGGGCCAATAAGCGGGCGCTTGGAAAGCTCTCTGCATCAAGAAGTTCAGTGGGGTAATCCTCCTCGAACCTCTTCCTAAGCGCCGCCGTGCGCTCCCCGCTCAATTTTGCGGGCCAAGCCTCCTGCCAGGAGCTAGAAAGAGGTGGTGTGGCTGGGGGAGCCGGGGTGGCGGTTGGTGGCCCCTCACCAAGCGGGGCACTGGAACTAGGCGCAGCTTCAAGAGATACCATGCCCTCCGACGTTCGGCACTTGCAGAAGAGTAAGCGCAAAGAGGCTTTGGTGATAAAGCGCTCAGCGGCCTCTGTGACTGAGGCTTCGGCCAAAAAGTGGTTAACCAACTCTTCAAGCTCTGCCGAAGTGGTACAGGACCGAGCAAACAAAGCAACGTCGAAGGCCGAAAGCAAGGAGGCTACAGCTGGTGGCACATTGCATTCTGCCACATGTTGCGTGAAGTCGGCCATCGCCACGTGACCTGAAGCGGGTGCTTGTAACTCCGACAAAGTACTACGAACTGAAGCTGAGGCTGTGACGTTGCCAAGGGTAGTCCTGCAGCAGAGAAAAAGTTTTCTAAGGTTGACACGTTGGCATCTGTGGCCTGTAGCGTGGTAGCGAGGGATACCCGGAGCGGGGGCCAGAAATCTTGCTGGATCCAAGCGGGAAACGAAAATGATGAGCATACAGGAGATTTCAAAGCGTGAACTGACCTGACAAAAGCGGCACGCGGATTTGCCTTCGTTTTCAAGCGGGAAGCGGAGCTCGAGTATGTCTGGCTTCGATGAAGCCGGGCGCTTCTTGCCCAAAAGCCCAAAGCGGGGCCGCCCTTGATCAAGTTGGGCAGGCCCAAAAGTGGGCGATTCAATGCCGCAGCCAAGAGAGCGTAGCGGGGCAGCGAAAGCATCATTGATGCTGCCAGTTGCGGCCGCTCCAGTTCCAGGACCCCCAAGCGGGTTGTTCGTCCCAACCGGACTGGTGCTGCCCCCACTCTTCATGGGTCTGGCTCCATTGTGAAGCGGCTTCCTGACGCTCTCTACCACGAGCCCGCTTACAGTCTCTGCATAAGTGGGTGGTGTGGAAGCTGTTGGAGCGGTCGCTGAAGGTCGCTTGACAGTGTCCAAGCGAGCATTGGGAGCACTGTTAACCGACAGGCCCAAAGCTGGACCAATTGAAGCGTGGGGTTCCCCTCACTGTCGTAGATAGTGTGCCCCAAGCAGCTCGCCGGGGCTTCGCTCGCCAGAAGTGGCGCCCTGTTGCTCTGCGCAACGGGTGTAGCCGTGGCAGAAGCGGGCGTCTGCTGCCCCGTGTTGCCAGTGCTGCCTCCGGTGGTGCCTTCCTCGACAAGCGGAGGTGGCGGTGCTTTTTCCTTTGGCAGCGGGCGGGGCACTTGGCGCAGCCGCCGGGGGAGAGCCAGTAGCCAAAGCGGGCTTCGGCGGTCCGGCCAGGCTTTTGGCCTTAAGTGGAGTCCCCGTAGGTGTCGGAGTGGCCTTAGGTGACGATGGTGGCCGGGGAGGCGGCTCCTTCACCTCGGGCTCGCGTTGCCATCTTTTTGCGTTGGCCACCCCGTCACCTGCATTACCAGCGGCGTCTTTGCCTCCAGTGCCAGCCGAAGCGGGTCCCGTAGGAGCTGAATCCCCGCCTGAAGCGGCTTCGGGCTGCACTTCATCAGCCGAAGCTGGTACAGATGTAGCCGGCGGGGAGGTCAAAGTATGGGCCATAATCCTCAGCGGCGATGACTTCCCCAATGGGGTCTTCGACCGGAGCCGGCCCAGGTTGCACGGCGGGTACATCCGCTGAGGATGAGCCTGTCCCCGTTTCAGGAAGCAGAGGGTCCTGTTCCAACTGCTTCAAAAAGCGGGACTTCTCCTCGTCGTTCATGGACTTAAGGAGGCTGAAGGCGTACTCTGGGGAAAGCTTTGCCATGACCCAAGGAGGCAAAAAAGCGGGCTTGAAGCGCATCTCGAGCTGAAACCGGAGGAGCGGAACAAAACTGTTGTTTAAGCGAAATGCTGCCGACACTCATGAACGCAATGAGACAACTCCCGACGCCGTTGCAAGACCGACTCTTGTTTTTAGCAGCCGGCGTTGCTCAAGCTACCTCCAGGGAAGCAATAATAATACAAGCCCGCCGCTTACATAAGCGGGAGTCGGGCGGAAAATGAACAAAAGGCGAAAATTCTGAGATGCATCCACAAGCGGAGTGGCAACGAACCTCGCATGTGCTGTCCCTGCACGCCAAGCAAGTCATGCGGGAACCGGGGTGAGAAATACATGAGTGTGCCACCCCAGATGCTCCTAGCAGGAACCGCACCTCTTTGCAAATGGGGCGGGGTCCCTGTGGAGAGGAAGCGGCAAGCGGCTGCCGGCTGCTCCTCGTGTGAAAAGCAAGAGCCTCGCGGGACTCATCTTGCCATGTGGGATCGACCTCCAAGGCGTGGGTCGCAGTAGTGGAGGAACGAGCCGGGCCTGTGTCCTCAGCATCGGAGTCCTCGAAGTGGTCAACCTGCGCACGGGCATGAACACAAGAGGGAAGCTTGGCGCCGGAACGTGTAATCGTTGAGCTGCTGAACTCCCGAGCTTCACGAAGATCGCCATCCTGTTGCTCCAAGGCTAAGAAGGACTGACAATCGTTGCCAAGCGAAAAGCAGGATAGGGCCGGGCAGTATTCCTCCCACTGAAAGCCTGCAGTGTCCACAAGTGGTTCGACGAGCGGGGACTGACCGCCTCTGTGCTGTGGTCTGGCTGGACGAAATCCGGCGTGTATCGAACGCCACAGAAGCCGCTGTGCACGCAAAGCGGGCCACACATCGTCACGGGAATACAGTTGAGCCGACCCCGGCGCCTTGTGGTGCCCCTGCAGAAAGCGGGAGGCAAGCGGGATCGACAACTGACTCATCCAGGAAAGAAAAGTTGTCTTGAGGCTGTGAAGTGTGTACTGAGCGGCCTGAGCGGGTGCAATCCCCGACAGCGTAAGCATGTAGCGAAGCTTCTGAAGTGCTTGCGAATAAGAGGCCGGCGCAAAGCCAGTCTCGCTCCAAAGGAAAAACAGGCAGTCGATCAGGTTCAGGCTGGGGCCCAAAGCGGGAGCGAATGTCGCACCAGACGGTGTCTAATGCTCCCAACCAGTGGGGAAGCCAGGTCATGCCCCAGTCCTCGGATGAAGAGAAGAGGCCGAAGCTGAGGAGGCCCCAAGGGCAACCCCCCTTGGCGGTCTTTGCCCTGTAACATATGCCTCGCAGTGTAAAGTTGCTGATGCAAAGCGTGCTCCAGCGAACATGTTGCGCATCAGCAAAGCGGAGGCTGGCGCCGATGGCCACCAAGAAGGAACCTGCCCAGATCCTGTCCATCAAGCTGGCCTTGCCCGAGAGGAGAGTTCGCTCAAGAAAAGCGACGAACGCCAAGGGGAGAGGTATACTCTCCCGCTTCTCCTGTCCGGCCGGGTTGGAAAGCAGGCTAAAAGCAGTGCCGTACAGATCTGGCAGGCACGCGAGGGCCAGAAGCTTCTTGTACCAACGAAGAGCCTTGAGGACGTTGATGCTGTTGGAAAGGGGGCCTGACTCCGAACCTCGAGACAAAGCGAAGAATGCATCAAGAAAGAGGCCTTAATCTACGGAGTCCATGTTGCCACCAAGCTCCTCAAAGGCACAAAAGAAAGGTTGCACAGAACGAAGGTAGCGGGCTGCCGTGGTGTCGCTGACCTTGCTAAGCAAGCGGGACCGGATCACAGCACCCTCTCGACTGCTTTCCAGTTGCTGGAGCACGTCACTGTAGCCGCCATGTGATGTGCAAAGCTGGTCAAAAAGAACCTTATTGCGTTCGTCGCATGTTGTCCTTGCTGGTGAGCATACCGGCAGCCGGAGCACGCAAAGCAGGCGGGTGCGATTCTGAGGGTGCGCGCAAAGATGTCGTTGAGGTGGACCGGTCTCGGTATAGCCAAGGAAAGTGATGCCTGAACAGGAGTCTGCTGCCGTGTGGGATAGACAGCGTAAGCTGAAGCGTCCTGAAAGTGCGGCAGTGCCTTCGCCGTCGGGAAGCTCTGGGGTATAGACTGCTGAACAGGCAAATTGCTGGGGGCCTGAAGCGGGGGAGGAAAAGGAGAGCAGGGGCGGAGCCGAGCCACTGTAGGCTGACGCCCGTTGTACCCCACCTGAAAGGGGGAGTTGTACCTCAGACACAACCTCGGAGCCCGCCAAGTGGGTGCCCTCGACGTAGCAAACAAGCTGGGTCGAGGAGGGGTGGATCGCAGTGGCATAATCCGAAGCGTTGAAGGACCCGAAGCAAACCCTGTGAAAGCTGTCACCTCGGCCTCCGGCGGTTCCTGCGGTATGAGCTGCCAAGATTGATCCCCGCTGGAAGCACCTGGGGAGTTCTCCATAGGTAGGGGAGGGGTCACCGGGGCACAATGTGCTTGATGCAGCCAACGGCGACGAAGCTTACTCCTGGGTTCAAAGGCTTCCTCCGCATCTGAATCAGCAACCTCAAAAGTGGGCGCCGAAGCTGAAGGCACTTGATTAGGGTCCTCCGGGTCGGCAAAGTCAGCAAAGTGGTTGCAAAAAGAGGCCCTAAGTTCCAAAGCATCAGCATCAGTGCAGAAGGGCGAGGAATCAGCCAAGAGTATGTCCGTAGCCACCCTGCTAGACGGCAAAGCTGGTGCATCACCACCACCCATGTCAGAAGCAGACATAGTTAAAACCAGATCCTAAGCCGCGCCACTGTCTCTGAAAGTGTCTCCCGAAGAAGAGTCACCAAAAAAAAAGTTTGATAGAAAGCTTTTGGGTCACCTCTTCCAAAGCTGTCGTCCTATCAGACAAGTGGAGAATCCAGCCGCGACCTTGGTGAAGCTGGTCCTCCAAGCGTTGGACCCTGCCGTATAGGCGGGAAATTTCCGCCGGTTGGGCCGCACTTGCAGCCTCTAGATCGTAAAACCTATCGCAGAGACTCCTGACGTCGTCGGTAAGGCAGGCTTCAAGCAAGCGAAGATCAAACTGCCGGACGTCCCTGTCGAGGTCGCGCAGAACAGCTTGAAGCTGGGGGCTGTGCGGCACAGGCTCGAGGTCCATGCAAGGCCCTAAGCTAAAAGCGTGTTCTTAAAGCTGCTGCAAAATGGTCCTGACAGCTAGAAGCCTAAGCAGACTCACATGTAAAGCAAAGAAAGCTGAAGCTGAAAAGTTTTTGCAAGCTAGCTGCTGTTGCGTGGTGTATGCTTGAACCCAAGCGGGGCCGCGGGTATGAACTGCCGAAACAACCCTGAGTAAACACAGGAACCGCACGTTGCACCTTATCGCTTTATATCGCTTTCCAGTTCTCCGTTTCAACATGAACCCTAAACTGTCAAACCCCTAAACCCTAAACCCTCACCCCTAAACCACCCCCAAACCCGAAACCCCCTAACCCATTGATTGAGGGGACCTCTGTCCTTTGGCACGCAATTTGCCTGTTTCGGTTTCGCTCAGTGTAGTAGCTGGGCTTTCCTGTTTGTCAATGTGTTGTCCCTGCTATATGTGGAGCCTATGTGGCCACAGTGCCGCTCGCCCAGTACCAGGAACCCCGCCTAGGCTTCCGCGGTTCCGGAAAACAGCGAATTCCGGTAACGACAGAGCCAAGAAGCTGGAACAAGCCGCGCAGCATCGCGGCTACAAAGCAGCATAATTTCCGCCAAGACTGCCGACTCGAATCTTGCAGCTATTGCATTTACTGCTCGATGTCCAGTCAAAGTCAAATCGAATTCTAAGCTGGGTCAACGGGCCGGAAAGTGGGCTCTGACAGGAGCTGTGTGACTGTTCGTGGTGTTACAACATCGCACATATCAAAACTACCACTGTGCTATGGTCGCGACGATACAAAAAACAAAAAACGAACAATCGAAATGAGTCACAGTAACAACAAACATTGAAACAAAGGTTCGTCAAAAAACGGGTGCCGCGTCGCACGTGAGCCAAGCTGAAACCACTTTAAAATGTCCCCAAAAGCGACGCGGCATCAACTGCGCCCAAATGCCACACTCATTTTTTTCAATGAGCAGATGCACCAAAGCCGCGTTTCCGCGGCCATTGGCACACTACTGTGAAGGCCGGAAGGCAGCCACAATCCTGGCTGGCTCCAAACCTTAAACCCCTCCACCCTGGACTTCTAACAGACGACGACTATCCAAACAGGCGATCAGCCGATGCTCAACTGCTACGGGCAGATTTCGTCTACCTGAGTCGTTCAGCGGCACAACCATACAGAGCTCACGTCTGTTTCCTTCAAGCACAGAGCTCTCATGACCCTGCAAGTCGTAAAGCCTGACCTGCACAAATGGGCAACTGTACACTATAAGGCTACCGCTGCTCAGCTGCCATTGCAAGCCGTAAACATTGACTTACTTGCGCAGTGGCCCACAGTCCTATAGTTGCTTCCTGTGGCACATCCGCAATACTCACATATCCATCGTGTCACGCTGGCTGCTCATGGCCTCACCGAGAGGCACGCCTGGGAGCCGCAGATCCGCCGCAGATGGCAGAATAGAACCATCGATTCAACCTGTCAGAGACCATAACATCATCCACGTGCCAACCATAAAAAGTCCTGACACAGCCAAACAAAGACAAGACGCCAACGGCAGTCGAAAACGGGGTGTTGTGACACTTGGACTGGCAATGACAATCCTCACCAGTGGCGAGAAGGCTTGTCCCAAGCGTGTTTCGGCCAACTCAGCTCACGAACATCGCAGTCTGTGGCAAGCACAGGATAAATGTCCTACAGAGGTTCTCACAAGTGGGCAAGAAGCTCAGAAATTGCACAACAAAAGCGTGAAACGGAGAAGTCTTCGGTTACAGCAAAATGCGAGCAGACCAAGTCGGCAAGATCGAAAAACAAACAGAACATGCTGAATCTTTTTTGGCGTGGGCGGGCCTCAAAGACAGCAGTTGGTTGCTGCACTCGGTCCCAGCAAGAACGACAAGAGTCAAGCATCAAAAGAACTGTACCGACGAAAAGGACTGTGAACCCTGGTGAGACTGGCGGCGAATTGCAGATTTGGCGGGCAGAGATCGTTCAGCCTTCCTTAAAGCACCTAGCTGCAGCGCAATGGCGTCGCCCCGCTTCTCGGAGTCGGTGCAAGGCACACTATTGAGTGAGGATCGCCAACCTGTGGAAGTTGAGCTGACCGACGAATGGGCGCCGCTTTATTTGTCGCCTGAAACCAACACACGGGGCTCCCTGTTCAGGGATGCCCCAGAAAAAGCATGCGATGTAACCGTCGTTGCGCGCGCAAGGCCTCCTATGCTTTGCAGAGGATGACATCGCACATGGCAACTCTCGCTGCCATGGGGGCATCTCAAGAGCTTGGAGGCCATCAATGGGTGGCTTCAATCTTGGATTGGCCGAGATTTATGGATTGAAAACCGCAGCAGTCTCAGGCGGTGCAATGGCAGCTTGCGCCGGGTGACTGCCAAGCCAACAATTGGCCAGGCTGGCGTCCTCGAGCACTGCCCTGACCCGCGAGGAGGAGGGGCGTCGGACAGCTTGAGGCTGGTCCCCGGGCTTTAACCCAGGTTTGAGTTTGAACCTGGGTTCCCTCCCCCCGGGGGGGGGGGGGGGAACAACAACAACAACCCAGGGAACCCAGGTTTGAAACCTGGGTTTAACCTGATTTTGAACCTGGGTTTGAACCTGCGTTAAACCTGGGTTCGAACCTGGGTTCAACCCCGGGTTAAACCCAGGTTATAACCCAGGTTAAACCCAGGTTCCAAACCCAGATTTGAAACCCAGGTTCTAACCCAGATTTGGAACCCGGGTTAAAAACCCAGGCTACAACCCAGGTTTGAAAACCCAGGTTCTTTGGAACCCAAGTAGAAGCACCCAGACAAAAACCCGGGTTGGAAGAAAGACTCAAAGGTGAGGAAGAGACCTGAAGGAGGACCTTCTTCACGAAAGAAGAGCCCACACTCCCACGAAATCGCTTAAGGGGGGTCAAAGGCGAATAAAACAGAAACATGGAAGACGGAGTTATTGAAACCCGAATCCTGTTCTTTTTATCACGGCTTGGAAGTGAAGCTTTACGGTGTAGGCAGCTTCAAAGGCGCGGAGAGTTGACAATTTGCAAAAAAACGGAAGGGTTAGGGTGGACGTAGCTCCCGATTGAGGCTTGTATTTCAGTTGCGCATTGTTAAGGGTTCCAGAAGCCTGTAAGCTGTCCGGACTGGTCCCAGAGAAGGGAATTCGAACCCTGATTTACACCTGGGTTCCAAACCATTCTTTCTTCAAGGGCACGGAAAACCTGGGTAGAACCTGGATTCCAGAGTTGTTCAAACCCAGGTTTGAACCTGGTTCGGGACCCAGGCACTTAGGGAACACTCCGTATGTATGCTGTACTCCAGGGTGTCCCTCGTTAGTTTCCGAGGGACCTCTAGGGAACCTCCGGGGCCTCCGGGCCTCTCACACACAGCACTCAGACAGAGCGGGCACGCTCCACACTTTTCACTCTGCTGTTCTTCAGCAGTCCGAGTCTTGAGCCAAGCCCGGCACGGCTTGAGGCTTCAGTACACAGCTCTCTGGACTTCAAACACTTCACAGCTCGTGAGCACTAACAGCGAACTTGGGCTTCAGCTCTCTAAACACTAGAACTGGCTCCTGATGCCTCTTAGGCATCACGCTGTAGCTCTGGCGAAAGCAAACAGGCTTGAGACTCTTCACAAACACTCCAAGCGTCCGCAAAGCTCACTCTGAGGTTCGGGCGGGACGACCGACAGGCGGACCGACCGACCGACCAACAAACCGACAAAACAAGGTTTCGAAAACATGCGAAATGGTTTCGTTCCAAGCTTTCACCATGCCAAAACAAATCGTACTCACATGACATGCAACACAAGACTGTGCATGATTTTTCCAAAGCAAGTGTAAGTGCTTCAAATCAACAACTGGGAACCTTAGGAGGTCACACAAATCAACTCCCCCTCTTGACCGTAAGGTTCCTAGACCCGGTCCTGTCCTCCTTTCGAAGACCACGCCACAGACAAAGTCCTGTGCGTTCGTTCCTCAGTCTGCGCGTCCAGGAGCAGAGGCGGTCCTAAAAGACCCCGAGGCACAGCTCTTCAAGCGCACCTGCCGGCTTGTGAATTCATCCGAGCCGTAGCGTGGCCAAAGCAGTCTCTGCGAAGGCTCTCGGATAGTGTTGTGTAGCTTTAAGGTCAAACATTTGTGAATGATCGTGGCTACCATCACATGCAAAGTTTCGAGACATGTGTTGAATGAAATCCGCATCGTTAGAAACAAGCTTCCATGTTTTCTTCACCAAAAGATTATCTTGACCTACCATGCCTGCCATGCACCCATGCACAAGCCCTTCGTGGTGGCTTCTGCTCCGCAGGAAGCTCTTCGTAGACTGCCAGCCCCAATAGCTGCATCTTTGTGGCCACTCCATCACCCAGACACTCACTTGTGGGTGGGTGTTCAGTTTCAACCACGACTTCCAAAGCTTTCTGTGCACTGTGAACAGGGCCTGCAAGTGCTCTTGGTGTTGGGGGTTGTGGTGCAAGTGCTTTCTTTGCCAAGGGCTACCCCCGGTACAAGGCGTGCTGCTCCAAAGAACAACCTTCATTCCCCAGCTCCTGGCAACATCCATGGCTGACATGAGCCGCTCCACGGTCTCAGGTGAAGTCCCATCTACTTCCACAGTCACCGGCAGAACAAAGACAGAGTAGTCACACCCCGTGGTCACAAAGCTAGATTGCGGATCGGTACAAAACTCAATGAACAGGGTTCCGTACGATGTTGGGAGCTCACAGAGGCCCAAGAACCTTTCCGACTCAAGTTCTGTGTTGTCAAAGATCGAATTCAACAGCCCTGTAAGGAACACACACGAGCGAACCACCGGCACAGCACAAAGGTCAACCTGGTGGACGTCTTCCAATCCTAAGGTCGTTGTGTGTTTCAAGGTCTGGGGCCTGTTGAGGTTCTTGGTGAGGAGATCACTGACGTTCTCTTCTCCGGCAACCCCGTTAATCACCAACTCGTTCTGATGCACCCTATCCTGAATAAAACTTCCTTTCCAACGCTGGGCTTCGAAAAGTCCTTTGCGAACCCGCCGATGGACCGCTGTGGGTCATCGCGAGAGGAGCCGCACTTTGTGCAGCAGAACACTAACTTGTACCTAGGGTACGCAGAACTACGAGCTACGGCGGAAGCTAGCAGCTAGAAGCACAACACTACGGGCTACGGCTGCAGCTACGGCACTACGGCAAAACTGCAGTGCGGAAGCACTTGGGGACTGCAGGTCACACACGAGTGACGCGGAACCACTTGCACTCGCGACAACGCGACAGCTGTCCCCTAAGGAGATGGCATCAAGCGTGGCTCTTTGGTATAGCAGAGAAGATAAGCATTCGCAAATATCTCAGCAAGTTCGGCGGGTTTGGCGAGTTTAGCAACACGATTATCGTCAGTGTAGAAAACCTTACGTGCCATATCCTCAAACAGAGCCGCTCTGTAATGGCCAGTTGCCATTCGGGGGCCAATGTGGACGATTGCCGCTCGTAAGTGGTACTTAGAAACCCTAGTGGAGTGGCCCGAAAAGTAAGGAACCTTCAAGACAGGGTCGAGAGTAACAGGCTCTAAAACCTTCTGGGCATCAGCATCGTCAACATCGAACCGCGCAAGCTGCAGGATCAGGCATTCTGGCGTCTGCAGCAGAGCATGCGCCGGGGCCTGGGTGTGCCACAAATCGACAAGCTGCTGGACAGATAAGTGGCTTAACAGAGGCGCGGTCAAAAGAAGTGGACAGGTGTCTCCCGAATCCCGCACCTGATCATGGGAGTCGCGGGCTTGCCACAATCCTTGAAGCGCAGGAGTCTGCATACGCGCCTGAAGATGATGCACAAACTCAGCAGCATCGTGCTGCTCCCGAGGGTTCCTCCAATCGGTAAGGAGCTGTTGCCAACCAAGCAGGCTCCACAGGCTAAAAGGTTGCCGTCGTAGTATGCAAGCCTCCAAAGCGGTGAACACATGTCGCGGAATCACCGCCTGAGTGCGTGCACGACTGCACCAAAGCAAGGCTGCCAGTGAGGCGTTCGCATAGCAGAGGTTGGAGCCGTTGGTGAGGCGCATCCTCAGCTGGACTGCGTCGTCGACCTTGCTGCTAAGTCTGAAGGAGGTGCTCACTGGGGTATTAGCTGGTACCGAGGGAGAGCTTAAGGTTAAGGCTGGGGCGGCGGGGGCGGTGCAGGCAGGAACTTGTAGATCTGTTGAGCAAGAGGGGACCTCGTCAATCGTTCGGGTTTGATGGACATGCCGATCACCTGGCAGCAAGCGCTGCCGCAGAGCTCCGCGAGGGAGGCGTGCATTTGATCGCTCGGTGTGGTGCGATTGGACACCGACGCCAGGAAGGTGATCGATGGGCCCTTGAGTTCCGATGCCAGAGGCCTGGTGGGGGCAAACCGAGTCAGCAGCTGGGAGTCCGTCGCCAATCGGATCACACTCTCCACCAGCTCGATCGCGGCCGCCGCCGTCAAAGGTGGGCGAGTGGTGTCCGGGATCAGCTTGGCCTGATCCGGGTCCCACCGAAGGAAGTTCCATTTGCCCTCGTCTGTGAGAAAGCCGAGCTTCTTCATGTTGGTTTGGATCTCCTGTGTCATGCGAGCCGGTTGCAGTCGCTGCAGAAACTCGCGCCACACACACATCCACAGGGTGAGCCGCAGCGGGGATGTGGGAGGAGTGGTCTCCCGATCGGCCTTCCACTTGGTCGCCACCGCAAACAGGGCCTCCGGGACTCCGCCCGGCAAGCCTGTGCGCATCCAGATGACGAAGGATGTGTCCAGCATGAGGGTCTTGATCGAGTCCTCGTGCCGTACCATCAAGCGGATCATCATGTGGCACAGGGTCCAAAGCTGGGCGACTTCCTCGTCCTTTGTTTGACTGCTGTTGGCACTGCCTTTGCCCTTGCCTCCGCCCTTTTTGCCCTTTCCTTTGCCTTTTCCCTGCCTGGGGTCTGTCTTCTGAAGCTTGCTTGGGGGCTCTAGCGGTCGCTTGGGTGTCGTCGAGGGTGTCGTCGTCATGGCTGTGCTCATGTACGCCGAGTACATCTCCCACTCTCGCGCACGCTTCGCAGAAGCAGCCCGTAGGCTTGTCCGACATGCACAAATTAACTCCAAGTATTTTGGAGTCATCCGCGTTTGCGGGCATCGCCAAAATGGCGGCAGTGGCTACTCCTACCCTGAGCTACAGGTGCCTGACCTACCTGAGCTACTGGCAGGAGTGGGTAGCCATGGCTTGGACTAGTGAGCAAATCTGGATCGAGACTAGAGAACACCGCCTGCCAAATGACCGTGCAACCCTCAGCGTGCCGACATGGAGCACATCGGTAAGCTTGTGCACAGAACTGACATGGACGTTGAACCTGAACAGCTTTGGCCTCCTTCACAGCCTGATTCAACCTATCCACAGCCGATGGGTGTTTGGCACGAATGTGAATCTTGATGCGACTGCCGTCGTTCGCCCACAAATTACAGACTGGGCAGTTGTGAGCCATGCGAGCATGCAGTTCGGCCTTAGAGGCAATGTTTCGCCAGCGTCTGAGGTGTTCTCTGGGCTCCGCTCTCAGACAGGGTTCGTCAAGCAGCCTGGCAGCAAAAGGTGCAGGAGGAGGAGGTGGGGGTGGAGGTGCAGTCTCCGGGGGCACAACAGGCGCGCGTTCACTGAGGATCTCACAAGCAGGCACTGCCGCTGTGGGTGCAGAAGATGGAGCCTCTTCCCGGTCCGAAGACCCCAGCAGAAGAGGTTGTGCAGCATTGAGCCGCTTGGGCACACAACTATCAAACTGGATGTGCAAATTAAAATTTCTCCACCCATTGAACTCACGAAGGCAGTACTTGCATGTGGGAACACCGTTAAGGGAATGCTCAACTTGATTGATTGAGGAGAGGGCCTTCTTGACATCACGATGCGCCTGAGCACCATGTGCACGTACCCGATGGCGCTGAAGCAGACCTGAGTTCGCGAAGGTGCACGGACAATTAGGACAAGCATATGGGCGAGCCACCAGGGTCACCTCTTGAAGTGTCGTAGCAGCCTGAGTGGCACCTGAATCCGGGGCAGATGCTGGCGTCTGTGTAGCAGCCTGAGTGCCGGTCGAAGCGTGAGCTTCAGAGATATCAGGTCCATTCCTGAGGGTGCCTCTGTGCAAGAAGTGCGACCGTTGTGTACTTGGTGTCGGCTGGGATGCGGGAGCAATATTCGGCGCCTGTGGTGCAGCGACGGGCGGCTGTGCGAAAGCGGCCTGAAGGATGACATGCCACTGTGCAACCCTATCGAGCTGGAGCGACCGGTCGAGGGCCTTGAACCGGGTCTGATTGGCGGTGGCTTCCTTCGAGAGGAGCGCAATTGGGTCAAAACCCAACTCGGTGAGGAAGGCATCCGTGGTCACATGTGTGTCCTTGGACAGCTGTCCACTGACAATGCGAAGGTGTCGGGCAACGATGCCCCGGATCCTGACCATGTCTTTAGCTTCAAGCTGCAGTGCTGTGATCCCGTATTTCAGGCATGGCCAGACCGTCGACAGCCACAACCGCCGCCTGGTGTGGCGACTGAGATGGTGTCTGGCGCTGAGCACTTGTCGAAGCCTGGAGAAAAGCTGCCCCGCCCGATTGTACCGGTGGGCGATGCTGTGAGATTCCAGGGCTCCGTAGCTGAGGATGATGCCGAGATATGGGTGTTTCCTAGCAATCGGAAAAGCGCAGTCGGGTGCCACCCGCAGTTTGGAGACACCTTTGTCTTTGAACCGAAGTTTGCCCATGGTTCGCTCAGCCTGTGTGCCATGCAACTGGTAGAGAATCACACTCTTGGTGTCACTGACCTCCATGCCATGAAAACGTAAAATTTTAACCAGCTTGTGCAATTGAGCAAGGCAGTCGGTAAGGTCCGAGGATGTGCGAATCATCCACTGTGCTATCAGGTCGTCAGCATAAATGGTGAGTATTTCTGATGCTTGGGGCCCCAGAGTTGCAAGTAGCTGGCGGTACACATAGCCTGTCGCGAGCGCCCATAATGCAGGGGATAATGGACACCCCTGACGAACCCCCCGAGAGGTAGCACAAGAGGCTTTGAGACCACAATGGTCAAGCTCAACAAGAAGCTGGGAATGGATGGCAAGGACCTGTTGAACAATGGGCTCAGGTATCATGGCATCACGCATACCAGCAGCAATCATCGTTCTGGGAAGGGAGTCAAAAGCTTTGGCCACATCCAAAGAGAATGTGACCCCGCCCACGCATTGAGCTCTGGAGGTTGAGTCGCGTCGTCGTTGTACCATGCGCTCTCTGGTGGGGGCTGCCGCCCGGACACTGTAAAAGTGTGACACCACACGATGCATCGCTTCCACAGTTGATCGCCCCTTCACGTATGCATACTGAGGGACATCAGCAATGTAATGTTGGAGATACGGTGCAATGAGCTCTGACAACATGATCGCGTGTACTTTGCTGATTGGGCGAGTATCCGATGGCTGTTGTGACTTTTTGGTGGGTTTCGGCAAAAGACAAAGCGAGACCCGCCTAATGGGCATGGGAAGCATGTGGGGTATGTTCGAAAACGCAGCATTGAGACAGTCACTAAGCACAGGGCCCACCTCTTGTGCAGCAAGCTTCCATAGAACTCCAGGCGAAGCCGAAGGATGCACGGCCTTCAAAGCTGACAGAGACGCAAGGGCCGATGTGCACATGCCTGCGTCGAAGAGTTGAACACTGCAATCGAAGACCTGTGTCGGGCAAGCCCTCGAAGAAGCGAAAAGATCCCTGAAGTATTGCAGCAGTGTGTTGCATTCCGCCTGGGGATCCTGAAGGTTTCCCTCGGGATCTCGGATTTGCAACCGCGCCTTGACCTTGCGAGGAGCAAGGCGGTTCACCACACGATACAATGCAGATAGCTGGCCCTGCTGTGACGCCCGCTCCGCCAAAGCGGTTTGCTCGAGAAGAAAGGCCTTCTTGCGAGCGCGGCGCTCAGCAACGACCGTGCGCTCAAGTGTACGGATCTGATGATCAAGCCTCCATGCCGTGAAGGCTGCACGCAGGCAGTAGGCAGGTGGCCTGTGGGTCAGCGCATCTCGTTCGTTGCGCAATTGCCAGAGAGTGCGTACGGCTGTGGCTTCGGCCGGCACAGTAGCAGCCGTCTCGGCTGGCGCAAGGGTGCTCCGTGCTCCCGCCGGTTGGCTATGAGTCCAGGCCTGAGTCAAGCATCGATCAATGTCAGCAATGGTGGGTCTATGGGGTAGGGTGGCCCTCAGCTTGTCACGAAAGGCTTGTTGTCGTTCGGGATTGTTTCGAACTGCTTCCCAAACGGACCTAGGCTTCAAAGTCAGATGCTTGGGACGAGAGTGCACCCAGGGACACCACGTGAAAGGAAAAGAGCCTCGGACCGGTATGTGTCGAGAGCCCAGTCGGCCCATGGCCACCGGCCAATCCTGCACCGGTCCGCTGGCTAGGCTGGTGCCGTCAGCATGTGCCCCACGCAGAATAATGTAATCAATCAGTGTTTGGGCATTTGTGGCTGGATTGACAAATGTTGCGCCGGGTGCCTGACCAAAGGTGTTGGTCGCCACCAGCCCAAATGTGCACAACGTGTGAAGCAGCTCCTGACCGTCTTGTTGCGGGGGAGGGGTACTAGGGATGCCAAGACCAACTACTCCTTTGCATGATGCGAGCTGGGTGTTCAGGTCACCTGTGAGGCACAAAAGGTTGCGACGTGGGAGCGACCTAAGAGAGCCACACAGCTTCTGCAAGAACTGAGCCCTGCGGCGCATGGCATCCTGCCACCAGTCGGTCTTGCTGTCCTGTTTGCGGCGATGCCAGGCGAACTGATATGCATGAAGAAGGTCGATAGGTTGATGTCCTGCTTTGGGTGTGATCCGCAAGTGTTGCAATCTACCTGCGATGATGGAGCTATGCCTAATGCCCTCCGGGGTGGCTAAACGCTTGGAGATGCAAGTCAGCAGACCGGCCTCCTTGGGGGCACCACTGCTGTGGTGCACAAAGCACCAGTGGTCATCATCCCACTGCAGGTCGTCCCGCCAAAAGGTCTCCTGAATGCAGACGATGTCTACACGATTGCTATGTGTGCGAAGCCACTCCTTGAGCTCTGCCCAAACCAGGGTGGTCAATCCCCCAGCGTTCCACGTAAGCAGGCTGCAGCGTCTAGAGGAGGGGGCATGTGCAGAAATTGTGGCAACACGAGGCCGTGCACTTCCTGAGCTGCCAAGCCGTTGTGTACAGGAGGGCCGTGCCGGCGTGCCGGTCGTGGCGTCTTCCCCTGCATCACGGGATGTGGCTGGGCCAACGGCCCTGTGCACTTGCAGATGCCTACCCTCGAAAATTGAGCCCCGGTAAGGTGCTACTCCAAACTGCTGCGCCGTAGTGATAGCTCTGCGAAGTGCCCTCTTGCGATGGGGCAACTTGCGGGTGTTATGGCCTGGCTTCGCCTCTGATTGGCGGTACATGGAGTCTTGCGATGCGGCTCCAGGATCGTCGGCCTTCGATCCAACCCTCGCGTCTGCAGGCTTTCTTGCACTTGTGTGATCTGCAAAATGCGGCCTGCCCCTGGACTTGGGACCAGGGCTGGTTCCTGTGGTCAGCATGTACGGTAGTTCTGTGGGCTTTTCTCGGGCTGGGTAATAATCATTATGGGTGTGCGGCATGAAAATAGGAGCATGCGGGTTCAGCGTGTGTCCTAATGCAAAAGAAGAGACAATCTCAAGCGCAGGCTCACTCAAAACCGCAGGTTCAATCCCTAACTCGGCTTCGGAGTGCAATGCAGGAACTCTCTGAGGTTGCGACGTAGCAGGCACGAACTCCGGTGCATGCGCGTTCAAGGGCACTGAAGCACCCGACGACGGCACACTGTGAAAATCATGCTCGCTGTTTGTGGTTGGATCCATCTGCAAAACACTAAATGAAGAAAAGCACGCACCCAAAATCAAGCTGAAAATCAAGCTGAAAATCAGATTGGCAATTGGCAACCTTGCAGGGTTCATGTCCTGAGAGGACCTGACTGCAGCAAGCTGGTCAAAGGAGCTCCGAGCTCTCTTTCTGTGGCCTCTACCAAAGAAGGATAATTCCTTGACGCGTAAGCAACAAGGGAAAGGCCACCTGCTCGAGGCAAAATGTCCAGTGCAGAGACGAAGAAGTCAGCTGCTTCTAAGTGCTGCCACAAGCTGGCTGCGAGGCGGTCCCCGTAGGAGGGATCTCGTGCTATGTGATCAATGACCTGATCCCGTGCCAAAGTTTTCAGATGAATCAACTCCGTGGTGCAGTGCAAGAGTAAGCCCGGGCAGCCGGGACGACGCTTAATGGCACTACAGCACCAGAAGGTGCTATGAGCCGCTACCCCGCCCCGCTACCCGCCCCTACACCTCACCTCGCAAGGGCCGAACGAACTGGGCAACCCGGGGAAAACCACACGAAGGAGGGGAAACCCGGGTGCCCTGAACAAACCCAAACCCAGACCCGAGCGAGGGCCCACCGCTACCAGTTCGCTTGAACCGAGACGCTTCCTGAATAAAACAAAGTCTGATGTCTACATGTCGCATCCTCCGAAGGAACCCCTCCATCCCGGCAATCTGGCGAGCAGATGCGCTGTCGGTGTAGATAGCGAGGGGCTTGGCGATCTCGCCCCAAATGTGAGAAGCCAGCTGACCTAAACCGGCAATTTCCTTAGCGGCCTCGGCAATGGCAAAGAGTTCGGATAAGGCAACTACGGTTTGTAGCCTACTGTAGCCCTTTACGCAATACCACAGGGAACCGGCCACTACGTAGATAACCCCACCGCTAGTACTCTTCCTCCCGGTGCTACTTTCACTGCCCCAGTTGCTATCACAGAACGCCACCAAAGTGGCACCCTCTTCTTCCAAAGTTTCCCCGCTCCCGGCGGGAAAGACCTGATCAAGCAACGGACAACCGACCAACCACCGAAGAAATTTCCTTAGCGCATCCTCGTGCACCATCCTTGGTGCAGCTTGCCCTCTCGAAAGCATAGAGTGGAAATATGTGATGTCAGTGCGCGTCTGGGTCAACCAACCAATCTTCCCAAGGCAGGACCTGAACCTACCCGCGGCTTCTGGAGACAAAGAGGGCGATGGGGATTCAGGGTCCTCAGCATCATATAAAGCCCTAATGTCGGGGGTTGTGGCCACAGGTTTGACCTTAGCCAGGTCCTTCTCGGTCCACCCAAAGGCAGAGAAGACTGAACGCACGTACTCAGGTTTCACCCCAAGGGTGATGTTGTTCCCATCTAGCTTGATAAGCCGTCCTAAAAACTCAAGTTGGCCATCTTCATGGAGCCTTCCGGTGACCTTTACCTTTAGAACCGCACTCAGGGACTTGTGGATAAACTCAACCCCCTCTTGGCTGTCGGAGACGATCAATAAATCATCCACATAAGCTAGGGCGATGATATACGTCCACTTCTTTCCGAGCTGAACCCATCCACTAAAGAGCGTGGGCTCGAGCGGCGAGGCTTTGAGGCCCAGGCCGACCATAATCTTACCGAGGTGCCTTTGCCAACTCAGGCTCGCGCTGCGCAAGCCATACAAGGCCTTCTCTAGGATCAAGTACGCGGGGCCTCCGCCCTCTAGGCAGAAAGAGCTCGGGAGCTCCACCACAGTGGGTTGAACAACGTTCGCAAACAGGAACGCAGTAGAAATGTCCAAACCCCAAACCCGCATACGGCCCTTCGCGGCTCTCGAAAGTATGAGCTTGAGTGCCTCCACACTCGCGGTGTTCGAGGAGAGGCCAAGATCAAGGGCAGAAGGCCTGCCGTGCGCGAAGTCTTTCGCCACGAGGCGTGCCCTGACAAGCCCTGGGGCTTTCTGTGTCAGCACCCACCGTGACTTTATCACGCGGCACTCTGGGTTCTCTTCCTGGTAGCGATCAACTTCAGACCTGGAACGAAGGAGGCCGACTTGCAAAGAGTCGACGGCCTTGACCTCAGTCTTCATTCCTTCCCAGCTCTCTTTGTTGTCTAGCTGAATTCCATCGACGTCGTCGTAGGAACTCCGAGGCCTAGAGACCCAAACCCAGCGATCCCCAATGGGCATATATGTGCCCTCTTTCTCTTGATCTTGATCATTGCAAGCAGACAGGTCCGACCGACCAACCGACCGACCAACCGACATGCTCACGCCCGACCGACCAACCGACACGCTGTCGCCACTCGACCGACCAACTGGCACGCTCAAGCCCGACCGACCAACGTCATGCTCCACACGCTCATGCTCAAGCAACGCAATGCAAGAGTAGGGCAACTTATCGCAAGAGGAGCGGCCGTCGACAAGCAACGAGCAAAACGCTTGCAAATCATACACATCACACGCGGTCAAGGGAGTAGGAACGTAGCGGACGCAGCCGCAAGCCCACATTTCCTCCAATAACCGAATCGCGGGGCAATCATCCTTCGGTGCCTCGGCGACACCCATCAGATCATCCTCTCCCTCGTCCTCGGAGGGCAACGAGGGCTCGTAGTCACTAAGATGGTCGTTGGCCTCCGCACTGATCTGTGGTACTTCTACTTCTTGCTCTGAGGGCGCCGAGGGCGCCGGAAACTCACGAACTTCCGAATCACCGAATCGAACCCGCTTGGCCGGTGGGCCTTGAGCGGGCGGAGGGTCCCGACCAAGCTCTTCAAGAGCGTTGTCCACAGCATCTCGGAGCCACCGCTGGTAGCGCCGGACGCACTTTATTGAATGGCGACAGGACGTGGCCTCTTCGGAGCATCCGGGGCACTTAGGGGTGCCGCCGTGCTCGCGGATCCATTCTTTGGAGGGTCCCCCTCCCGGCAAATAGGGAAGGTGGAGCTCGCGAAAGCGCTCCTCATCCAAAGGTGGCACAAAGCCTTCCAGAGGCCTGGCACCGTCAAGCAACGAAGCATCGTATCGAAGAGGGTAGAGCAACTTCAGACCCGGCGCAACAATCAACTTGGTTTCTCCAGAATCCAGCCGGATACGCACCTGGTGCCCGGTAGAACCAAGCACAGGACCCAGGTACACCCCACGGGCATACTTGGTATCAACTTCCTCTTTGCTAGAACGGCTGACCTTTGCGAAAACGACAGCCCCGAAGGGATAGGTCAACTGGGGCTTGTGGTCGTGGCCCCGCAGCTTCTGCAAAGGAGACATGGTGTTCCCGACCGACACTGCAAATCGATTGTGCACGTGTGCCGCGTATCTAAAAAGAAACTCTAAAGTACCCGGATCATCTCCGAGGACAACACCAGTTTCACGGAGTTGTAATTCGTGAGAAGACACAATCCCTTTCAAGGTTCGCACTGCTCGTTCAGCAACGGGAGCGTGGCGCTCCGGAGCAAAACTTTCACTGTGTCCCTCATACCGTTCCGCTAGGGCCTGTGCAATGCTGATGGTCAGCGGTTCCGGATCTGAGTAGAAGGAGGGCTTAGGACCAGCGCTATGGCCTAACCCAAAATGAGCTAGCCACGGCTCGAGATGCCCGGCTGATTCGCGTCCACTCATCCCTTCTGGTCGGAACGTCACTCCAATCGCAAAAGCAAGCACATGCACTAGAGTAATAAAGCACCTTGAGCGATACATGAACTGATCTACCTGATACTCTTTATCGGGTCTGTCACTTCGCATGCGGGCTGGCGTCAGCCCTCGGCTTCTGTTGCAAGCTTCACAGCTCGCCCAGTATGGCACGTGACCCTGAGAGACATGTGACAGGCGCTTGTGCAGCTCACGGCGTGTCTCCGGATCTTGTGATATGATCAGCTCTCCCTGCCCTGCTGCTAAACCCAAACCGGCCGGACCCTCTGGTTGCGTATTGGGCTCCTTGTTGTGATTCTTCTGGTTGAGGGGGTCCTCTTCCTGCAACGGGGCAACAACAGCAGCGGAACTGAAAACTGAACATGGCTGACCGCAGAACTCACACGAAGCGTGCACTCTAGAATGTTTCCATGCATGCTGGTGCGTTGGCAAAGCAAAAAGGCCATTATTCATGGCGTCGGGCTTCGAAAGCTGTGAGACGATTACGGGGTCGGGCTGCGAGAAGATCTCCTTGGCGGAAGTGGCGGCGGGTTGATAACCCACATTCCCGATGGAGGTGCCGGCGGTGGTGCCAGTGGTGGACCCAGAACACTCCCCGTTGGGCTTGAAGTAGGCCGGCTCACGGTAGGAGCAGGAGGTGGGATCGGCAATGCGGTGCGCGGACGCACTCGCCGAGATTCTGTGGCCATCTCCGCTGCAATCCTCCAGGAGTCTGCTTCTGCCTCCGTACAGATCCCGAGCCTCATCCTCGTGTGTAAGCTCTCGCCGCTGGGCGAACTCAGCACTGCACCCGGAGGTGGGTAGCTGCGCGGCACCCACGAATATGTTGGTGGAGCCGAAACCGGTGGTGGCGGAGGTGCCGGAGGCGGCACACTCGGCGACACATTGGGTGGCGATGGCGCTTCTTCCTCCATCCCTGTGTCCTCCGCCATCTCGGTGTCCTCCTCCGCAGGTGCCTCCAATGGCGCCGTCTTGGGCGGCGTCTTGGGCATCATAGACCCGAGCCCCTTCGGATCCACCGACTTGGGTGGTGTCTTTGGCTGCACATCCCCGCGGCCAGCCTGAGCTGGCTTCCAGCCACCCCAGTTCTCCGAGTCCGTAGGCGAATTCGGAGGCGTCCACCCTGGTGGTGTCTTGACAGGTGAGGTGAAAACGGCCTGAGCTGCCACTCCCTCGCTCAGTGGAGTTAATGCCCGCGCTCCCTCCAGTTGTTGGGTCGAGCGCTGCTGGAGTCGCAGAGTGTCTGGCCAAGGCCGCCCCCTGGCCTTCACCCGTCGTGTCTCTCGCTCTGTTGGAAGCACACGGCGTTCCACTGCTCGCGGAGGCTCTGATGGTTCCGCCCAGATTCCCGGAAGTGCATTGCTGGATTTGGCTGTGGCTTCCGAGTTGTCCTCTGGCGGCAAAGTTGAGGCACTCGCCTTCGCCGGTTGGTTGCTGAACCAAGCCAGTCGGAGAACTAGCTCCCTCGCCTTCTTGATCTCGGGCTCGGCCAAGTCCGGCATACGAAGCTGGATCATCATATCGATCCTTTCGGGATCGGAAAGCCTGTCCGGTAGAAGCCTCAAACCAGGGCGGTTCCTGGCGATCCACGACTTCATGTGGTGATTGTGGCTGTCGGACATTAAATGAGCCTCCGTCGCGTGTTTCCCGCAGACCATGCAGTACTCGCAGTAGTTGCGGTTGTTGTGGCTCAGGGCCTGAGGGCTTGACCACTTCCCCTCTGGGGCAATATAAGGAGGGGTCCAACTGAAGCTGTTGACCCGGTCCGCGAGGCTCACCCCAGTCGCCTTTGGGGCAGGTGGCCCCCCTACCTCCTCGTCGGAGGATATCTCCATTGCTTCCGCCCGGCCTGTCCAGCCCTTCTTCGCACTGGCCTTCATCAGCTAAACCCTTAAGGCTCAAGCTTGTGCCTTGGCGATCTGCGGAAACCCCCTGTTCACCTACACTGTCGCTCGAACTGCACACACCGTCATGCACAACCGACCGACCAACCAACCGACCATGCATGCCAAGCAAACGCTCTTCAAAATCACTGCACGCAGGTTGCACTACAGAAACTGGCTGCAACGGCACTGAAGAGTCACTAAAACCTGGCTGCACCCACTGGCCTCGATCGGAAGATGTGGTCCCCGAGCGCAAAGGTGAAGAAGATGGATCCACGGCACTCGATTGCAAAAGCTTTACCACTCTAGCAGGCAACTGACCTACCAACTGCACTCCAGGGCTGCCGCAAGACGATTGACCTACCAACTGCACTCCTGAGCTGCCGCAAGACGACTGACCTACCAACTGCACACCTGAGCTGTCGCAAGACGACTGACCTACCAACTGCACTCCTGAGCTGTCGCAAGACGACTGACCTACCAACTGCCCAACAGAGTCCTCGCAAGCATGTGGCAAAACACTCGGTTCAACATGCGCTGTTTCATGCTGTTGTCGTGAAAAATCATGCCCATGCTGTGAAAAATCATGCTCATCGTGCGAAAACTCATGCTCATGCTGTTTCTCAGGTGAAAAAAAACTCAAGAGACCTACCACTCGACAGACCGCAAGACGACGAGACACTCGCAAGCGTGAGCTTCGCGGAAGAATCAGCCATCACACTCTGAAGCCATGTGCAGTCGCCGAACACTGCTGGAAGCAGCGTCACCTCCTTACGTTCCGCTGTTAAGAGACCCCGGTAAAGGGTAGGCTTCCAGCCTCTCCAACAGAGGAGGTTGAGGTTTATCAGGTTGTTTTTGATGTCGCTGCTAACTACCGCTTCTAGACGACAGGTGCACGCAAAGGTGCTCAGAAATCCTCCTCGCTGCTCAAAGTGTCGAGTGGTGAGAAAATTCACCTCGATCGTCGCGTGGGTGTCGCTTCCCACTTCCACCAGGTCGCCAGTGGCAGTCTGGCACACAGTCTTCGGTCGCTTCTTTCTCGACAAAACCTTGACGTGTCCACTCTCAAGGGTCGCCTGGGAAACCACATGGTACGAGCTCCCAGAGTCGAGAAGCCAATAGATCTTCTCTCCCGACTCAACGAAGGAAGGTGCGACCATGGGCATCGCAAAGTATGCTCCCTCAAGGAACGTTCTGACGCCCTTCTCTGTTCCCTTCCCAACGTCGCCCTTCGTAGTGGGCTGGTTGCTCGGCGCCTTCGGCGCAGCCTTGGCAGCTGCAGCGCTCCCCGAACTCTCCGCAGCGCCTGTCGTCACAGTGGCGTTGGCCTCGTGGGGGGAAACCGCAGCAGCTTGCTTCAGCCAACAGTCGCGGGCCCAATGTCCCTTCTTCCCGCAGTTGTGGCAAACGTCGGTCTTCTTGGCCTTGCTCTTGGCACGTGCAGCTGAACCCTTTCCGGGCTTCTCCTTCTCCTTGTTGCCCTTGTCTGCTCGCTCTCCTTTTCCCTTTGTCTCCTTTGCCCTTCTTGCCTTTGTCGCCTTTCCCTTTGTCACCCTTGTCGCCTTTTCCAGCACCGAACGCGTTCAGGTAGCCGTGGTGGTGCTCCTTCTGGAAGTTTAGCACTCGAAGCTGCTCGTCGTAAAACTGCAGCCCTTGCAACATTGCATCCAGACCGCTGGTGGTCTGGTGTCTGGTGCAACAAAAGGTACTTCTTCGCGTCCTCGTCCAGGTGCTTCAAGACTCCCAGAACAGCTTCTTGCTCGTGGACCTTGAGCTCAGGGTACTTCTTGCCAACCTGAGACTCAAACTTCATGAGCTCAGTCGTGTACCACCTCATCACATCAAGTGGTCGCTTGAGGTGCTTGGGAGGGTGAAGATTGATCATCTGCTCCCTCAGCGCTTGGCCCTCCACCCTCGAACGGACCGAGAGCTCTCGGTTGAGCAGGCGCCAGAACTCGTATCCAGCACTTGCTCCTTTCTGAGCAACCTCGATCAGGTGGATGAGGTCCTGGGCCCTTTGAAACTTGCTCAAACTCTGGCGTAGCAAGAACCAAAGCTTGCTGGACCGCGCTGCCTTTCCGACGTCCAACGTACTCTGCTGAACTGGGACGGCGCTCTGCTCTGACTCGTCCAGCTCTTCTGCGAACCGGTCGTCAAGCAAACAGAGCCAGCTGGTGAGCTCCTCCTTGTAAGCACTCCAAACCCGAATCTCAGCATGCCTCGTGTTCATTGAGGCAAAGTTCAGCTGAGGCAGAGTCGGAATGTAGCTCTCTGCCCTTCTAGAGCGGATTCCCGTGTCAACTTCCATTGGCGCGGGACCAGAGGTGTCACCCGAAGAGCTTGCAGGCGCGGTCGCAGCTGCACTGGTACTTGTCTGGCTGGCGTTCTGGACACCAAGCACTGCCAGGTCCTTCACCAGGTTAGTGAGCTGCTGCACTTGGGCCGTTTGAGCCCTGATCTGCTCGTCCTGGGCCTGCATCATCTGCCGAAACAGATTCACAGTGTTGTCGTCAAGGCTTCCAGGGTTCACTGGCAACTGTTGAGGCACAGTTGGCGTAGGAGGCTGTTGTGGTGGCGTTCCCAAACTGAAGTACTGCGTCTGGTGCGCAGCCTGTGCTGTCGGAGTCTGGCCCGCAGAGGCTAAAGGCCTCAGGTCTACTCCGGGACGGTGTGCAGAAGGGGAGTTGGCTGCCGGTACACTTCTCGCACGCACTCGTGGCACTGAACCAGACCTTGCAGAGAGGCTAGAACTCAAACGACTAGCTCTCCCACTCGAGTCACGGCTCCTCCCTCTCGGAGAGCGGTCTCTCCCTGCTGCACCAGCACGACCACGTTAGTTTCCGAGGGACCTCTAGGGAACCTCCGGGGCCTCCGGGCCTCTCACACACAGCACTCAGACAGAGCGGGCACGCTCCACACTTTTCACTCTGCTGTTCTTCAGCAGTCCGAGTCTTGAGCCAAGCCCGGCACGGCTTGAGGCTTCAGTACACAGCTCTCTGGACTTCAAACACTTCAAAGCTCGTGAGCACTAACAGCGAACTTGGGCTTCAGCTCTCTAAACACTAGAACTGGCTCCTGATGCCTCTTAGGCATCACGCTGTAGCTCTGGTGAAAGCAAACAGGCTTGAGACTCTTCACAAACACTCCAAGCGTCCGCAAAGCTCACTCTGAGGTTCGGGCGGGACGACCGACAGGCGGACCGACCGACCGACCAACAAACCGACAAAACAAGGTTTCGAAAACATGCGAAATGGTTTCGTTCCAAGCTTTCACCATGCCAAAACAAATCGTACTCACATGACATGCAAAACAAGACTGTGCATGATTTTTCCAAAGCAAGTGTCAGTGCTTCAAATCAACAACTGGGAACCTTAGGAGGTCACACAAATCAACTTCCCTCCTTTTACAAGGGCCGGAACCGTCACTGCTGCTCCCTTCGCAGCGTGGGTCAACACACTGACAGGTACGAGCGCCACCACCTGCGGCTATTGAATCGAACGCGGCGGTCGGCTTTGTCTACATGTTGTGCGCCGCGTTGCTCGAGAGTCGCTGGCATCGGCAGCACCAAGAAGGCCAGGCTAGTTTTTAGACAAGGAGAAGTCAACGAACGCCCAACTACATTCAAGGACGAGGAAGCCTAGCTCAAGGATCTCACAAAGCACCCGAACTTGCAGCCAGAGAGATGCTCAGAGCAGGCCAGGCCGGATCCATTTACACACTGTGGATGTCGAGACCTTGCAGAAAGACATAGATGCTCAGCTGACTGAGTTGAGGAAGCCAGACTGTTCAGGTCTGAGGTTCCAAGTTCTTGAGACGACAGCCATGACACAGAGCCGTGTGGAGTGCGATTGTTGCGTTGATGTCAGCTACCAGTCGCGGGAGTGTCGCGGGAGTGTTACGGAAGTGTCGCAGAAGTGTCGCGGAGTGCAGGACTCTAATCTAAGCGTGTCCAAGGAGTCAAAGGCCGAGGATTCTGAGTTAGGGGACGACCAAGCCGGCAGTTCCAGGAAAGCTACAACGGCGAAGACTCCTCCAGCACTGAGAAGAAAAGAGGAAGGCCGCACGATCTTCAGGCGGCTCAAATGAGTAGAATCCTTCTGATTCTGAGAAAGGAAAGCAGAGGAACAATTCTAGAGGCAGAGGAAAGAGCGGCCGTGTCGCAAAAGCAGACAGGATCGAGACACTCAGATCTCTGCCAAAATTCGTGCAGAAATTGGTCAACCTCGGTGGCATTGAAGGAGACATGAAGTGTTGGCACTTCTGAAGAGTTGCGGCAAGAGGTAGAGCCGGATTGCAAGGTTGAGAAAGAGTGGAGAAAAGCTGGTCTTTATGCAGTTGGTGCTCAGTGAAGAATCCGGCGATCTTCAGCTGCTGATCGACGAGTACAAGCAGCAAACAAAGCAAAAGCCGGACAAGGACAAGGATTGTTGCCGAAGGAGACGGGCAGGCGCTCCGGCGGCTGCGGATGGTGCCGCACCTGCCGGCCGGGGCGGCCACAGCGACAGAGTGGAAACGGCAGTTGCAAATGGCTTCTGTCGATAACTACGAGAAGCTCGTAACTCTGCACTCGATAGAGTCTAGGCAGGAACAACTCTTCTGGAAATGCCAAAGCAAGACTTGTGAAAGTACGAGCAGCAGATTGCAAGCCGATCACCGATCAGTGAGTGGCCAGCAGAGATGAATGCGTCATCACTGGAGAGGCTATCAGCTGAGTGCAGCCATGGCGCTGAGACATCCATTCAGGCATTTTGATTTCTTCCTTGCAACGTCATGCAACCGCATTTTCCACTGGGCATGGCGGCAGCAGCAAGGTACCACGGCACCACTTCAACATTTAGTGACAGCTGTGTGAAAAATGTTCCCACGGTGTACAGCGTGTCTTTGAAGGCTTGGCCACAGAATTAATGTGCCACTCTGATCGGACCGGTTGACCGTTGATTGTATGTTGTGCC